TGCTACAGCTGCAGTGATGCTACAGCTGCAGTGATGCTACAGCTGCAGTGATGCTACAGCTGCAGTGATGCTACAGCTGCAGTGATGCTACAGCTACAGTGATGCTACAGCTGCAGTGATGCTACAGCTGCAGTGATGCTACAGCTGCAGTGATGCTACAGCTGCAGTGCTGCTACAGCTACATCAAATTTTTCGAGAACTAGGTAGGGTGCCGAGGCATAAAATTCTCTTATAATAATAATTCAGACAAAACCCATGTGCATCACACTATACTGAACAACGAGGCAAATGCAACATGTGAATATAAATGAGCTTAATGCGGGACAAGGCTTATGTTGCTCTCGTTTTGTGATGGCAATGTAAAATTTATGTAAAATGTAAAATAAAGACATTAAGTAAAATTTCTATGGCATGTAATGTGAATGCTGAATAATTGTCGCGTGCATTAATACAAAGTAATACATGGTTTTATTGCTTGGAATGATTCATGGTCAAAGAAACACATTTACTCCATCAAAATGTTTCATTTCGTTTCTAATTCATACACTGAAATATTAACTACTGTACCAACTCGTTTGTGCAAGTCATGTTTGCGTCTCTGACACATATCGAAAAATTTCCAATTTTTGTCCTAACTCATTCCACGGCGAGGGAAATAGTTTCATCTACAACATTGCTGGAACCAACAACGCTGGATTAATAGTGTAAATACAATATAAATAATCCAAGAAGTTGAGACTTATTTCTCGAGACTTATTCATGAGACTTATTCTCTATTCTTGAGACTTATTTCTTGAGACTTATTTCTTAAGACTCATTCTCTATTCTTGAGACTTATTCTCTGTTCTTTAGACTTATTCTCTGTTCTTTAGACTTATTCTTGAGACTTATTCTCTATTCTTGAGACTTATTCTCTATTCTTGAGACTTATTCTCTATTCTTGAGACTTATTCTCTATTCTTGAGACTTATTCGCGAGCCACACGCTAAGACGCGGGACGCTACACGACGAGCCTGAGGCGCCCACGGTTAAGTTTCAGCTGCTCTGGCATTTCCTGAGTGATTGCTTCACTGCTCCAGCTGCGGCGACTGTACGAGGCTGGGGTGACTGTACAAGGCTGGGGTGACTGTACAAGGCTGGGGTGACTGTACAAGGCTGGGGTGACTGTACAAGGCTGGGGTGACTGTACAAGGCTGGGGTGACTGTACAAGGCTGGGGTGACTGTACAAGGCTGGGGTGACTGTACAAGGCTGGGGTGACTGTACAAGGCTGGGGTGACTGTACAAGGCTGGGGTGACTGTACAAGGCTGGGGTGACTGTACAAGGCTGGGGTGACTGTACAAGGCTGGGGTGACTGTACAAGGCTGGGGTGACTGTACAAGGCTGGGGTGACTGTACAAGGCTGGGGTGACTGTACAAGGCTGGGGTGACTGTACAAGGCTGGGGTGACTGTACAAGGCTGGGGTGACTGTACAAGGCTGGGGTGACTGTACAAGGCTGGGGTGACTGTACAAGGCTGGGGTGACTGTACAAGGCTGGGGTGGCTGTACAATCCTGGAGTCTGGCTGCGGGGACTGTACAGGGCTGGAGTCAGGCTGCGGCGACTGTACAAGGCTGGAGTCAGGCTGCGGGGACTGTACAAGGCTGGAGTCTGGCTGCGGTGACTGTACAAGGCTGGAGTCAGGCTGCGGGGACTGTACAAGGCTGGAGTCTGGCTGCGGGGACTGTACAAGGCTGGAGTCTGGCTGCGGCGACTGTACAAGGCTGGAGTCTGGCTGCGGTGACTGTACGAGGCTGGGGTGACTGTACAAGGCTGTGGTCAGGCTGTGGGGACTGTACAAGGCTGGAGTCTGGCTGCGGTGACTGTACGAGGCTGGGGTGACTACAAGGCTGTGGTCAGGCTGTGGGGACTGTACAAGGCTGGAGAATTGAGGTCTTACAAATAAACCACACCCATATTATCTTATGGAGGAGCCTGCTGGAAGAGGAATGTTTGTTAGCAGATTTGGCCGAGACCTGAGCCTATCCGCCCATTTGCAGCCCATAGGGCGGGGCACAAAACCTAATATCCCCACTAGTCCACCAGTGCCGCTAGGAAAATAAGGCTTGACGTCACGCAGGCTTGACCTCTCCCCTTCTGAACCCCCTTGTCTGGTTGAACCCCGCCCGACCTCCTTGTCTGGTTTAACCCCGTCCGTAACCGACCCATATACAAACGACCAACGTGACGTCACTGGCGAACAGCCAATAGTATCACTGCTTCCCTCACCTTCCCTCGCAATAAGCCCGAGTAAGGGTACTTATTTTCACTAACATTACCGAACTATTTTATTCCCACTATTAACGAACTTCCAAGTCCCGTAATAAATAACAAACCTTAATAAAAAAAATCACCATTCAGTAACATCAGTAATGTTGTGGCCCGTGGGGGCGCCGGTAGAGGATTGGTTAGGGAATTTTATAATTATTATTATTAAGATCATAATTAATAATATTACTATTATTTCAAATTATTGCGACACGGCACGGGATGGCAACCGTTGTCGGGATGTTTCACAGGGATAAATAGATAGGGCGAGGTAGGGTAGGGCCCAATGCTATTCCTACGTGAACATTAGGACGAGGGTAAGGCCTAATGCTATTCCTACGTGAGCATTAGTACGGGTGCAGAGAAAGGTCCAATGCTATTCCTACGTGCCAACAGGTTCAGGTACCAAATGAAGCTAGCAGCTGGTGTGAAGACACAGAGAAAAGTCCAGCTAATGCACAGATAAGGCAGCTGGTGTAAGTATTATATGGCAGTGTATATTATGTATGGTGTGATTAGTCATGCGTACCACAGCATCATGCGTCACGCGCACAGCAGCATCACGCGTCACGCGCACAGCAGCATCACGCGTCACGCGCACAGCAGCATCACGCGTCACGCGCACAGCAGCATTGATAAGGCAGCTGGTGTAAGTATTATATGGCAGTGTATATTATGTATGGTGTGATTAGTCATGCGTACAGCAGCATCACGCGTCACGCGCACAGCAGCATCACGCGTCACGCGCACAGCAGCATCACGCGTCACGCGCACAGCAGCATCACGCATCACGCGCACTGCAGCATCACGCGTCACGCGCACAGCAGCATCATGCGTCACGCGCACTGCAGCATCACGCGTCACGCGCAGCATCACGCGTCACGCGTCGCAGGCAACTTTCACCCGCGCGTCACACGATGATCCACTTTCGTTGTCGCTCCACCGCAGCTTAGAGCCTCACTTCCACCAACTCCTCCAGCATCTCCTTGTTTCTTAATAAAACCTCAAAGTTCAATATTTGTAACTTTTATAATCTCCGAAGACGATTAATCTTGCAAGAGAGACTTCAAAGTTCAAAATTTGTAACTTTTATAATCTCCGTTGGCGATTATTCTTGCAAGAGAGACCTCAAAGTGTCTCACCAACACATTGGTGGAACATGGGTGGTGGAAGGGAGGTAGTCTCACCAACACATTGGTGGAATATGGGTGGTGGAAGGGAGGGTAGTCTCACCAACACATTGGTGGAACATCGGCGGTTCAGTGGCCAGGGAGTAATCAGAACGAGCAGCAGCAGCAGTCATTCCTGTTCGTGTCTTTCAAGTTAATTAGGTCACTTTGCCCGTGGGTATGGACCTACATCTACCATTTATTTTAATGCTTGTGTTTATTGGCCAAAGTTACCTTTCAGGTTGACGTCCTAGCCAAACCAGACCAATTCAAACCAAAATAACAGTCAATCGGTCATTGACCCAGAACTGCACAAATCCTAGCCAAATATACCATCAATTTTAGCCTAAGTCAACCTCGATTCCACCAAAATTATCCCCAGTCCCAGTTAAAATCACCCGCCTCAATGCTGCACACGGAAAACGTATTGGTGATATTGTCCAATCAGTGACACACCTTCTGCATGTAGCACTAACACGCCCTTTTGTCGGACGAAACTGTGCTCAGGATGACCCGCAAAGAATGCATCGATATTTAGACCAAGTCCCACTTATTTCTCAAGTGTGGGAGACTCTTGAGGGTATACCACTACCCAGATAAGGTACTGCACAATTTGTAACCCTGACACCAGAACTTAAAGTCATTTCCTTTACTCGCTATCGAACCATGCAGCATAAGGCATCAAAATTACACGCTGAAAACTGTGCAATGAAGGCGGAATCCTTTCGGTTACAATGGTATTCGTATTTTAAAAAAATGATGCTACCAACAAAGAATACCGTGAGTAAAGAACTCGCTGTCTCTGAACGATGTTAGGGCATTACCAGGACGTAAAGATGTTTGGGCCAACTCAAATTCTTCTTCAGAGCATAATTATTAATTTAAATGCCAACAATTATCAATTGAATTGAGGGAATGAGGCAAAATATCGAGATAAAATGGAAACAAAGACGAGGGGGAGCGACGGCAGCTTTCACCGCAGGGGCTTACGATAAGGACGGCCTGAAAGCTGCCACGCGAGACTCGCCTCATTTGTGTCGCATTGATATACGGTCAGTTCCGTATCACATTCAGATACGGTCATTGACCCATTGATATTCGGTCAGTTCCGTATCACATTCAGATACGGTCATTGACCCATTGATATTCGGTCAGTTCCGTATCACATTCAGATACCGTCATAGACCCATTGGGATACGGTTAGTTACGTACCACATTCAGATATGGTCACATTCAGATACGGTCACATTCAGATACGGTCACATTCAGATACGGTCACATTCAGATACGGTCACATTCAGATACGGTCATTGACTCATTGGTATACGGTCAGTTCCGTATCACATTCAGATACGGTCATTGACCCTTTGGTATACGGTCAGTTCCGCATCGCATTCAGATACGGTCATTGACCCATTGGTATACGGTCAGTTCCGTATCACATTCAGATAAGGTCATTGACCCATTGATATACGGTCAGTTCTTTCAGATACGGTCAGTTCCATATCACATTCAGATACGGTCAGTTCCATATCACATTCAGATACGGTCAGTTCCATATCACATTCAGATACGGTCATTGACCCATTGATACACGGTCAATTCCATATCGCAATCAGATACGGTCAGTTCCGTATCACATTCATGTACGGTCATTGACCCATTGGTATACGGTCAGTTCCGTATCGCATTGATATGCAGTCATTGTCATATTGACTCATCGTGTCTAATTGGTAAATCACTAGTTTAATTATTACATGGACATATCTCCAGCGTTGTTAAGTCAATTATTACTTAACATGGCAGGCTCTGTGTTATCGAATAAGTAATTACGGTCACGTGACAATCAATCAAGCGATGACTTGTGTTCACAATCTCGTACGAGGATAATGTCCACATAAAACTACTCAACATCCCACAAAACTTGTCAATCCATTAAGATAATGAATATTATTTAAAATTTGAGCATGAATATACTTACACGAGTAAAAGTTTAATGTACTACTCACCAAATAACGTCAATCCATTAAGATAATGAGTATTACCGGTATTTAAAGTCTGAGCATGAATATACCTACTTACACGAGTAAAAGTTTAATGTACTCACCAAACAACACCGAAGGCTCCATAGCCGATGGGGCGATCTTCTGACTTCTCAGGAGGCGCTGCCGGACTCTTGTTCGAGGCGTGTATCATCTCTTTGGCTTTCTGTTGATGCTGTTGTGTCTGTTGCTGCTGCTGCTGTATCTGTTGTGTTTGCTGTTGTTGTTGTTGTTGTTGCTGCATCTGCTGCAGTCTCTGTTGTATTTGAGCCTTGTGTTGTTGCTGCTGTTGTTGTTGTTGTTGGAGTATCAGCAATTGTTGCTGCTGTTGTTGTGTTGAGTTGTTTTGCAACTGGTGCTGCAGTATATCATTCACTCGTTGTTGAAAGTGTTGTTGAATTTGCTGCTGATGCTGTTGTTGTTGTTGCTGATGTTGCTGCTGTTGTTGTTGTTGCTGTAGCTGGAACTGCTGCAGTGCAGTGGCAGAGACACGGTCTCCCACACGATAGTAGTGGATAGGAGCTGCAGTGGGTGCAACACCACCAGAAGCAGCAGTGCTTTGCATCATGTTGTTCATGTCAGAAGAAGGGTGAGGCCGTTTCCTCTTTTGAAGCGAGCCTATGTTCTTCCGTGGTATGTTGTTTATTTGAAGCGAGCCTATGTCCTGCCGTGGTACGTTATTTATGAATTTTTCTCCTACAAATGTCTGGTCACGTTGAACTGAAGCAGTTTTAGCTAAGTTGTAATCAGAATTAGCTGCAATTTGTGGCTCAAATTGCACGTTCGGTCCAGGATGGGTTGACTTGTGTGGCAAAATACCAGCAGGATGCTGGCGACCTAATAATGAAGATTTATTTTGAGGTGCAGTAGGTTTAAAAAAGCCTCCCTGCGTATCATACAGGAAGTTCTCCACATAAGGTATTGGATGGCTACTTTTATTTGAATCAGGAAGAGAATTGGGGGCCAACAAAATACCTGGAGCACCATGAATTAACTCTAATCTCTCAGGACCAGATTGTCTTAGGGTTTTCAACTGTAACTGAGGAGCTGAAGTCAACTGGGATTGGGCAAAAGTGGAGTAATTTAACTCAGATGCTTGGAAGAATTGAGTCTTAGACTGCCTTTCATCAGGTTTTGATGTTTCTTGGTGGACTAGAAGTTGGCCTGGAAAACCCAATTGATGTGCTTGATTTTGAACTGCAGTTCCAATTTGATAATTGGGCTGGTGTAAATGGGACAACAGTTCTTGTTGCTGGATTTGTTCAGACTGCAAGGAAGTTGAATGCTCTTGAGGTAAATGATGATCTTGTGCAGTACCAACCAAAAATGGATTCACTGCATCGACACACTCAATTTTTTCTGTAGTTGAACAATGCTGGTCTGTGCCTGGTAAATTTCGCTCAAACTCTGAATTTACAGGAACAGTTTCCTCTTCTTGAAGACGCGCTGAACCTGTAGAGCAATAAAATATTAAGCCTAATGAGCTCAGGCTACTTAAGCCTGATGAGTTCAGGAACAGGTTGAGGTATAAGAATAGGGCTGACTACAGACAAATACAACAACACTCAGGTTAATAAGTTGGCAAATATCCAAGCTGCACAAGTACCATAAAATGAGGTGACTTGGACCATTTTTAGTGCATACCTTTTGTGATACAAATAGTAACATGGTAAATATATAAATATATCTCTTTACTGCATTTGTAGGTCATCTCAAGGTAGGTACTTAAAGAGCCATCAACACATCAAGGCAAGAATTTTTTGAGTAAAGGGATTTTTTCTTAAAAGTCATAACAGTTATCACCCCATCAATTTCCCAAGTCACTCCGTTTCGTGGTATACAAGAGCTGCCAATAATAAAAGCTGTAACATACAATATCACATTTTGAAGTGTTTGCTAAATTGTTACTGTATGTTAGCAAGCTTGAATTCTAGGATGGTAGTGCATAAAGCTTCTGTCATTTTTGGGCAGATGAATGTCCATCTCAAGACTGTGATTGGTTGTGGAACTGTGTCATCCTCTCTAGACTGAATTATTTGGAATATCATACAGAAATTTCCTAAAATTGCAGGTAAAATAGGTGATTTGCAGAAATCACAGGTGGAAATAGAAAATTTTTCTCATTTTTAACACGTTTTTCTTAGCTTAGCTTCGCGTTTGTTTGTTTGTTTGTTTATTTGTTTGTTTGTTTGTTTGTTTGTTGTTAACATTGACAACAAAAATTAGCCCACTTTTCATTGTTCTAGAGATCTGAAATTCGGCATGCAGGCTATTTTCGCCTAACAATTTAAGATACAATCATAAAAACTAGTAATTAGAGACCGAAATTAGTTTAATTGAGTAAAGTATATATATAGTATATATATACATATATATAGTATGACGTGCGGGCGCTCACGTTATAGACGAGCAGGCGCTAACGCTGCGTATCATCGATACGTACGTCAAGTCATACTTAATCAAGTCGTAATCGTTTTTCTTGTGGACTAAAAAGTAGAAAATAAAATACTTAAAAAAAACTTTTTAAAAAAAAAACATGTTTTTCTTGTGGACTAAAAAGTAGAAAATAAATTATGGTTTGCCCCAAAAAAACGTGGGTCGTGCTGTACGTTCACCATCAAATTTCCAAAATTTAAGTGTTGTGTGCTTTTCGCTTTAATCATAAATCTGCCCGACACACGTTTTTTTGGGGCGAACCATAATTTATTTTCTACTTTTTAGTCCACAAGAAAAACGTGTTTTTTTAAGTTTTTTTTAAGTATTTTATTTGCAGATGAAGTTGGGAAAGGAACAGGTGGAGTTGGCCAGATTCATGGGCGTTTTTGTCTATTCATGGGTGGCTTCTGCCCAACTTTCCACTTAGGGACTGAGATAGGTTGTGTTCAATATATGCTTTGCGTACTGGTTAATTTAATACTTGTCAAGAATTCCAGCCTGTTGTTAATGTTATTTACATATAGTACTTAGAGCTAAATATGTGTACATTAAGACAGATAAATTTCAAGTTTTCAATTTGAGTTGCATATATATATATATTTTATATGATTAACATATTCTACTAAGCACTAATAATTGGAAAACTCTAGTCAGGAGAAGAGGTCAAAATAAAATATATAGAATATAGTACATCACATCATTGCAGTTTTAAAATTTTTGTCATTATGGTTTTAATTGAATATAATGATTAATGATGAATAATCATGATATCATTTCTATACAATATTAAAAGTTTTAAGCAATATTGAATGTGCCATCATTTTCCCTTAGCAAATTTTGAAAGGGTATGAAAAATATATTTTTTACTGTATTAAATGAGTGAGTGCAATTTGAAAACATTCACTTTGAGCTAAAAACATTCTCTATTTGAAATTATTGTATTTTCAATAATGTATCGCTACAGACAGCTGTTAGAGCTCATGGCCTCATCATGCAATAGGGTATATAATTTTGAATAATAATGTACAAAAAATAGAAGACTTTCAAGACAGGTGAAGTGTAGCACAATAGACTATTTTAAAAGAAAGCACCAGCACCTCAACTGTCATGAGACACCTCTCTTGACTCAGCGGATGAGTAGTTCCTGTGTGCTGTGTGCACTTAACTTGACGCTAGTCAATAAAACATAAGAATTATTATGTAATAATAATTCTTATTAGAATCATTTCTTTTGAGATAATTTCTTATTATTCAATGAGAGTCATTGTCATTACGTAATAAGATTTATGTAATACTGGTTTCTTTGTTGCATTTGAAGCGTTTTCAATCATGCTGGAAAATAGTGGCTTGCTGCTCATTTTTGTTAACAAAATAGTTTTTTTTTAAAGCTGGCTGCTGACAACAGTAACAGACAATTCAATGTTGTGGCTGCAGGCAAAGTTAGCAGCATTGATGCTAGCTGATTTATTTGCTAAATAACATGATAGTTATTTGCTACAATTTAGTTATTTAGCAAAAATATATGAAAAGATAATGGTTATTTTATTTTTTCTTCTCTTACCTGGTTCTCTAGGCAAGTAAAAACCATTTCATATCAATTTTCAGCTGACTAAGATATATGAACAAAAAATTTTTCTGAAACAACAATTGATCACCAGCCAATGCTCAATTGATAGCTTGATTGAAATTAAGGTTTTACATGTGTAAAGACAAAAGAGTTAGACTAGGCCTATAATTATAAAAGTTTCTGCAAATAAGATTTGAACTTTCTGAGTTTGTTTTTGAGAACATTTCAGGGCAAATTTATTATTATTATAGTTTGAGCCTATTTTACATATAGACCTCAATCCAACTATGGGTTAGAAGTTGGATAATGACGATTTTTTTTAATAGTAACAATGGTTTTTTTAGGAGACTCACCAAAATGCTCGTGCTCAGATTCTCCCAGGGACGCGACAGGAAGAGGAAGTTTATCACCACAGGCACAGAAGGATAATAAAAGGGTCCTCACAAAATCATCTTCGGTAAAATCATCTATGACAGCGAAATAATTGTGTAACACCAATTCTAAAGACTGACAAAGTTGACGTTACCAAAGAGATTCATAACTACGCTAGTCCCGCGTCACAACGCTGTTACCGCATGGAGGTAGATCACTTAACAATAGCACCGAAATATCAACGTATACACCCTCCACGAGATCCACATCATCACTGAAGCTAAGAAAGTTGTGCTTGTGATGCCAGATGGACTGATGGTGAATAGCTAGACAAAAACTGAATTTGATTCCAACGCTTAAATTTACCCTAAATCGCTGCATCATATCTCGATAAGCTCGGCCCATTAGTTCTTCTATTAAAAGCCAATTTATGAATGATCATGACATTAAATATTTTTCATATTCATATAAAAGGAAATATATCAACCAAATACAAGTTGCCATAAACACATTGCATCGCATATTACCTGTGAGACAATCTCTGGAATCGCACCACAGGCAATTTTGGCCTGAAATCTGTCATAGGCCTACTATAATTTCATTTCATAGTGCCTTTATTTAACATCCTTTATACCACGCCTAACACCGTCAGATTGAAACCGAACTTAACCTTATTGGCAACGATGTTTTTTATTCACAAAAAGCCCACTCGTCCGTTGTCGAAATTCGAACGTAGCTCATGCGGTAACAAAAATCGTCTTAAAACAAGAAAGAATCTAAAGATAAATATTTTTTATATTAGGGAACAATCATAGTAAATATTATAGTGTTGATTTTAATCATAATAAAAGTAAAGCTTTGTTCTAAGAAAAATCTTGAGTGGTTTCGATTTGACGAATGAGCGTCAATGTTGCTACATACTCGTATAATGTGATCTACAATGCAGCTCTCAACTTTAGTACGTTCGAAAATGATTGACATTATTCTGAATAAGATTATATACATTAGACCTTGTATTATATGTATCAGCTCAAGTTCTCAAGATGGAAGGAAGTAGCTATACCTTAGGACTTGAGTGAAGCCTCCAAGACGACGAAGAAATTTTATTAGCAGAAATACTAATCAAATCAAACCTTACACATCAATAAGCCATAAAATTAATCATTATGAAGATAATTAGTAATAAATATACAAACTGTATACATATACAGTTTGAGCTCCAAACGTATAATGCTCGCATATTCGGCAAGCTTCCGACTTCGCAATACTTAATACTGTACATCAGTGTCGGAGCTGAAGAATAGGCCCTGTTTAGCCTGTCCCCAATTCTTCTAATTTTCGTGACATGTTCACATCAGATGTAAATTCTTGCATTGTGAAGAAATCTTTTTCAAACTGACATTGAATTGCTACTGGACTTTTGCCAGGTCTTTGAGGTGAAAGGCATTTCATAGTAGAATATATACTTCTGTATAACTCGGTCTAGACTGTTTTTGAAGTTCTCAATAGGCGGGGAGTCATACTTGGTTTGTAAGATAAATTATATATCGAAGTCTGGCATTTATCAGTGAACGCTGACGTCCGAAGACTCAAGTTAGAACTTGAGGTATCAGAGAAGCACTTAGTTCGGGCGATGAGCGCTGGTGTGGTATCAGGCATGGTTGAACCTTGGTATCAGGCACCTGCTGGCATGGTGGCATGGTTGAACCTTGGCACCAGGCACCTGGTGGCATGGTTGGCATGGTTGAACCTTGGTACCAGGCACTTGGTGGCATGGTTGAACCTTGGCACCAGGCACCTGCTGGCATGGTTGAACCATGGTACCAGGCACCTGGTGGCATGGTGGCATGCTTGAACCTTGGCACCAGGCACCTGGTGGCATGGTTGAATGCTTGAACCTTGGTATCAGGCACCTGGTGGCATGGTTGAACCATGGTATCAGGCACCTGGTGGCATGGTGGCATGGTTGAACCTTGGCACCAGGCACCTGGCGGCATGGTTGAACCATGGTACCAGGCACCTGGTGGCATGGTGGCATGCTTGAACCTTGGCACCAGGCACCTGTTGGCATGGTTGGCATGGTTGAACCTTGGTATCTGGCACCTGGTGGCATGGTTGGCATGGTTGAAGCTTGGTATCAGGCACTTGGTGGCATGGTGGCATGGTTGAAGCTTGGTATCAGGCACCTGGTGGCATGGTGGCATGGTTGAAGCTTGGTATCTGGCACCTGGTGGCATGGTTGGCATGGTTGAACCTTGGTATCAGGCACCTGGTGGCATGGTGGCATGCTTGAACCTTGGTATCAGGCACCTGGTGGCATGGTGGCATGGTTGAACCTTGGCACCAGGCACCTGTTGGCATGGTTGGCATGGTTGAACCTTGGTATCTGGCACCTGGTGGCATGGTTGGCATGGTTGAACCTTGGTATCTGGCACCTGGTGGCATGGTGGCATGGTTGAACCTTGGCACCAGGCACCTGGTGGCATGGGTGGCATGGTTGAACCTTGGTACCAGACACCTGGTGGCATGGTTGAACCTTGGTACCAGGCACCTGGTGGCATGGTTGAACCTTGGTACCAGGCACTTGGTGGCATGGTTGAACCTTGGTACCAGACACCTGGTGGCATGGTTGAACCTTGGTATCTGGCACCTGGTGGCATGGTGGCATGGTTGAACCTTGGTACCAGGCACCTGGTGGCATGATTGGCATGGTTGAACCTTGGTACCAGGCACCTGGTGGCATGGTTTGCATGGTTGAACCTTGGTATCAAGCACATGATGAGAGAAATGAGCGCGATTTTGTCCAAACTGCGAAGCATTTTTGCACTTGCCTGGGTTATCGTGGCCAAGTTTTGCTCGACAAAAGGCCAATACCAGTACTACTTTGCTCTCTGTTTCTGCTGTTGATAAGAACGTGTGCCATTATTTGGACACTAGGAGCCATTCATTTATCTCGGTGTACATGCAGCAACACTACCCGCTCTTTATTCACTCTATTGAACATGTGAAATGTAAATCAACATTATGCTGAATTACAGAGTCACTGTTATTATTAAGCACGAAATTTTAAAATTTCTCATCAAAATTTACATAAGGTGAAAGATTCAATATATAAAGCTATGTCTAGTAAGAACCATGAGAAACCATGGTGCCGAGAGGACACAATGCTTATGCCAAAAACTATATAGCATTGTTATCACGTAGACAATAGAAAACTGATTGTCACTTGCGTGTAATTCAGTTCTGTCGGCAGCAGTACAATAATGATTAATGTTGGTGCAGCCATCACAGACGCAGAGCTCGGCAATCAGAGAAGTGATGAGACACTCAAAGAAATAAGTGACAGTATGTCCAAATAACGGCGCACTTTTTGCCCTATATAGTGTGTGTCATTCATACCTAGTTTGGTCTACCAAAAGGGAGTATCGGTGCTGCGTGCAGTAAGTATTTCAATATTTAGTCCGATTAATAGGGGGTGCCAAGTTATTTTTTTATTATACCTATAATAAAGCCACTTAGTCCGACGTCAGTGGAAGTGTAATGAGACATTCTAAAATCAGATATAATAAATGAATGTTTGGAAATATTTATTGTTTATTGTAAACAGCGCTTCAACCTCATCAAGCCGATCTCAGAAGTGTACCTGAAAATTTATCACTAACAGTAAAGTCTAGTCAAGCACAGGCCTTGCAATACAAATATTATGGTGACGTTTAAGTAACTCATGGTCGAGATTATCTCAAGCATTATCGGCCTAAGACTGAAATAAAAATTTAATAAATTTTCAATATATTAAAATTGGAAAAATAAATTAAAGTGAGTGGAAAGGATCTCGGACATAGAACACGCAACATTCCCATTGGCCGATACATGTTTTTTGGTAAAATCCCTTCATTGTTTAGATCGTAAATTTAGAAGGAATTTGAAAACAGAGAAAATGTCAGAAATTCAGCGTATCTTATAAAGGGAAACGTTTCAGGGTCTAGCTCCATCGTCAGGGTGGACAATCCTCGATCCTTTTCACATTAGTTCGGTTGAACAGAATGACATTTTTGTTTAGAAGTTCTTTATCGGTGAATAAATAGATAAAATATATCTAAAACTCTGTGAATATAATTTCTAATTACATAATAAATAATTGTAAAAGTTCACTTTTATTCAATACTTCTCTCTTTTGAGTGATGCAACAGCGTTGAGCGGTTCACTGCTGCATCTTCCGCAGACGCTCCGCGGTGTTCGTCATGAGTGTAGCTCTGCTGATGCCGTGCGCTCTTAACATTAATAAATTTTAAATACGTTAAGATTCTGTGAAAAATACAAAACATCTTATTGATTTATAAGCAACTATTTCAAGTGTTTTAATAGAGCAGCACCCGTGTTGTATTGCATATAAAAAGTTATTTGTGACTTATTTATTTATGATGGAAATCAATGAACAAGAAAACATGGCATATAATATCGGAATACCTACAACTGGACCAGTCATGTATAATAATATAACTTTAGCGGTTATTTTACGATCAATATAGTAAACCAGCACGATCAGTAGTGAATAACGGGTTATAATTCTTATTTAAATTTTGAAATATTGAACTTTGTCATCAAAGTCGTTATATATGTATTATCTGTAACGATTAGTTTTCGTTTTGCATCGCACTCAGCAAGCCTGTATACTGAGGATGAAGTCGTATTTACATCTTCATGGCAGATATTCTTCTAGCAAATGTGAGTTGCCAACCACTTTGTAAATGATAGAATAGAATGGAAGTGTCGGCACTGAAGAAATAGGTCCATGGCCTGTTGCCGATCTTTTACTTATCGTGACTTGGATTCCACAAGGGATCCGGCCTTTGGAACCCGAACTTTCCATGACCGACGATTGACGATTTTTTGGACACCATATAACGGACAGTTTTTAAGCATCCTTTATTATTTCTATAAAAACATAGCATAATATAGCATCTTCGGCTTTAAAGAAATAGGCCTGTTTAGGCTTGTATAGCCTATTTTTGTACTTTTCGTGACTTGTTCTTAGATCCTAAAACTGACAATAACTTTCCAACTTTCTTTTTTTTTGCCAGGATCTTTCGTTCGTGTACATCATCACTGGACTTTTACTAGTTCCGTACTGTACTAGGCATCTCATTATGTGCTTATGTTAATGTTAAAATCGAAATTACACTAAATGAAGTTATTTCAGAGTTAACTTGGTATTAAAAATCAGCCATATTTACCGTCCGTCCTCGACGATGATCCACGTGCACGATTACCATGTTTAACTCTCCGTTAGCTTTAATAATAAATATCTTCTTTTGGTTTTAGTTTTAAATGTACACAGAAGCTGTGTTCATTTTCAATCAGAGAGTCTTACTTCGACGTTGCATGGAAGAGAAGCTACATCACACTCATTTTAAATCAAAATCATGTTAATCTGACCTAGAATGTCCTCAAAATCCACACGCATTTAAATGTATGACACGCAACATACACTCCTGACTGGAAGTTCTTTGGTATATCTCACACAAAATTATTCTTTTTGCTATTTGATTAACCGGGTGGTATATTTTTATGATGCACCTGGCGTTTGAATTTCAAAATTTGAAATAATTTTCCAATCCTAGTCACAAATTGCGTCAGTTATAATATTTGCGATAGTTAGCTTTTTATAACTCATCTGTGAAATGGCAAGTTTGACGAAATGATGAAATCTGAGTAATCCTGTTCGTTGTTCTTACCACTTCATACACCGTTACACGTACATTAGCGAAAAATTATGTTTAATAGCAAAATAAAAAAGAAAATAAAATTTGCAATATGAGAAGAATATGTTTTATGTTATACAAAATATATAATATTGTAGAATTTTTAATCCGTCCTAATGTATCCGTTTGCTAATTCCAAATTCATTTTTCAATTTTTATTTCGAAACATTTGGAACGAAATGTAATCATACATGTTCTTATTGAGTTCTATAGCAGCGTTTCCTTCACGACGATTTACGAAGAACGCTACATAGAATGTATACAGAACACGTATATATGAGACGTGCCTTACCTCGCGATTAAAGATATCTCGAATTCTATTAATTTTACAGGAAAAACATACGAAATTTTAGCTACACTAACGAACAGCTTCAACACATTCAACTTCAGCAATGTATTCTTCCTACGCACCAAGCCAATAGATTAGTCATATAAAATCAATCCTAATGTATAAATGCTATATTTTTCATATATTATATATCTTCAAATATACTCGAAAGTTTTACGTAATCAGCCCGACTTTTTTGACGATTATCAACTTTTTCATAAACATAAAAATATATCGTTTTAACTTGATGTTTGCATGTTGGTTTGTTCCAACACGCGAAAAACATACAACGAAAGGATTTATATTTATTTTTACATTCGTGCGAAGTTACTAATGAGAGGTTACTAACATTCATGAACGGTTAGTCGTATTCGTCAGCGTTTATTAACATTTATGAGAGTCTATCGACATTCAAGAGATATAAACATGCATGAGATGTTAATAAATATAATTTCAATTTACTAATTTGATCAAGTAACGAACAAATATTAGGAGACACAAAATTTGTGTATGGGGCACACAAAGGTTTCGCTATGACATCATTTATGTCCACTCATCACACAGTGTGTGGAAGTTCATGCGGTATACCCTTTGTATACCCTATATACCGTATACCATATACCATGCATATACCAAATACCGTATACCGTATATCGTATACCGTATATCGTATACCGTATACTCTATGCGGTTTTTGTGCATGGAAGGTTACACGTAACATTGTAACATTAACAACATTGTTACGATATTTCTGATATACTACGATAAAATTTCACTTATCCTCTGATAATTTCTTGATAGTTTCTTCAACATTGAAAAGCTACCGACAAGCTAGCGAATTCATATAAAGTTAACGGTCACGTGTAATGTAATGTTGACAAGAAGCGTGGTGTCATGTAGAGCAATGCTATTCCTACCAAGATATGGATCGTGCCAAGAAGCGTAGTTTCTCGTAGAGCAATGCTATTCCTACCAAGATATGGATCGTGCCAAGAAGCGTAGTTTCTCGTAGAGCAATGCTATTCCTACCGAGATATGGTTCGTGACAAGAAGCGTGGTGTCATGTAGAGCAATGCTATTCCTACCAAGATATGGATCGAGACAAGAAGCGTGGTGTCATGTAGAGCAATGCTATTCCTACCAAGATATGGATCGAGACAAGAAGCGTAGTTTCATGTAGAGCAATGCTATTCCTACCAAGATATGGTTCGTGACAAGAAGCGTGGTGTCATGTAGAGCAATGCTATTCCTACCAAGATATGGTTCGAGACAAGAAGCGTGGTGTCACGTAGAGCAATGCTATTCCTACCAAGATATGGATCGTGCCAATAAGCGTAGTTTCTCGTAGAGCAATGCTATTCCTACCAAAATATGGTTCGAGACAAGAAACGTAGTTTCATGTAGAGCAATGCTATTCCTACCAAGATAAGGTTCGTGCCAAGAAGCGTAGTTTCATGTAGAGCAATGCTATTCCTACCAAGATATGGATCGATGCAGCAGTGAAGAGAATAGCTGACACATGTTATTTAATAATTATGGCTCCGGCGTCAGCGCTTGCTGAGTCAGCTAAAGCTGACTCCGGTCAGCATCTATAACGCTTTGTTGTGGGGGCCTCTGTAGGCCTTAAAAAATATAACTCAGTACTCACTGCAGTGAGTGACAGAGAGCGCATTTTCTCGTCGACGAAAACGTGAAGTCACGGACGGACAGACAGACGGACGGACAGACGGACAGACGGACGGACGGACGGACGGACGGACATGGCGAGCACAATAGTGCATTTTTTTCATAAATGAGAAAATGCGCTAAAAACGCTCACGTCGCTTTGCCCTAATATAATTTATATATATTATTCATTCATTTAATATCATCTATACATATTCATCAATAATTTGATAATATCGTAAATAACAAAATTCAGGTATATTTCATATTTATTATTTATAATTCATGTTTAATTACATTAAAGCTTCTGGTAAAAGAAATAATTTTTTAATGAATTTTGAAGTTATCGATATTAATAATTTTCCATGCATAATTATGCTAATGTGTATATTCAAGTAGTACATTTTTATTTTAAATATTATTAAATATTATTTTAAATAGCGCATCGACTGCTCAATCATTATGACATTCATATTCAATCAATATGATATTTTTGTTTCGACTAGTGGAAATATTTTGGCAAATGATTGATATGTTTGCGTTAAAATTTTAGAATATTATGATTAATTTATTCTAGCATTAGTTGTTCAATATAGAGAATTTTCTAGTTCCAAGACCTAACCAATAGAATGATTTATATTCTTCGAATCACTCAAAACTTAGAAGCAAAGAAAACTCCACAAAAATTCATAGTTTCTTTAAAAAAAACGTTTCGGAGTCCAGCTCTATCGTCAGTTCAAAAATTCAGTAAAACGTGGTAAAGGGAATAGTGAAAATTTTCACTGTGCCCTTTACCACGTTTTACTGAATTTTCGAACTGACGATAGAGCTGGACTCCGAAACGTTTTCTTTAAAGATACTATGAATTTTTGTAGAGTTTTCGTTGCTTTTAAGTTTTTAGTGAATTTGCGATTCAAGCAAACGAGTGATATTATTACTTATCTTCGAATCACGTACGGCATGACTTTTAAAACTTCTTATTAATACGAATGTTGTACGTAATGGTCGTTTTCAGGTAGGGAATTTTTTTCCGGGAAATTTCGGTGGTATATTCAGAGAGCAATCAAAGTATGAAGACACACTAATATAAATAAATAATGATATGAGTGCATGATATGGATTATGTATTATTTATAAGGGGGTTCTTTTTATTTATATCAGGTAATTATCATTTATATGCGGTATTTATTATTTATTCAGGGTATTTAATATACGAAAGGATTTATATTTATTTCGACATTGATGCGATGTTACTAATATATATGAGAGGTTACTAACATTCATGAACGGTTAGTTGCATTCATCAGAGTTTATTAACATTTATGAGGGGTATTCATGTATATTCATGTATTAAATAGGTATATAAAAATAGAGGTATATGGGGTATTCAATATTTATGCATTCAATAAAATGTACATTGTTTTTCAACAGTCCGAGGAGCTTTGCTGCTGTCTACGATGTTGATATTAACTACAGTCATCGTGTGCCTGTGGGTACTCAACCAACATCAACAACACCAAGATCATCAACCACCTGCTCCGCATCAACCAAATCTGTACCATCAACAACCACAAGATCATCAACCACCTGCTCCGCATCAACCAAATCTGTACCATCAACAACCTCAAGATCATCAACCACCTGCTCCACATCAACCAAATCTGTACCATCAACAAAATCCACTAACCCAAAACTATAAACATCTCGACTCGCTTGAGGCGGCAGTAAGTGGTCTTGAAATATATTATTTTAATATATTAATTACTTTACATATAGCTTCTGGTAAAAGAAATAGATTTCTCATAATGAATTTTTATGTTTTCGATGTTATTAAACACATTAATATGTTATAGATTAATATTATTTATATCGCAAGTTTATTAATATTAGTGTTGAATTCTATATATTGACGCATCTAATAATTTTTGTATTAAAATGTATTAACGACTGCAGTAATCTACTAATTTTGGTATTGAAATTTCTTAACGTCTGCCTCTCGGATCTTGATCTTATTATTGAAATTTATTTACATTCGTCGCGAGTCTCTTTAATCTTATATTGCTGAAATGAACAGGTCAGATATCTTTATACAAATTAAAGGCCATGGTAGTAGCGATAATTGAAATTTAAAATATGCATAAGAGAAGTCTTCTAAATAAAATATATAGATGAATGGTAAGCTTTCTGTGATTAGTTCTTTCTTATTAATCGTATTCTTTGCTATCAGCGTTTGCTTGCCAAGTACGGATACCTTCACTGCCCAAAAATTACAACCAAGAAAAGGAAATGCGGCAACGGAGACGACAAGGTGAATAGAAAATTGGATTAACGTAATTGAACTTGTTCCTTGATGAGCTTAAAGTTCATTAAAAGATAACAATAACTTTCTCAATTAAAATGTTCCAAAATAAACTTATTTTTATTGATACATAATTGGAGGAACACGGTAGCTATTCTAAGGATATAATAGGTTATGTGGACTTGAATCCATGTTAATATTACTGATTATAATAATAATAATAGCGGTTTCAGCGTTTATTAGGCCGTAGGCCTGTCGCCGATTCTTAACATCGCAGAACATTCACAGCTTGTTGCGGTCTCGATTTCACAACTCACTGATTCAAATTCTGCTGTGCTTAACCGCCCGGCCTCCTCGCCGATTCTGACCAGAAACTGGCGCACAGAGCTGGGATCGAACCCGCGCCTCTCTGCGCCAATCTTGGTACTCTGAACTGTAACCGCTGGGCCACCCTGCCCTACATATTATATGCTGTTTGTTAAGCTAAGACAAGATAACGATGCAAGAATATTTACTTGGTAAATTATAGATATTATTTTTGAATGAACCTTGCAGAAGCATGAATGCGATCAAACAAATATCGCCCGACATGAGACGACCGACATGCGGCCTACGTTGCTCTTCTGTAAACTGAACATCAGGGCTGGACTCGCGCTATTCCAAGTTAGTTATTGATATGGTTTTACGATACGCTGGAAATAAATATGATTCATTTTTTAATGTATGTTCGATATCTAATTAAATAATTACCGGGAAATTCATTTTATTTTTGCATTAAACTTCCCACCTCAAAGTACACTTCGATTTCATCGTAATACTCTTCATGATTTGCCGAACAGAATTAATCGTTGTTGACACTTGATTACAGATGAAAAATTGATATTGATAAAAATTGAATTGATAGATGAAAAATATAGTGTTTATACATTAAAATTGATTTTATATGGCTAATAAAAATGTTTATGATTCTCATATAATATGAAGATTTTCTTTTACCGTACCGTCTCGCCAGCGCCGGTATTCTAGAGCCGCGGCCACAGGCCGTCTCGACAGAAAAACTCTACGGTTGCTGCACGCCCCGCGCTGTGGCAACGCTGACACCTCCCTCCCCATTATAAACCGTCATATCTCTGCATCACATGCCCCATTGCCAGCAATGGAATATGCTGGGTTACCGTCGCTTGAAGAAATGAATGGAAAACAATACCATAAATTTGTTAAGCCTAATGCACGTACGGAAGTCCTAACGTTGTTATCACAGGACGATCAAACTGCATTATCGCCTGAAACTAATAGGACTTTTATATCAAATGACTCTCAATTATATCCATCAGCTAAATCGGGAAAATCAATATTATTATCCAGCAATGCAACTGCATCACCACAGCAAGAATTACAAAATTTTAATTCAATTTTCTCAAATAAACGTTCCGGGCAAGCGTCCTTCAAGACACCCTTTGTTTCTAATCAAATATCGTTGATACCGCGACAAAAAGTAACAAAACGTTCAGCAACGTCGAAATTCCCCAGATCGGGACTGTGGATGAATGAGGTTGGTCGCTGAGTGCTAGGGGAAAATTCTAGTGATGAGAATTAAGTCATCTAAAATTCGAGTGGTGCGTAACAGTTGTGTGGTGCGTAACAGTCGTGTGGTGCGTAACAGTTGTGTGGTGCGTAACAGTTGTGTGGTGCGTAACAGTTGTGTGGTGCGTAACAGTTGTGTGGTGCGTAACAGTCGTGTGGTGCGTAACAGTTGTGTGGTGCGTAACAGTTGTGTGGTGCGTAACAGTTGCGTGGTGCGTAACAGTTGTGTGGTGCGTAACAGTTGTGTGGTGCGTAACAGTTGTGTGGTGCGTAACAGTTGTGTGGTGCGTAACAGTTGTGTGGTGCGTAACAGTTGTGTGGTTCGTGACAGTTGTGTGGTGCGTAACAGTATAAGACTCGACCACCATAACCTACAATCACCACACGACAGCTTTAATGAATACAAATAATGAATATTTTCCAAATAATGAACAAATAATGAACATATAATGAAAATTTTAGCTACAATGCCGAGTAGCACCGCCACTGCAACACTTTTTTTCTCCGCCACAGAATCACGGACCAAGGAAACTAATACCAGATGAATCTACGAACGAAACTTGGTTTGAAAATCATAAGGAGAGACGAATAAACGTGGAGGTGTTGGTGGCGCGAGAAGAAAGAAAAAACACTGAGCCCGTATCCGAAACAGAAATTTCACTACAGGTTCGTTCATCCCTCTGAATAATAACTATGTATTATTAATCAGCAAAGTAACATAGAACCGACAACAAGCTCACTTATTTTGCCCTCTGTGTACAGACGGGACCCCTTCGCCCCAGGCCTTTATGTAGGAATAGCATTGACGACTGTTAATGTATCCGTGAATAAAGGGTAAAGCAGATTGTTTCAAGTGATATCACGTATTATTGTAAAATATGCCTTAATTATTTTTTCGTATAATGGGAATCTTACTGTATGAGTATTTTTTTCACATTCGGCAGGCACATTGAATAAGTAAAAATAATAAGAAATAAAATATAATAAAATAATACAAATAAATTTTCATTCGGCAGGAAATTGAGAGGTCTCGTCGGCGCTGGCTCGTGGCCGCGGCTCAGGCCCTGAGAAGACAACAGCCGCAGGAGGACGTTCTGCTGAGCGCCGCGCTGCGCCACCGCCGGCGTCTGCCGCACTGTCTGCGCCGCGGCGGCGGAGAACAGACGCTAAATTTTATAAACGATCATGTCCCTTATAGGGAAACTTCAAAAACTAGTGTCTTGAGTAACGCTTCCGTTGCCTTCAGTTTAACATCAGATACTCACAATTTATATCCCGCTGGCCTTAATTTTTCCAATACAAACCACAATTTAAGACAGATGCTAAATTTAATAAACGATCATGTCCCTTACAGGGAAATTTCAACAACCAGTGTCTTAAGTAACGCTTCCGTTGCCTTCAGTTTAACATCAGATAATCACAATTTCTATCCCGCTGGCCTTAATTTTTCCAATACAAACCACAATTTAAGACAGATGCTAAATTTAATAAACGATCATGTCCCTTACAGGGAAACTTCAAAAACTAGTGTCTTAAGTAACGCTTCCGTTGCCTTCAGTTTAACATCAGGAAATCACGATTTCTATCCTGCTGGCCTTAATTTTTCCAATACAAACCACAATTTAAGACAGAGGTTAAATTTAATAAACGATCATGTCCCTTATAGGGAAACTTCAAAAACTAGTGTCTTGAGTAACGCTTCCGTTGCCTTCAGTCCAACATCAGATACTCACAATTTCTATCCTGCTGGCCTTAATTTTTCCAATACAAACCACAATTTAAGTAATGATAACAATTTTACATCATTTCGTCAGAACCTGAGCTCAGACTTCCACAATTTTAATTTTTACCATAAAAATTACGTATCAGCGAAGGGGCGCGTTCCCTTTGAAGGCAAAGTTGCTCCACATCGCCGCACACGGCGCTCGGTTTTCACATTGCCGGGACACCCTCTTAGGAATGTGAGTGTGAAGGGCAGCATGAAAATGAAAGGGTGAGTGGCAGTATGAGAATGTGAGGGAGAGTGGCAGCAAGAGAATGAAAGGGCGAATGACAGCATGAAAATATAAGGGTGAATGGCAGCATGGTATGAGAATGTAAGGGAGAGTGGCAGCATGAGAATGCGAGTGTGAATAGCAGCATGAGAATGAAAGGGTGAATGGCAGCATGAGAATGAAAGGGTGAATGGCAGCATGAGAACGTGAGGGTGAATGGCAGCATGAGAATGAAAGGGTGAATGGCAGCATGAGAATGCGATTGTGAATGGCAGCATGAGAATGAGAGGGTGAATGGCAGCATGAAAATGAAAGGGTGAGTGGCAGCATGAGAATGAAAGGGCGAATGGCAGCATGAGAATGAAAGGGTGAATGGCAGCATGAGAATGCGAGGGTGAATGGCAGCATGAGAATGAAAGGGTGAATGGCAGCATGAGAATGCGATTGTGAATGGCAGCATGAGAATGAAAGGGTGAATGTCAGCATGAGAATGAGAGGGTGAATGGCAGCATGAAAATGAAAGGGTGAGTGGCAGCATGAGAATGAAAGGGCGAATGGCAGAATGAAAATGTAAGGGTGATTGGCAGTATGAGAATGAGAGGGTGAATGGCAGCATGAGAATGCGAGTGTGAATGGCAGCATGAGAATGAGAGGGTGAATGGCAGCATGAGAATGAAAGGGTGAATGGCAGCATGAGAATGTAAAGGAGAATGGCAGCATGAGAATGAAAGGGTGAATGGCAGCATGAGAATGTAAGGGAGAATGGCAGCATGAGAATGTAAGAGAGAATGACAGTATGAGAATGAAAGGGTGAATAGCAGCACGAGAATATACGAGTGATTATCAGCATGAGAAGTCAAGTTTTAAATGGGGCATAGGAATGTGAAGGAAAATGTAAGGTAGTGATAGCGCATGAAGAAAATGTAGTTGAATTTCAGCTGCGATTAGGTAAGTTGCTCTAGCAAATAAATTTCCAGATCCTGGTAATGTGAAAGCATACATGAAGTTTAGATATCATCGAGCGGTTATTCTGAACTAACTCGTAATTTAATCGGATATCCGACTCATGGAGAGTAAAGATGTATTGATACATTGGCCAAATATAGCATTATTTCATTATATAGGACAAGTGTGTGTATAATTAAACCGAGATAAAGGAGTAGATTAACGCCAGATACCCTCAGAGGGTGATCACGTGGAGGGTGGGCAGAGGGCATCACTCGTCCCGCCTGGGTATGACCCTCAGCAGAGCCGTCTTCAGCCTCGCCTTCAGGATCTGGTCAGAGGTCATCCCCAGCGTCTTTGTTGAGGACCTCTTCTCTCCCGCGGGAGATGTTGACGTCCTGGTCGGCTTTGCTGCCAGTGAGTTAACAATTGTTAGTTAGGTTAAGAAAATATATAAGGTAAGAAATGTATAAGTTTATGATATATAAGGTAATAAATATAAAAAATACGAAAATGTACAAGCTAATAAAATATATAAGGTAAAAGAAATATAATTTTATGATTTATGTCTGGTAATAAATATAAAAACTACGAAAATGTATAACCTGATAAAATATATATGTTAAGATAATATAAAAGGGTTTGAACAAGTCATTCTTTAATCCACTTTAATTCAGCTGGAGAACTATTTTTACAGCAGGGAAGAAGATTTGATTACGCGAACTTAGATAGATACCAGGATTACTCATCGAAACCCGATTTGCCTGCTATTAAATAAGTGCTGCCAGTGAACGCACTGTACAGTACTCGTGTACTGTACAGTACCCGTGTCTACGACAGTTTTTATTCTGTTTCCAGTGAGTGTACCTGTGTCCAGAACAGCTACTATAACCTACCTTCCAGCTGGCGTGCCTGTGCCCAGAACAGCTACTATAACATACCTTCCAGCTGATGTACCTGTATCTGGACAGCTACTATAACATACCTTCCAGCTGATGTACCTGTGTCCAGAATGTCCAGAGCAGCTTCCATAACATACCTTCCAGCTGGCGGGCCTGAGTCAAGAACAGCTACCATAACATGCCTTCCAGCTGATGTACCTGTGTCTAGGACAGCTACTATAACATACCTTCCAGCTGATGTACCTGTGTCCAGAACAGCTACTATAACATACCTTCCAGCTGGTGTACCTGTGTCTAGAACAGCTACTATAACATACCTTCCAGCTGGTGTACCTGTGTTTAGAACAGCTATTATAACATACCTTCCAACTGAATACTGATGTACTTGTGTCTAGGACAGCTACTATAACATACCTCCCAGCTGATGTACCCTTGTCCAGAACAGCTACTATAACATACCTTCCAGCTGATGTACTTGTGTCTAGGACAGCACCTGGGTTGCAGCCGCGCATTCGACGGTGTAGGAGGGGAGCTGGGCCACGCCCTGAGCAGCAGCCTGCAGGCGCAGATCCATCTCGACGACGACGACCTCTTCAGCATCGACCCAGACGGAGGAACGCAACTCCTACAGGCGAGTCTTCTTCTTCACAGACGAGTATCGTGCCACATGTTCCACTGCACGCAAGTCTTACCTCGATGCAGGCGAGTCTTGTACAGTAAATAATTTAATTTTTACATATATGTTTTCACTGCAAGTTGTTAAACTTTATTCAATTTGTGTATTTATACTTGAAAGGCATAGGTCATTTCACTACGACCACGGAGGTTAACATGTCTCGACCAAGGAACTATTAGAATTTCCTTCCTCTCTGTTTTCCTTCGACAACAGAAACTGTAAAATCTCTTGGTGCTCTATACACGCTCTGAATAAAGCATGCAATGTTCTATATATGTTCATAGTACAGCATACTGTGGTATGTAAATGCTCATAAAAAATCATTTTTTTTTGGCAGGTCGCGGTTCATGAGATTGGACATGTGCTTGGCCTCACTCATGTACTGCGTAGAGCCTCGGTCATGTTCGCAATGTACAGCCAGGCAAGTGTAGCTCAATGCATGTTCATCTCAGAGGGAGCTTCATGTTTCGTTCATGGCTATCAGTCAAGGAGAAAACATGTATTCAAGGTCCAAACCTGCAGGCAAAACAAACTAAAAACTAAGGACTAACTTCTCGCCAGGTATCAAACCTGAAATCAAAGACCAAAGTTTTGTTCTAAAACGAACTCCTTTTCTAGGAAACAAATTAACTCTTCTTGTAGAAACAAATTCTTCTTCTAGAAACAAACTTTTCTTCTAGAAACAAACTCTATTTCTAGTAATAAATTGTACTTCTAGGAATGAATTGTACTTCTAGGAATAAATTCCATTTCTAGGAATAAATTCTACTTCTAGGAATAAATTTTACTTCTATTCTAGGGTAACAAGTTTCCTCTTACAGGATGAGGTGTTGGAGCTGGACGACGAGGATCGTCGTCTCGTGCAAGCCATCCACGGCCACTGCGCCGGCAGGTAACCGCACCAACCATCAACGCCATATAGGCCTTTTCTCTGAAGCCTCAAGTAATCCAGGTGTCTCTGAAGTCTTAATTAATCTAGGTGTCTCTGAAGTCTTAATTAATCTAGGTGTCTTTGGAGCCTTAAGTAATCTAGGTGTCTCTGAAGTCTTAATTAATCTAGGTGTATCTGAAGTCTCAATTAATCTAGGTGTCTCTGAAGCCTCAAGTAATATAGGTGTGTCTGAAGCCTCAAGTAATGTAGGTGAGTATAAAGCCATTCACTATCGAAGTGTTTCTGAAGCCACACTCTATCTAGGTGTCGCTGAAGCCATAAATAATCTAGGTGTTTCTGAAGCTACAAATCATCTAGGTATCTCTAAAGCCATTACTCATCTAGGTATCTCTGGAAAAGCAACTCATCAAGGTGTCTCTAAAGCCATAAATGATTCAGATGACTCAGAAGCCACAAATGATTTTAAGTGTCTCTGAATACATCCATATAAAGTCTGTTAATGTTTCCAGGTTCGTAACCGTATTCGACCTCGTCACGACGAAAAGCGATGGAAGCCTGACGTACACAACCTTCTTCTTCCGCCGTCATCGATACTGGATGTACGACAACAGGTAGAGAACACGATTGTTTCATTGCTGGATGTACGACAACAGGTAGAGAACACGATTGCTTCACTGCTGGATGTACGATAACAGGTTGAGAACACGATTGATTCATTGCTGGATGTACAGCAACAGCTAGAGGACACATTTGTTTTGTTGCTGGATGTACGATAACAGGGAAAGAATACGACTGTTTTCTTACTGGATGTACGCCAATGGGTAGAGAATACGTTTTTTTAGTTGTTGGATGTAAGCTAACAGGTGGAGAATAGATGTTTATTTTATTACGGGAAGCCAGATAAAAATAATTTATTATTATCACAAGTCTTATGCCAGCGTATAGTGAAATATTGCTACCACTTACAGCCCCCTTACCATTAGTTGCTAGTCACACTCTCCCCTCCTATATACAGTATACTAGTTGCTGGTACGACATTAGTTCATTTAGTTGCTAGTTACGTCTACAACTCTCCCCCAACGACTAGTGCTACTTACATCACCCCTACTACTAGTTTCTAGTCACACCACTCCGATTACTAGTGCTAATTACTCCTCCCCCCACTAGTTTCTAGTCACACCCCTACTACTAGTTACTAGTTACAACCCTACTACTAGTTACTAGTTACACTCCTACTACTAGTTACTAGTTACACCCCCTACTAGTTTCTAGTCACACCACCCCTACTACTAGTGCTAATCACCCCTCCCCTACTAGTTTCTAGTCACACCACCCCTACTACTAGTGCTAATTACCCCTCCCCCTACTAGTTACTAGTAACACTTCTCTCCATCCAGACGCAGGCGGGCGCGTCCAGGTGACCCACTTCTGGTGAGCGTTGGGTGGCCGGGGCTGCCCGACGCCCCCGACGCCTTCGTCCACATCTGGACCCCTGGCGCCGACCGCAGCATCTTCTTCAAAGGTAACAAGTGGGTCAAGCACCGCCCCCAACTGGGTCAAGACCGCAGCATCTTCTTCAAAGGTAAAAAGTGGGTCAAGCACCGCCCCGAACTGGGTCAGGACCGCAGCATCTTCTTCAAAGGTAACAAGTGGGTCAAGCACCGCCCCCAACTGGGTCAGGACCGCAGCATCTTCTTCAAAGGTAAAAAGTGGGTCAAGCACCGCCCCGAACTGGGTCAGGACCGCAGCATCTTCTTCAAAGGTAACAAGTGGGCCAAGCACCGCCCCAAACTGGGTCAGGACCTCAGCATCTTCTTCAAAGGTAACAAGTGTGTCAAGCACCGCCCCAAACTGGGTCAGGACCGCAGCATATTCTTCAAAGGAAACAAGTGGGTCAAGCACCGCCTCAAACTGGGTCAGGACCACAGCATCTTCTTCAAAGTTAACGAGTGGGTCAAGCACCCCTCCAAACTGGGTCAGGAATACCTACCCAAGCACGAAAAAGTGCGTCGGAATTTTGACAAGGAGCCGCCCATTTCACTGAGTGTAAGATTTGGCTTTCTGTGACCACCAATTTCACTTAAGGCCGCAGTGTCTGTGAAAATATATCAGTATGAGCAGAATAGGTAATAAAAATATTATATTACGTCAGACTGTGACCTTGTTGCGTACGATACTTTAGAGAGGCAAAACATTCTATAAGAATGAAAAAACGTCAGCTAAATTAAGTTTGTAAAATTAGTTGTTCGCGAGGAAAGACATTTGTGAACCATGGTTCCGCTGCACGAGCTGAGGTCAACAACACAGACGAGTTAGGTGATCAATGTCGCACCAAATATGAGATCTTGCAATTTTTTGGCTGCAATTATATAATATAATAATATAATATGTATATTATATTATGTTATATTATATACTATATACCTAGACAGTATACCACTGTATCAGGTACGCATTACTACGCCTACGACGCGGCAGAGGAGCGGATTCTGCCAGGCTATCCACGGAAAATATCCAGGGACTTTAGGTCCTCACGAGCCCCAAAAGCCCCCCACGTCCCCCGACGGCCCCCCAAAATCCCCAATGAAAGGGACACCACTAAGCTAGAGCCCCTTGAGGAGAGGGGGACGGTAAAGCGTCTCCCCAGCAACATGGACGCTGCGTTCTTCGACAAGAGAGACGGCAACCTCTACGTCATCAAGGATAATCTGGTGAGTGGGTTAACTTAGGAAGGATTAACCTGGAGTGAGTGGATTAACTTGGAGCGAAGGGGTTAACTTGGAGTGGATTAACCTAGAGTGAGTGGGTTAACTTGGAGTGGATCAACCTGTAGTGAGTGAGTTACTTGGAGTGGAATAACTTAGAGTGAGTGGGTTAATTTGGAGTGAGTGGATTAACCTGTAGTGAGTGAGTTACTAGGAGTGGATTAATTTAGAATGAGTGAGTTAATTTGGAGTGGATTAACCTGTAGTGAGTGGGTTACTTGGAGTGGATTAATTTAGAATGAGTGAGTTAATTTGGAGTGGATTAACCTGTAGTGAGTGGGTTACTTGGAGTGGATCAATTTAGAATGAGTGGGTTAACTTGGAGTGGATTAACTTAGAGTGAGAGGGTTAACCTGGATCGGCTCTTGCATTCCTGGTCATTCAGTGAGTGGTTGCAGTGTTTCCATCGTGATCATAATTGTTCCTAAATGATGATCCTGAGTTATATTTTGCCGTCGTAAATTTCAGGTTGTAAAAGAGCTGATCGGTGATTCACGATTTATGGAATTATTCATTGTTAGTGTTTAGGATGCCAAGATCAAATTGTTTTGAGCCTTCCTGAATTCATTTCTAATATCTGTATTCGATCATGTTCTATAATTTGTATTGTATTTTTTTTACTAATTTTATCATATGAAGACTGAACTTATCTTTAAATCTGCACATATTTGAGGGGAAAAATTTGACGTCTATTTATGCTAGAATTTTAGATTCACATGTGACTAATCCATTGCAGTAGAGATGCCCTAACCTAACTGTGAAAATAACGAAAACGTCCAGATGACAAAAAGGCAAATAACATAACATGATTCAGGAGGATATTGTGCAGGTTTATTATTTATTGTGCATAACATCTCACAACACGAGACATAACGGCCGCAGCTTTCTTTGTGAAGGTGTACGGTCTCAACATGAGACGTAACGACCACAGCCTTATTTGCGCAGGTTTACGGTTACAATATTCAACGTAATTGCCACAACCCTCTTCGTACAGGTTTACGGTTACAACATGAGATGTAATAATCACAGTTTCTTCGGGCCTGCAGGAAAGCTGTGACAACGTCCAAGTTGGTGACAACGTTCGACGCAAAGGCCACACACAGCCTTCTTCCTCAGCCAATGGACACAGCCTTAATGAGACCCTTAACAGAGGCCAGGCTCGGAGGTGTTTCTGACGCCGCTAGTTTTTAAACTAATTACATGAAAGCCATTAATAGTAATAAGCACAAGCTTGTTCGAGCAGGTTTACAGTGACAACGTTCGACGCAACGGCTACAGTCTTCTTCTTCAGCTAATGGACACAACCTAAATAAGACCCATAACATAGGTCAGGCTCGGAAGCGCTTCTGACACCGCTAGTTTTTAAATTAATTACACAAAAAAAGATACGTAATGACCACAAGCTTGTTCGAGCAGGTTTACGGTTACAACGTCAGTGAGGAACGGCACGGCTGCTGCCTGCCAGGCTACCCTCGCCCTCTACAGGAAGAGTTCCTGCCTGCAGATGCGAACACCGAGCCCATTTCCGGCAAACTGGACGCCGTCTACTACTCCTACCACTTCAAGTCGCTCTTTCTGTTTAAAGTTCGTTACTGGTCTAGTAATATATGGTTTTGTGCTAGGGCAGTGATACATTGCACTGTTCGAAAAAAAAACAGCAAAAAATTGTCTCACCGGCGTTATAGTGGCCGGCCGCCACGTGAAAATAAACCATTTATCAATTTTTTTGTAGATGTTGTACGAGTTTCTAGTATTAAATTTTAATAAAAAATGGCCGTACGGTGTTCCTTTTCACGGGTCGGCTGCCAACTAGAACGCCGTTGAGACTTTTTAACTGAGATTTTTCTTACAGAGTGTTCACTGATAATGGGCTTGGAGGTATCTGTGAAGACGACCTATCAATTATCCGGAATAATCTTGAGCCAAATCATCTAGGATACAAGTGAAATTGTTCCTCTCAGTGCTATCCTTTCGATACTCGCTATAACTCAAACTGATAAGGGTTCATGCTCAATTTTTGGCTTCAAAAAGTAATTTACTTTCTGCTGATGCAGGACGAATATTGTTAAAACAGGGCTGAAAGGATTTAATATTTTTGCTCATTCAACCTAAAAATTGCCGATTTATGGCCATAATTAGTTCATCTTTCTGTTCGTGTAAGTTAAATATTATGTCTGCATGGAAGAAAGTACTGGACTGCAGTACTTTACTTAAGTACTTATTTAGACCCTAATATAATATTTTCAACTCAAGTATTGTTCGTTGCAGGGCCGTGAGTACTGGCAAGTGGTTTCATATCATCCGCTGGATCCTCATCGTACGAACCTGATCAGCGGACCACACCAGGTACACTTGCGGTGGCCTGATGTCTGCGACACCGACCCCGTACACGTCCGTCCTTAGCCAAGCACACTGGCGGAATGAGAATATGGCATCATAATGATAATATTTAAAAAATAAAATGAACCGTCCCTAGCCAAGCCCACTGGCAGAATGAGCCCATGACAAATAATGATAATATTAAAAAAATAACTCAGTACTCACTGCAGCGAGTGACAGAGAGCGCATTTTATCGTCGGCGAGAACGTGAGAAGTCACGGACGGACAGACAGACAGACAGACGGACAGACGGACGGATGGACATGGCGAGCACAAAAGCATTTTTTTTTTCATAAATGAAAAAATGCGCTAAAAAAATTAACCGTCCCTAGCCAAGCCCACTGGGTGGCGGAATGAGCCCATGACATAATAATTATAATAAAATAATAATAGCGGTGTCAGCGCATATTAGGCCGTAGGTCTGTCACCGATTCTCAACATCTCAGAACAATCACAGCTTGTTGCGGATCTCGAACACGAAACTCATTGCTCCAATTTTTCTGCGCTTAACAGCCTAGTCACCTAGACTGCAAAAGCGAGTTGAAGGTTTGAAACCCACAACTTTTGAAAGTTTTGGTTGACATCGTCATAATGACGTGGTGGTTAAGGATTGAGAAAAGGCAAAAATAACCTAATATATTCCGACAAAACTATTCAGTGTTTCTGATAGTTCCCTCGTAGTTTCCATGACTGATTGCAGCTACTATATAATAAATAAACTAATGGATCTCATATAATTAATTCGTATGGAATAAAATAATGTTAATACTCCAGATTTAGGTGTCCAATAATACGTGCGACGTCCTCATAATAAAAAACTTCTGTTTAACCAGGATGCAAAACTTCTCTTAAGATTTGAATTATATAGCGAGTAGTTGTTGAGGAAATAAAGGGGGTTCTCTAGTCTCAGGTTAGGTTTATACTATTAAGTTATATTAATATTAAATTATAATTAGTTATGTATCGGCATAACATGCATTTATCTCATAATATTTTTAGTTAATTAATGGAATGATCATTTGATTATACGTCATTTAAATAATTATAAAGTATTACTGAGTATATAATACTTGAGTGAACGGTTAGGACAAGTTCAATCACATTGTGAAAAGGCGTTGAACCGCTATATATAATAATACTGGGGGCCGTACTGGGGCCACTAAATATAATAATTTTAGTTTAGTACCAGTGAAGAAGAACACAAAATAAATTAATGGAAAAATGATATTTGTTTTTATTGAGCGCAACTGGTGGAATTTATGGTGTATTGCAATAAAATTATGGTGTATTGCTACGTGTTCCTAAGTCGCTACGTGTACTTAGGCCGCTACGTACGCTTGTGCCGCTACGTATACTTAGTCTACTATGTGATCTTTTGCGAGTTTTGTAAGTACGGCCTTTAACAAAATAAAATAATAAATTAAAAGAAATGTGGGGTCTGGATATTGTCCCGACATTTTGGGTCAAGCTGTGAGGCAGCTTATAAACCAAATATACAATTTAAGGGCGCCTATGTCAACAGTGATGAGAGGAACGTTAACTTAGAAAAGGTGCAGTAATAATATAAAAATAAAATTTAAAATGAATCGGGCTCTTATTTTTTTCTTTAATCCTCTAGACTCCAGCTGTTCACATATGTCAAAATTTCAGAACTGCGTTTTTCGGCCATGTTTGATGCTCGTTCGTCAAATTTAGCAAATAAAACGCCTTTAATTTTAGGCTTCGCTTTTACCAGACATACAAATGTCGATCGTCAGATTTTGTTCAATGAACACAGTTCAGCAATGTGGTAAAGATGCATTGTGGGGTTTGTACTCGCAAAAAATTTCACTAAAGGAATATTGGAAAATGGATACATGTTTCATTACTTGCTAAAAAGCAAGACTTTAATTTAAATATTGCGTTCCACTAATACTATAGTAAGCCTGGTCATATTGTTTTTGACCTGACACTCGCTGAAATGAGCGTACATAAAAATTCACTCATGTACATACGCGGAACACCGAAATGTTAATACAACAAACATCCACATGCAATAGGTTTTATGTAAATCCTATCAGTATTCAAAAAAATGTGTATTCTGTGACTATTCTATTCCCGCAAACATCGTTAAAATAGTCACAGACTAGACTAGAGAGTGTTCGTAGAATGGTAGCAACATCCTGCAAGCAGTTTCCGGTGACGACAAAATAACTGGCATATTTTACAATAGAATAGAAGTGTCGACACTGAAGAAATAGGCCCATGGCCTGTTGTTATTTGGTTGCTAAGAGAACTTTATTTCATGTGTAATGTAGGTGTTGATAATTATCACAAAGAGTCCAAAGAGAAATGACTTATTTGATCCCGGGATTAATGTCCAATGTCTAATGATTAATGTCCCATGTCTAGCGGGACAATAATCTAATTTCTGACCGACACTTTTGCTCACAAATTTGTCTGGAACTTTTTGGCTGGAATATTAAGGCGTACTTATTTAGCATACTGCGCATGCCTTAGTAGCTTAGTCCAATCGGCTTAGTCCAATCTAAACCGAACTTCATCTAATGAACATCGATACTTCTATAATAAGCGAGCGTTGACAAAATTTTTTTACCCGCATCGTTTTCCAGTAGCGCGCCTCTTGTGGTCACTCATGCCGTCACTATTGTATAGTTAGCGTCAGCAGGCAAAAGGTTTAGTATGCTCAACTAAATTAATTTAGAATAATTTTGTTGTTATCATTACGGTAAGTAATTTATATATGCCGTTCTATCAAACATGAGCCGGCAAAATCGAAGACACATTTTGCTATCCTAGTGTCGGTTCTAAAAAAGGTTATGGAGGCATTTCAGGCCAGTTAAACCAAAATGACGTCTAGGCACGCACGTCTTTTTTCTAAAAGAATGGATTGATCAGTGATATTCTATTCTAAGCTGTCTCTCCATGATTGATATCTTTTGATATCTCAACGACCATAATATGGACAAATAGTATTAAAATAATGCGTCATTTAACGGCAATTTGTATGATACTAATTCCCTTCTAAGTTACCATTGTATTTTTAAATAAATTGTGATATAAATGAGATGAGATAATTTGAATTGTCTCTAGTCATGTTTATTGCTTCCTCTTTATATAATTTACGCCATTTTTTTTCACTTGCGTATTGCTACAGATTCAGTAGCCAAGTTTCGGTCTTCACGCACATCTGGCAGGCACGATCAGCAGTTGTTGCTGGGTGAACTTGAGCGTACCCGGTGGCTTCGTTTACTTCTTTTCTTTGTCACCGTGCAGTGATCGTCAGTCGTTTTCAAGTCTGCCTTCTCTAGTCTCGACAACCCTGTAAGTACGCTGACTATTTAGTTTATTATATTCACTGGATTTATGGTTGATAAGTATTCAACACTGGAGTAAAATTTTAATTACCGTAAATCCGTAATTATTCGGACGTTAGGTTAGTTGAAGTTAGTGTTACTATGAAGTTGCAGCGGCTGCGGCATACCACTTACAATGGACTGAACACTGACTGAAGTAAACTTTTATTTTTATGTCAGAATTGTTTGTTGAATTTTCCTGTAATCTCTTATGGATAAATACACAATAGCACCAATTAATTAGAGCCCAAGACTGGTAGGCGATCGAAGTAATGACTTGCAATTGTCAAGGCAGATGAGATGAACTAGGTACGTGAGCGTAGTTAGTTAATCAAGTCTTTCATCGTTGTATGGTGGACAGTGGACACTGGACTGTCTGGACAGACTGGACAGTAGGGTTAACATTCATGATTTCATAAGCTTTGGTATAAGTACACTGGTACATGACTTACATCTGAAGAGCCATTTATTTAATATTAAGTTGATGTATATAATTTTTCTGTCATGGAAACTTTTTAACTTTGATAAATTTAATGATATTGATCTTGGTAACTTGGTTTGATGGTTTCTACCATAAATAATGATATATATAAAAATATAATTTAGATTTATTAAATTATAAATTTTAAAATGAAACCTATTGGCTATAATACTGTATAGAATAACTATAGATTCAAGTGAAGTACTGTAGCAGTGTAGCTGTAGCAGCCTGCAAGTGTCAGTCTGGTGTCTGCCAGAATAATGACTAATTTAGGGCAAAAATAAACAATAATAATAGAAGTCATGGGTAACTTTTCTATAAATAACTATTTGCTGAAAGTAAGAGCATAGCTTTTATTATAATGGCTATAAGGTGTGAGCTAATGGCAAATGAAAGTGATGTAATAGATAGGAAAATTGGCTTATATATCAGTGCAACCAATTTAAATCTGTTTAAAACTTGGGTGAATTTGCAATCCTGCATTTCTATTCCAGTCATGCAGATGCAGTTTCATTTACAATTAAGCAGTTTAACTTGACATTGCCTCTGCTGGGCCTAAAAATTCTTGCAATTTTCATTTTAGAGTTTTGTTATATACCTTCATTTCCATAATTCCTAATCCTAGAAAATAGTAAATCTTATGTATTCTAATCAAATGAAGACAAAAAAAATTGTATGTTTATATAAAAAGGAGTCCCATACTAGCTAATTTCCTATCATAATGTGAAAAAACTGTTTGACCTAATACTGTCAAATAAGGTGATAAGGGACAATTGTGAGTGTTTTCCATAAATAACTCCTTATCATGAAACATTTCATAAACAAGTCTGAGACTCTGAGCTAATTTTAAAGGTATTTGCTAGGGCTGTTGTATGGCATCTCTGAAAAAATTCAAAATGCTATTTATAAGGTGCCAGAAGCAAAAGAAAAGCATCCTGAAACCTGGATTACCTCTGGGAATGGGGTAATTTGGGACACTTGAAATGAAACTTGATTTTATAATGTTTGAAGCATGCTTACTCTTTCCTTTCCTTACTAACAGTACTCCAAACTCCTCTTCCTTCGTGGATGCTGTAGATGTAAAATAAATGACATTTTCTGTGATTTGTACTTGTTTTTTCCTTTATTGATATGATATTACCATATCCATACATTACTGTATCGTTGATGTGATTTTACTGTATCCATGGACATGCTATTGAGCATTGACAACAACCTTGTCTACTGCAAGATTCATATCAGCAGCTGTATAGCATTTCTTCCGTATCTGTAAGCTTACAGTACTCAGTACTGGGCTTGTAACTTAGCATCATTTTAATTGGGTCAAGTGATTTCACTATAACAAAAAATATATATAACTAGGTTACTAGGTACTCACTGCAGTGAGTGACAGAGAGGGCATTTTCTTGCTTAACAAAAACGTGAAGTGTGGACGGACACACATAAGGACAGATGGACATGACAAGCACAATAATATATACCGCCTTTTTTCCATAAATGAAAAAATGTGCTAAAAAGGTCTTAAAAATATAGACCTGAAAAAGAAAAGAATATTTTAGCAACAACCATCATATATTTTGGAGAAATTAAGTTTAGGTTAATTACTTTTCATTCTATGTTGCCTGGTGCACAATTCTATCTATGACATTCTATGCACAATATTATGATGACCAATGATGCATTAATTTTTTGTTGAGTGAAATTTTTTTTGCTGAGCAAGGTAAATGCTATCAAAATTCTTTGTTGTTAATAAATTTTTTCGTTAACTGGAGCCTTTGCTAATCAAGGTTGTACTGTAAATGCATTTTAGGGGTGTCCCATACTACCCAGAGGGTGTCCCTTATTACCCTGTTTTGCCAAAAAGGCCACCATTTTGTTTTGGATTGAGGTACAAAAATTCTGTCCTTGAAATTTTTAAGCAAGACCTGTCAGCAACTTTTTTTTTAAAGCAAAATTTTCTGCAACTGTCCCAATTAAACCCCACCCATCCCATATTTACCCCATTTGACAGTAGCGGCACCAATATGAGATGTGTTAACCATGGGTCTGAGCCTTAGGAAGTTCCTTTCATTTATTGGTGTTGTTGTTGGGTGGTGCTTTCACCATGGCCTAAGGTTGATGTTCCTAAACAAACTCTGGGTACCTGTTACGTGGCGATTTTGAGGGCTTAGTCATTTCAGTTCATAGTTTTGTAAATATTAGCATGAAATAATTTGTAATCAGGCAGATTTGTCATCAGAATGGAATCTCGGACATGTTGGGCATTGAAGTAGTATAAATTTTACATCAATCCGTATCAAATCCTATTATATATTTACATTAACTATTTTATTTCTCAGAATATCTCATGGTACATCTTGGCTATAGCAAGTATCTATTTTAAATTAAGAATTGATGTGTGAATGTTTTAATTACTTAACATTCTAGCCTTTAAATGTTGATTGGGTACTTATTTTTCAGTTGTATTCAATTGTATATAAGCTACTTGACACAAGAGTCTAGTAAAATAGGTCTCATCTCTGGGTTCTATGTATTCTGTTACGATTGGGAACAAGTGTGGAAGCCAACCGTCAGCAATACCCATTCGGATAATTATGGCAGGATGAATGCTATTTAATGGCATTCAATTTTATTGTTAGTGCAAGCATTCAGTAGGTAACTTAAGCCTGCATATAACGAGTCTTGTTATCAACAGAGAGGCGGGTGTTGGCTCACAGCCATGAGTGGAAATGCAGTTTTGGCGGTGCGGGAGCTGCTGGGATATCTTGAATGTCCCAACCCAGACGTATCTGAAGAGGCCAGAGATCAGCTCCACCAGCAGCTCAACTCAATAAATGACTCATGGCTAATTGCTGGACTCTTGAACTACTTTCTTGAGTCCAACAGGTACGTATCTTTTGTTCTGCAAAGCGTGTCCAAATAGTTAGAAAAATACCACCGGTACCCTATATTTTAAAGCATCTTGCAGTTTGAAAAATACTTTATTTTAAAACATCTTGCCTCATTCCATTTTATTGATATCTATCTTATATGCTTATTTTGTACACATTTTGATAGCCATTGAAATCTAAAAATTGAGTTTTAGTGCCTTTTGCATTGTTGTTGGTCAAGTATTTTTGAATACTTCTAGCTTTAAAGTGTGGTAAGAAAAAAAATTTGCCAACATCTGTGAAATTTCTTTTCTGCTCTACTCCAATAATAAAATCATATGGCTCTGAAAGTTTGTGTTGATGTGTGAAACCATTCTTTTTTTGGGCTTATTTTTATTGTTCAAATAATGAGTCCTATATTAAAACAAAATATTGTGAATTCTATATTATTGAATGGCTTCTAAGTGTTTTTAAACTGTAGAAGAAATAATGAAAAGTGCCAAATTTTCTTGTTTAACTCTATGGTTCTGTGCAGTCGACACGCTCTCGAGCTGATCTTTGGAGCCCCTGAGCACCATGACAAACATTTCCTGAACCTTGTATGCGACGGCCTCAAGAAACCACCACAACGTTTCCGCTACACCTGCCTTCTCTTCCAAGGCCTGCGTAGAAACCCTGCTCCATCATGGCTACGCCGTTTGCCCCGTCATACCAGCATAATGAAAGAGCTGCTCTTTGGCTTTGATAACTCGACAGACGTGACGTCTATGGTAGCAAGTGTGGCTGTGGTTGTAACGCTTGTAACGGCTGTACCCCACGACATGGCCAGATACTGCCTTGGCAACGTGCTTGAAATGTTCTGGCGGATGTTAAACTGGACACCAAAGCCACCACAGGACTCAACATTCACCGATTTTCTGAGACTAACGCTATATACGCTCTTCACAAGGCTCTATTCCTTGTTTCCCTGCAATGTTGTTAATTTCATCAGACGGCAAACCATCAACGCTGATAACCGGGCATTCTTCATGTCTACATTGAAACCGATGGTAGAGAGGGTTCGCTTGCACCCCATGCTCTTCAGCTTCACCAAGGAGCAGGAAGTGGACAGCAAGCTGCACATTTGGCGGGACCAAACGGACGTTCTGATGCAGTGCAGTCGCGTCACCCTAGACCCTGAAGAGAGCACGTGCGAGGAGCCGCCGGTGCTTCATGACCCTGAGGTGTGCAAGGCATCTTTCGTGGAGGGCACCAAGTGCTGGGTGCACGCTTCACTTGACACGTTCTTCTGGTCTCCATCACACATTCAGTCCCCAAATCCCTTGAGGGTGGACTTACCCCCTTCAAATATGCACACTCCTCATTCAACTCCTCTGAACACTCCCATATACACTAGGACGCCTCTCAGGTTGAACGTTTCTCTCTCCATACCGGAGTCCCCGCCTGAAGCAGGAGTGGAGGCTACCCCAGAGACGACCCCTTATACCACCCCACTGCTCTCAGACATCAGCAGGCAAATGCGCGTGCAGAGCAAACCTGGGTCTAGTAATAAGTTAGAATCCAATCGTGACATGAAAATGCTCAGTAGTAATGTCAGTAACTCGGGTTTCTTTGAACCGAAAAAGTCTAGTGTTATGCTTAGTAAAATTGATGCCCTGCAAAAAGAAAGAGAACTTGCCGCTCAGCAAGCACTGCCAAAGAACGTTCTAGGTGCTCTTGATAATTCAAATTCTGTGGAAAGTTTGAAGCAGCCTTTGAATGATGCGAGTTCATCATCGAATTTAACATCTCCTCCTGGTGTGGACCAGAGAAAGAACTTGGCCTCTACGTCGGGCCAGGTGCAGCTACCTGATCTATCTAATTTATCAATTGAAAATAACCAATCTAATGCAAGTGCCCCAGCTGCACACGTTAAATTTGAGGGTGCACAGAACATTGTGCAGAGCGCCGGTGAAAAGTCTAAGGAAGAAGACTGCAAAATCGCTAGGAGACGCAAGAAGTCCGTGTTCAAGACTCCTGATGTCGACATGCTGGAGTTCACGAAGAGCAGTTCGACATGTGATTCCCCTAGTCCTGGTGCCGAACATTACGATAAGTTTGATCTTCAAACTGATGGTGACAAAAGGAACCCTTCCTTGGAGAAAAGTGATGAAGAAACTCGTAAAGTTTCAACAGAGAGCAAAGATTCTGGCGAAGAAGAATATCTCGCAAATGATGACGAGCGCGGATTAGGACCACCGTCGGGATCGTCAATTTCGGCGCTCGTAAAAACCGCCAAGTCAAACAGACTGCGCTTTTTGAGTCAGTGTGGGCCACCGCTAGATGAAGATCAAATAGACAGCATCATGCCGGAAGAGAAAAGATCGAAGAATAGATCAGGGCCGTTCCTACGCCTACGCAGCAAGTCATGCACCTCATTTGACATGAGCAGCCTTGATGATGACCACGTCGAGTCTCCGTCCGCAACACAAGCATCCATGCTACCTCGTCTGCCCAGCACCGTGACCATCGACCGTTTCGACGTGGGAACTCAAACCGTCACATCCGCCAGTGTTGATCCTTACGAGAAGCTTATAGAAACCTTCGTCTCGGCCATCACGCTGCCCGCTGCTTCTTCAAACAACGTGCTAGAACAAACCTTGCCCGAGTTCCAGTCTCCTCACCTAATGCTTAGAAATTATATTCAAAGGAAGATTATCGACACTTCAGATCCATTGCCTAATTTTGATTTCTCTCGCTTGAAGACTCCAGATGAGAAACTCAAAAGTCAGATTTATTCCATGTATAGTTTACTGATGTTAGAAAGGCATAAGCGTGAAATTCACGCCCATAGAAATCGTAGCCTGCTTGCTAAAACGAAACGAATGCATGTGTTCATTGAAGAGAAGAAAGGCCTCTGCAGCAAAATGGAGGCTTATCAGGAAGATACTCGTAACCTAAAATCAAGCAACTTGTACATGTCCAGCTGCTACCAGCGTATGAAGGACAGTCGAGATAGAGAGAATGCCGAGAAAGATGCGCTACTCAAGGATTACAGTGAAGGCAAGAAGCTGCAACTCACGGAGACAATTCTGGCCACATTGTCACGCGGCGTAAAAACATCCAAAGGTCAGGAGAGCAAAGACGTGGTGGTGTTGATCCACAGGCCCGTGGACAGCCAGCAAGATGCTCTTAAAGACGAGTTGCTGTCCGTTGCATCTGCACTCATGCATAACTTGCGCCACGTGTGTGACGAACGTCAAGACCTGCGTCTCAAAATCTCAGTTCTCGAACAAAACGTGAGCAGGCATCGCAACAACGAAGATAGTATGGAACTAGTGCTTAAGGAAAAAGAACTTATTCGACAACGCATGTCTGTGATCATGACTCGCCTTACTATTTTAGAAGAGCTGAACTTGGAACTTCAGGAGCGAGTGCATTCGTTAGAGAATGAGCTTTCGGACACCAACAGCAAGCAAAAGCTCGCTAGCATGTCGTGGCAAAGTTACAAAGAAAAGAGTTTATCTGAAAAGAGGGCTATGAGAGGGCTTACTAGTGCGGCAGCGCTGCACCTCAATCAATTACGGAAGGAAAGTGAAGAGAAGGATAAGTTACACGAAGAACAAATTGCTTCACTCAAGCAAAGCAACGATGCACAGCGGCGCCAGATCCAGAATCTTGAGAACGAACTGCGACTTTCCCAGAAGGAAAGTGAGGACCTGCGGTACAGCTTATCACAAGAGGCGGCTCGTCGTGAAGTCTTCAAGAAGGAGCTAGAGATGCTCAGGAGCCGCAGTGGATATTCCCGTTCATGTTCTAATAACAAGCAGTTGCCCCCTGAGGAGGAGAGTACATGCGATAATCTCTCTCAATTCTCTCCAAAATCCTTTTTAAATTCTGCAATTTCGTCGGACTTGAAGCCGCTGCCTTCAGAACCTCCTCCATCGACTAGAAATAAGAAATAGGGAGCTATTTGACTTTCAGCCTGCAGTTCAATTGAACAAAATGTCTTAGCTTGCTACACAAAAGGAGAGCTCGTAGTTATTTCCACCATTTTTGTGACTAAATACATACGAGTGTCCGTCTTCCTGCGTATTTAATCCATTTAGAATCAACCCTAAAGGTCCCTAATATTTTATTCCTTTGGTGTGAATATCAATAATTATATGTACGACTTCGTCCACATTGGCGATCAAGAGCCGTTTGCTTGAGGTGAACCCAATCAACTCCTCTGCTGCTTTACTAATGTAGATTTTGACAAGTTTTAGAAAAGGCTCCTTTTTTTTATGTACTACTCAATGTATTCTATATGGAATTTTTTCATGTCCCGTCGCGACTTTCGGCATATATTTCCCATGCCACCGCGACTCGATGTATCGATCTTTGGTTAGCATCAATGAAATATTGTGTAATTTATGAAAGGTTATGTTGATGTTGAAAAAATTTATGTATGGGACTCTGATGTCAATGTGGCTGGCCAGCGTTTTTTTGCATTTTTCGAAATTTCAATACAGTTGCCGGTGGTTGAGAATCTGTCTTGGCTTGAAAATTAATAGAAACTTTCGTTAAGCTCGTCATTCCCGCCGAACTTTTCTCATGTCTTTGTAAGAGTTGATGGCGCCGAAAATCAGCGTTTCGCGATTTCCAGCAGCCAATTAATATAAATGGATAACATGGATTAACAGGTTTCAGAATGGGGGCAACAGCGGGAGAAATATCAGACCATCGCGCCTAAGTGTAACTTGCTTGACCTGCCGCACTCGAAACTTCGAAATCGTATGTATTATAAGTGTTGAAATATATTTCAAGGAATTTCAGCTACTATGGAAACTGTTAATATCAGATTTCCAAGGATAATAATAGTCATATTCTGATTTAACACCAAAGTAAATTGTCGTATTCAAAGTGCCATTGATCGGACCTACCAGCATTTGTAAGGCATCAGATCTCGCTTGTACTTGTTTGCTTTGGGTCTCCGGAAGCTTTGTAGAGTTCGTCCAAGGTTGAAATTTGTTGATAAATACGTTTGCAGAGGAATACCAGCACTGGTAAAACGGTTTCATGTACTAAGAGGCTATTATATTTTAATGCTAAGGATAAACATTTAATTAGTCCGCATGTGATGGTGCGATATTGTTTTATTGACGTTGAACAATATGTTTGAACATATTGTAAACATGATTTTGTGATAACTTAGTGGTGCTTGCAGCGAAGTCCTGCTATGGTATCGGGAGGCGAGGAGTTCTTGCTTATTTCATTTGATCAATTTTACATGCCGAACTATGTTAAATTGAAAGTGTTTCCTTCTGATCGTCTTTGATGTTTCAGCGTTATATTCGGCATGTATATCGTTCCGGCATGTTTGGCTATAAAGGGAAGCTTAGCGATATCCTGCTTATTTGTAGAACACGGTCACTGAAAGTTCCTTATTCGTCATTGGCTGCTAGTAACAAATTGCACGCGCGTTCTGAAACAGTAGGTTTCAGCCGGATGTGTATGTTATGCTTTGAATGTTATGCGGTGATACGTAACTGAGTGATTGGCATAACTTCGTATTTCCATTTAGCAGGACCACTGTACGAACGAGTGTTCTTTGAATTGCACGGCATCTTTTGGGAATGTGTTATGGCATCATTCGACGTTAAGATTTAACTGAAAATAACTTGCATGGGATTTATCGACGTCTCTTGTGCCGCGAATGAGTTGAACACACTCTTACTGTGAAATAGAACCCACTCTGGTAAGGAATGGAACCCACTCCTCCACATTAACCGTGACTCTGCAAACGCAGTGTTGGGGGAGCGTCGCAATGAATATAATTGTCATCAGAAATTTTGTTTCATTTTCGAATATTTTATTATACATTTTTCACCGACGCAGACGCGTGACAGGATTTCGGTAGTTCGTTCAATCAGTGTTGTGCTCGGATAAAATACTGTTGAAATATCAAGCCACTGATGAAAGTAAGCGAAAGTTTTTCTTATCAACCGTTATCCTGCAATAGTAAATCTGTGTGTATTCTAGTAGTCGCGAATGCAGTAATGACAGTCCACAACCAGCTGTTCTTTCCCGGGGCATACTGATAATCTTCTCCATGAACACCAGAACGTGTAAATTATGAATAGAATTACATCACGCTTTATTGGCTTTACAGGTAATAAATTTCCATTTGCCGAGTCACGACTAGTAAAATATTAATAGGTACTGTATTATCTAGAAGTAATCAATTCAACCCTCTACCGCCTGACATACATGTTTAACCGGAGCAATATTGTCTCAAGCCTACTTCCCAAAAAGTATACGTTGCTAGTGAGCGCAAAAAGACTTGCACTGATGGTTGCCGCCACCTACGACAACTTTAAAATGTTCTCTGTTGCGTACAAACGTGATCTGGTTGTTACACTCAATAGTTTACATATAATTTGCCGCCACGTACAACTTTAAAATGTTCTCTGTTGCGTACAAACGTCCTCAGGCTGCTATACTCAATAGTTTCCGTATAATTCAAGTTGAAAGTTATGTTCCCGGAGAGTGACATACGGCGGTAGAGGGTTAAAGGCACACTAGTTAAGGATTATATCACAGCATCACATTTAATGCCCTTCACCGCAGCTCATTGTGTAAAAAAAGATGAACAGACCAGAGGCTAATGCTAATTATGAAACTTGATTTCCGGGATAAAAATGTTTCCGTTTGAACTAAACACAAAACAGCATTCTAAACTAGCTACAACAATATCCTTTCCAACTAAAAATAGAACGTTTTCTTGCAAAATGATGGTAGGTTATTCCCGTATTTCTTTACATTGAGACGAGTGGCGAGAGGCAAACGATGAGATCAAATTAAAAAATTGGTCAAAAAATTCAACGGTACGGACAGCCATTCGCCCAATGCCCGCGCCTGCCTGAAATAAGATGAAAAATTATAATTAATCAAGGCTAATGCATGACGTACTCATTAATCTGCATCACGTTATACTCACAGGCTAAGCACACGCAATATAAATAAACATGTAATGTATTCATTCATTATAATTTATAAATATCACGATGACTGATAAGGTGTATATAAGAAAACATCAGCTCGTGTACATGAAGATGTTCATTATACGAGCTTACTGACATGTCAAATTCATGCTGCACGCCTGAGCCTGAATACAACGCTGTGTTGAAGCTTCCTATCGGCTAAATATTACTTGACGTATAAAACACTGAGTATAATATTGAACGCACTGATGACAAAAAATAAGTCTTCTTTTCAGCAGTACTAGCTGAGATGTTATCCCAGGTAATTAAATGTTATCCTGGGTAATTAAATGATATCCTAGGTAATTACATATATGCTCGGCCAGATACTTGTGATTTTGAACGGTGATCGTATACGTCTCCACAGCTACCAGCTTAAAAAGTGAAATGCTCATTGTAAACACGCATGAAGTGCGAGAAGATATCTAGCCAACAAAAATTTCTAGGATTAAAAAAACGTTTGTAATCTCACCGTAAAAATGAAGAACAAGATATCTTTATATAATATCATTTACAGAGACCAAGAAATGCGTTACAAAGACCAAGAAATGCGCTGCAGAGACCAAGAAATGCGTTACAGAAACCAAGAAATGCGTTACAGAAACCAAGAAATGCGTTACAGAAACCAAGAAATGCGTTACAGAGACCAAGAAATTCGCATAGCAGCCGCACGACTCACCACAGCTGTAGCAGTGGCCATAGCCCCCGTAGTAGGCATCTTCGTCGCCAGACTCTGACGAAGAAGACAGATCCCCCATGTAGATGTCCCCCGGATGCGAGTCATCGCTGTCGTCGGTAGAAATATTGATAACACTTGGTCCCGCTTCTGGCACCACCTCCATCACGTCCACCGCGGCTGCATTGCTTCTGGTCAACGCGCCTGGCAAACCTCGTCCCCGGGCTGAGCTCTGTGGTGCAGCTCGTCTCTGGCGTCCTCGACTGCAATAAAATTGAGAATTAGAACAGAATTTTTGAATCTGAAGATGGTTTTACACTAAATTTAAAGCTATAAATACAAATGCATTTTCAATGCAGGTAATGTCTTCGGAAAGTAGCATGCATGTGGTTGTAAAAACACGCCAAGAAACGTGACTCGTCAAAGAAAACATCGGAGCACACGCAGATACTGTCGGACAACCAAATAAAGTTGTTCAACAGTACATTTTTCTCTTGAGGAAGCTAAATACTCTATAAAAGCAGAAGATTGCAAATGTGAGCACTAATTTCTAGGACAGACCTACGCACAGTGAGAAGTCGGGAGTACAATCATGGAGGGAAAATTGAAGTCACAGTGAATACTTGACTTTGCTTCTCCCGATAACTTTTAATATTAGCCAGGATTCACGATTAGCCATCGCACCAAATTTTTATAATGATTCTATTAAAAAGCTCTAAATTACTCTATTAGACAGCAAAATCTTGATGCAGGATATGAAATGAACAAATTTCAAAAATCTTTTTATTCCAAGCAAACGACGGATATATAATACATACTTTCAGTTTTAAACATTTGTACTTGCACCTCACTTAAGAATTGTAATGTTTTACGAACATAAACTATATTAAGTTCTGACTCAATTTGATTGAACGAACAGGCACTTATTATAAGATGAACCAAGCCATTAATTAATAAAAAAGAAAATCGAGCTTTATCCTGATCACATACTACATCCTTCCAAACGACTTAAAATTAATGCAGCAAACGGGCTACAAACGTTACAGCAGAATGAACATTAAACAAAGTAGAAGGAAACGCAAGCTCCATAAGTTCAATTCCACTGTTCTTGCGTAATAATTGATATTACAAGAACTTTCAGGATACTTAAAAACCACGTAACGCTAAAAAGCATCACGTTCACACATTACAGAAGGCATGCAGTTCCCTATCACCATTCGTATAGTCATTTCACACACGATTTGAAGTGGGATAGCCATAGTACGATTAAGCATAATGGATTGTAAGTCACAGCCACAACTGACAGTGATATAATAAATGTATACTAATTAATAATATGTAATTAAATCTTCTACCTTATGCGATTTATTAAAGGATTGAGTTGCGAGTCCGCATTCTAAAATCGGAGACTTGGCTTACAGGCAGCAAAAAGCTTCATTTTATGGGTAAATACTTTGTTTTACTTATGGTAAACAGTTCTGATTGAAATGTTTCCTCACACCTTCGTTTAGAATTCAACAGGCACTAAAACTCAGGACGTTATATGGTTTATCATTTCCGAAGTTTTCTGTAGCATTTAAAATCTTATCTCCATACCTCCCCACAAGGTATGGACTCCACAACTCAATATTTCAATGAAGTTTAGTCCAATACAAACCACTGAAAGTGGATGGCTCTGTATGTTATTTCGTATCAGGTCTCGAGACCGGGATGCATTCCATTCCGATGCTGAGGGAAAAGGTCGTAATTCTGTTTCAATTCTGAGATAAAAAAGTCGTAATTCTATGAAGATTTTGAGAAAAGGGGTCGTAATTTGTTGCAATTCTAAGAAAAATGTCAATTTATTACGATGTTGAGAAAAGAAATCATAATTCTGTTCCAATTTTCAGAATAAGGGTCGTAAGACAATTACGATGTTGAGAAAAAATTTGCAAGTATATTACGATGTTGAGAAAAAGAGGTGGTGTGTCACCGCCGGGGCATAAGAGAAAGGAGGCTCTGCAGCAACGACTGCTGCGCGCGCAGCTCAGCAGAGTACTGACTGCTGGAGCCAGGCAGAGGTTGCGGAGGGCCTTCGTTATAAGGGCGGCCGAAATGAGCGGAGCGGTTGTCAAGAAAATGGCCGAATGTCGGGTTGATTGGGGCGGAGATCATCACCACTGATCGATCACTTCCTGTACCTTCAGAACCTGAACCTTCTGCTCCTACTTGAACACGAATTCTTTCTGGATTTCTGCGGCCCCAGTCACCAGTCCCGGGTAAACCTCTTGCCCGTCCCCGACCTATAGGTGGGACCTCGCGGTGACGTGCGTGACTGCAAGGACGGACACCAGGGCCAAAGTCAGGAGCCTTTTCGTTGCAATTTCCTTACTTAGTGAGTTGATTTATTATTGAAGGGCACATTGTTCCTGAAGAATGCTGTACCTTATGATTTTAGAAGAAGCTGGTTTTGCTGGAATCGGTCAAATGCTAGATTTTGACCCATTTAGATGCAGGACACAAAAAAACCCTCTGAGAAAAACTACGGGTACGATTATTTTTGACTGGAATTACAATTTACAATCGTTGATCAGACTAGTGCGACACAATAGGTTCGAAAGAATGAAGAATACTTTTAACTTTGCAAGTTGGATACTTAAATAAATACTTGAAACTGCCTATGTGTATGTAATCAGAACTTCATGACATTGGTATTTCCTTCCTGATTATGATATATATGCTTCAGTACCTTAAATGGTCCATTAATGTCTAGGTCTCATCAGCATAAACAGCGTGGTTATATTTGAAATTCTACGACTAAAGAATATTAAATTCGCTACAATACTTTTCCCCATCACCCCTATCGCGCACTCTCCTCAATAAAATGCTTCATTCATCCCACGAAACAATATAATTGTTGAGTTGTATGAATGTTACCTTACCAAAATCTCTTTAATTGTGATACTTTAAATACACCATACTATAGATACACGATGCTATAGATACACGAGGCTATAGATACACGAGGCTATAGATACACGAGGCTATAGATACACGATACTATAAATACACGATGCTATAGATACACGATGCTATAGATACACGATGCTATAGATACACGATGCTATAGATACACGATACTATAGATACACTACACTATAGATACACTAAATATAAATACACTAGATACTATATTTACAATATATACATCTGCAGCTGCCTCTAAGCTAGCACAGCTCACCCCCTGCGGCCGCGGCCTCGAGCGCTGCGTGCTGCCTCCTTTGCCGCCTTGGCAGCCGCCTCCGCAGCCGCTGCCTTCACGATCTCATCTGCACAATAAAGCTTTGCATTACAATCTTCACAAACATCATAATATTTTGACTTTCATCACTGCTCAGTCATTGCTTACAAGTTACAACACTAACAGCCAACAACAATTTATCATAATATTTTGACTTTCATCGTTGCTCAGTCATTGCTTACAATACTAACAGCCAACAACGATTCATAATATTTTGACTTCCATTTCCCAAGTAGTGGTCATTACTTAGAGCAATAACTAGTAGCTTTTCATATAAACTTTACAATCATTCATCTTCCATTTTTTCACAGTAATATCCCACATGAAAGTCATTGATAACAATAATAACAACCAATAGCTTTTCATAAACACTTCGTTCATAGTCATTTTTTAACATTAATATCCTACATACAAATCATTGCTTACCATATTTATAATTGCTTATAATTACATATTTTTCCCCAAAACAAGTGTTAATGTATAATTTTGGTAAAGTTGAGTTATAATTTCAAAGTGCATCAGTACCGCATGTTAAACTTCGATTAAAATCACAATTAAGTGGTCATTATCGATTTTGCGACACCGATGAAAAAATCTTAGCTGAGGAGTAACTGCTAGGGCATTTCGAGATTCTGATATGCATTCTGGTTCATATAATACGTATTTAGTATTCTACAATAAAATTAAAGCTATAACTTTGAGAGAATACTTAAATATGAATGGCAAAAAACTGTCTTCGCACCTACTGTTGTTCATTTGTATCTCTTTCAGAAAAAAAACGAACTACGCCTTACTCTCAATCTAAATTCTTTGCTAAAAAAAGTAGCATTGGCTTGACTAGATTTATGACCTCAGACCATTAATACACGTCTGAAAATAAACTATCATGTCAGGCAGCTCAAGTGTATTAATGAACACTGACAGCAACGCACCCTCTCTATCCTTAATGGTCTTGAGCCTGTTGATTTTCATGTCTTCAGAAAGCGAGTTTACAATTTTGTCTATAAAATTATCAATAGCGAGCGATCTTGTTTCAGATGTTATAGCAGCGCGACAGGCAGGACAGTCCCGTTTGTTCTTCTTCCAGGAGTTGATGCAGTACTCGCAGAATGTGTGTGAACAGTTCAGGAGAATGGCCTGAAAATAATAAAAAAAATATAACTCAGTACTCACTGCAGTGAGTGACAGAGAGCGCATTTTCTCGTCGACGAAAACGTGGTCACGGACGGACATACGGACGAACATGACGAGCACAATAGCGCCTTTTTTCATAAATCAGAAAATGCGCAAAAAAGGTATGATACTGTTGTAAGCAGGTTGGAAGAGTGACATCAGTAAGTTGTAGTGTTGAAACTAGACTAGCTATACAAAATTTTTATCTATTTGGCGAGGTGATCGGCAGGTTATGAACAGTAAGATTGCAGTAATAAGTTGCATATTCAAGATCCATCTAGTTGCGAAAAATCTGTTAGTCTATATTCTGAGACAAGCCGGTCAAAGCCTATTCTTTAATTCTGCCACCTTCACATATAATGTGTGTGATACTTCAGTCAACAGTACGAGCCCCAAACGTTTTACTGATTTTACAAAAATTTCTAATACCAAAATACAAATTGATTTCGAAAAATTACATATGAAAATTGAAAATTGTTATCAGTGACAAGTATTATATTCATATAAAATCTTGACTTTCATACGTGAAACTTCAATCTCTTTACTCTTTTTGACATTCTCTTTACTCTTATTAAGAGCTCTACAACAAATGTTATTTGACAACATTCTAAAAGTAGCAAACATTTTTTTACGAGAACACTACGTAAAGCAACAATCTATAGGTAGTAAGCTATTTGGAACTGCAATTAAGAATAAGTTAGTTTTTATGAAGATGTTTGTTCGCTCCCTAAGGTGAAGCCATATGAGCGGCATCAACGGGTAGATGGCTTCGTTGTCAGTAGGCGTAGATTCCAGCATCAGAAATTTCTGTCTTGAGTGGCCGAATAGATGAGTTAACACGAGACATGGCCGAATAGAGGAGTTGACATGAGTAACTATGAATGTTAATCATATTTACCATATTGAGTTAAAGCAAATACTGTTCGATGAATAGCGTTATGAGCAAAATTTTGATTTTAAAGATGTTAGTCTATGATGTCATATTGCAATACTAAGTCCCCGATTCTCAATTCTGCACAGAACAGAAGATTAACATTACTCAAGGTTTTCCAAACAATTGTCAGAAAAAGGTTTGTTCACCTTTATGAAGAGCTCGTTGCAAATAGGACATTGCATTTCCGAGTCCATAGCTTGTTCAACCGTGTCAAGAACAGCCTTTTTGGCTTCCGCTGATACCGCAAACTCCATCATTTCCATCTCTTGCTGGAGTGTGGCTTTATCTTGATCCATTTGCTCCAGAGCAGACTGCAGGGTACTGATCTGCAAAATAGAAAGAGTTAGTTAGTTTAGTGGCCAAGTGTTTACTAGCGCTTCAGCTATATCGCTATCTCGCACCGAAAGTCATGACAAACGTCATCAAAGAGGAGGAAGTTCCCAGTTATTGAAAGTTTCTTAAACCAAAAAATCGTTCATCACCCACAAGGGGCGGAAGGTCTCAATTGTCCAGCCACTGAAGCTGGCTCGAAGGAAGCAGCGTTAGCATCTCAAAGAGACGAAGTGACAAAGAGGGACAGCTGAAAAGCAACAGACACTAAGACACTCGAACAAGAGGTCGCTTACACGGGCCATCGGCCACCCGCACGATTGAGACAGAGAATGGAAATGTAAGGAATCCTTCCTACATAATAATAATAACTTAATGTAAGGAATCCTACCTACATAATAACTTAATGTAAGGAATCCTACCTACATAATAACTTAATGTAAGGAATCCTACCTACATAATAACTTAACCCCACAACTGAAACCCGCAGTCACACCGCGAGCTCAGCGGTGGGGCGCTCAGGAACAATCCTCCTAGTAACGCGAAATCCCATAGGACTTCTGACAAGCACAGACACGCGTCAGAAGTTCCCCATGAGGTGCAAAATAGAAAGAAATACAATTCAAATGTCAAACAAAGCTTCTTACTATACAGAGATTGCAGACGAGCGGCCATACATATGGCATGTTATTCCTTTTTTGAGAAATTGACTATTAGCTGCAGACAATGCAGGCAAAATAAAACACACCTGCTGGCCATCTTGTTTGGCCTTTTCTAGCTCTTGTTCAAGTTTCGTTTTCTCTTCTTCAAGAGTTTGTAGTCGCTGCTCTGCCTCGGCCTGTTACAAGAAACCTCAAGTAGTTTCAGACTTATAAATAACTGTAGCAATATTGGTCGATACATTTCCAAGTACAATTTCAATGAAACTTCATACATTTAAAAGTTTCTGGATCACCCAAGAAATCACAAATTAAAATAAAGAGAGGACAAAGCTAATTCAATTTCTCCCCCAATAACAATAATGCGTACCTTCTTTTCCAGTTCTCTGGAGAGGGACGACGCAACGTCTTCTTGCTGCTGTAGCCGAGACTGGACCTGCTTTAGCTGCTCCTGCAGCTGCTGCTCCACCAGCTGGACTTTTTCAGTAACCTGCTCCTGCATCTGTGCTTGTAACCGTACTCGTTCTTGCTCTAGTGCCTCTTGCAGAGCACGCTTTTCTTCCAGCAATTTGTTACATACCATCTCCTGCAACACACAACACAATTAAACATTCAAGCGTGAACATCTGTACGCATAGACAAGGAGTCTTTGCTCCAAAATTTGTTTGGTGCAAAAATTGTGCTAACAATTTTCGCAATAAATTGACTTCTATGCCAATAAAATTCATGCACAATTCACCAAAAATAACGCAATTCATGAGAATTAAATAAAATAATTCGTATTAAGGTATTACAGAATCATCGTTTTGGGAAGACTAAAGATCATGTGTAAATATCACCAAGTTTTAGAACAAGCTTCATGACAAAAATATGCATTTAAAAATTACTTATAAAAGACAACACTTGTAAAGAGGCCAGTGACTTATGTTACACATGTAATATGATTTTTTATTTGATTGTGAAATATTAAAAAAAAATGTTAAAACTTTTTTTAATATTAAAATTTATTTAATTTCTACAACTATTTATTCTGTCAATTGATTCAAGCATTGTCTCTGACTTTACGCAAGGTGCCAAATTTCAGATCGATTGTACAGGTAGAAGTGTGCTAAATATCAATTATAAGATTTGTAGCAGAAAAACAAAAAACAAGAAGTGAAGTTAAAGAGAAGTGTTGTAACATGGATTAACATCCTATAAATTGTGTGCTATCGCAAGGCAGAACCTGCTGAGACTGCAGCTCTTCTTTTTTCTGCTGCTCTATTCTCATCTGTGCTTCCAGCTCTGCACGTTCATTTGCTAACCGCTGCTCCAGTTGCTCAACCTGTTTGGGGAAAATAGAAAGGGACAATAAAATTAATTACAAATAAAATTGATTTGGAATTACCAAGTTATATGAATGCTTAGAAATAAACAATGCTGAAAATTGGAAAAGAGCAGAATATTAAAATTCTCTTAGAAACATCATTTAATATCAATATATAGTATTATTATATTTCTATTTAATAATATATAGCTTCAAGTCATCTGAGCTTCAAAATAATATTTTTGAATTCATATAACAACAAGTATAATAATTCCAAAGTGAAAATTTCCATTGATAATATAATTACTTTCTGCTGGAGCTGTAGTGATAGTTTTTCCTGTGTTTCCTGAAGCTCTTGCTTCTTCTTGTCCTCCATCACTTGCCGTTGCAACTCATCCCGCTCATCTTGATATCTTTAAGAAAAAGCAAAGAAAGACAAGACTCGTTGTGCAGCAAGTTAGGTAGAATAACAAAGACATGGTAAAGTCGGAGCAGTTAGAAAAAATATAACTCAGTACTCACTGTAGTGAGTGACAGAGAGCACATTTTCTTGTTGACGAAAACTTGAGGTCACGGATGGACGGACAGACAGACGGAAATGGCGAGCACAATAGTGCATTTTTTCCATAAATGAGAAAATGCACTAAAAATACCATATCTACAACATAATATCATAGTGAAATAAATGCCTCAACTATCATTCATAATTTTAAGTCATGAATTTCCTTTGTTATTGCGGTTTAATTTCATGGGCTAATCAAATAGTTTGGCACACAGGAACAGTAATTTAAAAATTCATTACAGATAATAATATGATAATTAGATGCTGTTTCTAATTCAATAAACCACAGAATCACAAACAATAAACTTTCCAATAAAAGAAACAAACACACAATTTTTATCTCATTGAATTTATATATAACAAAGTTCTACAACACTAACTTTTTCTCCAATTGAAGTTTTTGCTGTTGTAGGGACTGAGCTAACTCTTCTTTCTCTTTGAGTAGACGGTCATATGCAGTTCGACTGTCATGCAACCTAAGTTCCAAATGGTCATGAGCTTCCACCAATGAATGACTAGCTGAGACTTCAGCTGCCTTATTAGTGGCTAAGTTAGGGTTACACGTTTCTGTTGCTGCCCTGAAACAAGGAATAAATTAGGCTAGCAAAATTGAAATTCAAGTTGTCTCTGAAAAAAAAAATTGCTATGGAGCCAATAAAACAGTGACCTACTCAATAGTGAAATATTTTAATTAAAAATATCAACAATATTGAAACAGGTTTACAGAAAAAAATATGAAGCAAACCTGGTAGCTGAGGCTGCAGTAGATGCAGCTCTATTGCTACTAATTATCTTGACGGCAAACTTGTAAAGAAATTTATTTTCACCAACACCGAATTGGACAGTGTCATTGAGGTGAAGGGGTTTATCCACTCCTTGAGGTAGAATAACTCCATTGAGCAGGGTTCCAGAACTGCTCTGCATGAGAGAGAGACAACAGGACCATGTGATTTTTTATTTGATGCAATTGACAAATGCAATGCATAAATATTTAATTTATTTGGTAAATAATTAGCAAGGGGAATTAATAAGAAATATATTTTTTTCATAGTTAGATAGCCACATACCACATTTTTTACTGTCCAAGCTGCAGGGTGTGAGTTGACTTTCTTAAAAACAGCATGTTGCCTGGAAATGGAGACATCTGGCAGGACAAAGGAGCTCTCCAGGCTACGGCCAACAGAAACCTGGAAAATATTACAACAAATCATTCTACATCCTTACTTGTCTTTCACAGATCATAAATTTACAGCAGCTTTCAGAAAATATGTAGGGTGTGTTTCTCAAAAACATGCTTTCCAAATTAGATCAATTAATTATAGACAAAGCAAAGGGACAGGCTTCAATTCAAACTGTTGTTGCCAACATCACATCCTTCCAGAGCAAAGAGGCAGCTCAGATCATATATGACAATTTCTGTTGTGACATGAAAAAAAAACATTTTTTTCATTTATTTGCCCAAGGGTAAATAAATTCCTGTTAAATCGTTATCTTTAATTTCTGAACTGCCTTGATTTACACTGATCAACAGAAAAAGCTAATGATAATGTATTATAAGTTTTTGAAACTTAAATGCACAATACTTGTTGTGCATGGTTGCATAATTTGATATTACTTGCAACCAAAGCTGAACCATAGTATATGCTATATTTAAATCTTACCTCTTCTCCTTTAAAGGGTATTATGAAGTATTTTTTGTCTTCAGACAAGGAGATCCTTTTCAGATAGTAGTAAGGTTTATTTATAATGGCATTTAACTCCATTCTTAATGATTTTCAGTCATTTGCTGCTGGAAAAAAATAATAATGAGAATATGAACAGTATATCAGACAGAAATAGCTTGCCTTTAGATCTGACAAATTTTAGTTTGGACCAGAGACAAGTGAATGGCATTATTATAGCAGTTTTTTTTACAGTGGAACAGGAATTTCAACAAGGCAGTGGGCAGCCTCTTAAGTAATCTACCATCAAATAGGGTAATAATGGACAATTTTGAGTGTTTTTGTTAAAACTTCTTACCATGAAATGGTTCATAATTGAGTTTGAGCTTATTTTAAAGGTCTCAGCAAGGGCTATCCCATGGCATCTCTGAAAAATTCATCTATTCATAAGATGCCAGATACAAAATAAAAGTGTCCCAAAGCACCCCCATAAGCAGGGTCATTTGGGACACACTAAAAAAAACCTAATTGTAAAATATGTACATGCATGATAAATGACATTTTTTTGTGAGCTGACATTACCTTATTCATACATTCAGGAGCAGGGGGGAGGGGAGAATGTGTGTGTGTGTGTGTGTGCTGTGGCTTTACCCACCACAATAATACAGTGGGTGAGGTGCAAGCTTCATATCAGCAGCCATATTGAATTTCTTTTGTATCTGTTAGTAGACAGAACAGGGCTTTTCCCTGTTCTGTCCACAAAACAACATGCAGAACGTAATAACGTCAACAACAGTCAACCCATTCTTGAAGATCGTGAAGTTACTGTCATGTCAGAGCGGTCAGACTGCATTATCACTCGTTCAGTTGCAGCTTAAGTGAAGACGTGGGGTAACACGTGCATGGGACTTTGTAAATAATAAGTTTGCGGCTCATAAATGACTTTTCATGGCCGAGATATGGAATTCACGGCTCAAGAAATGGAATCACAGCTGGCAAACCCATAAAAGCATAGCTTTAAAAATCCAGCCATGGCTTGCCAAGTACATATATTCCATGACTGATTCTATCTATGACATTCTATGCACAATTTTGTGATGACTATAAATGCATTCATTTTTTGTTAAGTGATTTTTTTTTGCTAAGTGAGATAAGTGTGGTCCAAATTCTTTTCCTATATATGCATTTTCATGGCCTCATGGCCCATGGGTGTCCCATTATCTCCCATACCATAAAATGGGGTAACTTAGACCACTTTTTTTATAAATGATGCAATTTTTTTACTAGCTAAATTAAACTTGAATTGAAACATGCAAAATACAGGTCTATACTCTAGCTTCACTCATCATAAATTGCTGGCTCCTGCCTCTCATAGTCTTTATGTAATTTCAAAAAAAGTGATGGTCTTTGTTACCCCAGCTCTTGGGGTAACTTAGACCAGGTGGTAAAATCAATTATATTTTTTGGTAAAATAACTCCAGGTTTTGGTGCATTGTAGTAGAACTCTTCTAGTTACATATGCAAATGACAAACTTGAGGAAAGTGCCATAGTTTGGAAATGGGGGGCGCCACCCCATAATGAGGGAAATGTGACTACCTAATGGCAGCCCTGATGGGGTAATATTGATTGGCTTGGAAATCAAGTTAAAATCACCATAAATAAGACTCTGTAGACTGCCGGTCTATGTTACCCCGTCAGGGCTGACATTAGGTGGTCTAAGTTACCCCATTTGGGGGTTGCAAACTTTTTAAATCTTTCTATTGTGTTATGTAACCTCAGTATTAGGCCTTTAATGCACATTGACAAAATGTTTCTATGTCAAATAGTTTTTGAGTTGTGGGGGTTTTTGTTAAAAAAACGAAAAGTGGTCAAGTTACCCTGCTGGTCTAAGTTACCCCATTTTACGGTATTACCCCTTGACCCTTATTAGCCTGGTATGCAGAAATGGCTGAAATTTTGTTTTGGATTGAGGTACAAAAATTGCATCAAGGAAGTTTTAAAGCCAAAACATTTTTTAATACAGCAAATATTTTTTCCTACAGATGTTAGCAGAAGTAGGTACTTCTTTAGAATATCACTTTTCATAATTTTTCTGGGATTTTTTAGAGCTAATACCTATGAAGTAAATGTATAATTTCTCAACTCCCTTTATCAGTTATATAATGCCACTTGCCAGCGCCTTGGATAGGAAAAATGTTGAAGTTAACACTTGACAGTTTACACTACTATGCTACTATTTGTAGTTTTGAAATATTTAAACTAGTTTTGCTGCTCTAAACTGTCTAGACCTAACATCTTTATGCCACGGAGCCCGGAGGCTTGTCCCAATTTATCCTGGGCCATACTGAGGCCCATCAACCCTTTGACAAAAATTTATAGAATAGAAGTGTCGGCGTTGAAGAAATAGGCCCATGGCCTGTTGCCGATTCTTGAACTTTTCATGACTTGATTCACAAGGCCAAGGGACCTTTCGGCTTCCGCCTTTGGAACCCGATCTTTCCATAGCTGATGATTGATTGAGATAGCTGCTGGACTTATTGCCTGGTCCGTAATTTGCGAGGCATTTTAAGAATGAACATATGCTCCTGCATAGCTTTGTCTAGTCTGTTTTTGAAGATGTTCATACTTGGAGCTTTTACGATGCTATCAGGGAGGCTGTATGGCACTGTATCAGCATAGGCCTATCTTCCAAAGTTCCAAGTCAGGGTGGTACTACCTTATCCTACCTATAGGAATGGTGTTTTATATACCTATTCAAAATTTAGCATGCTTAGCTATTAGCTTTTTCATTTCCTATATATTTGTAAAATAAGAGAAAAATCCTAGTTAGCCCTAGATTTTTAGAGCCAACAGCAACAGGATTCCTATGTGCAATTTTTGTGCACAAGTAAGGAGTTCATTTAAAATTCTTCCAGAATTTAGATAGGTATTTTGATAAAACAAATTAAAATAATTAAATAAATAATGATCCAAGTGGCAACTCAAGTCTCTTTCATTGACATTTTAAGTCTGAAACACAATAAGATAAAATATATGTAATCTGTTTTCATAAGTAGCGCCTGCTAGCAAAGCTCCAAAATTGAGGAAAAGCTTCATTCCACAGATATTCTCGTATATAATTCTACACTACAGTATGGGGTAATATTGGCTCCATCCTCCATCATCGCTCCATGGCTCCCTGCTTGGCCTTTTAATGATAAGAATTCAAATGGTCTTGCTTGTAAGTTGTAAGCAGGTCATTTGATCATCTACCTAGTAGGTAAAATACTGAGACGTTCACAGCTCTGTCCAACGAAATTCTGAGGAAGCTATTTGCTATTAGCTACGGTAGTACTATTAGAGTATTACTATTAGTAACGATCATTTTTCGCGCCAGTAACAATTACATGTTACGACTCGTTACTCGTAGTCTCGTACATGCAATTTCCTGTGCTAATAAACAAGCGTAATGAATTAAAATGGTCTTGACTCTTGAAAAGCATTGACGATTCTTACTTCAGTAGTTTCTGAGCTGAGATATATGAAACAGGGCACCTCTCAAACAATTTCCCCACATTTAAAAAATCGTGCATTCCCTAATGCTATACATGTTTTGACTATGGGGTAAAATTGCCATTGGCATAGCTCAAGTCTGCTCCTGCAATTTGTTTTAGAAAAAAAAAAACTGAGGAAAACCGCTTAAAAAAGGCACTCATATAATTGACAATAATTTGCGAATTTTGTCAATGAAATAAACGTACACTTTTCATACTAGTTTTAAAATATTTTATGTAGTATATGAGATTGCTTGAAATGTTACTTTTAATAAATATGTGAGTTGTAGTCTTTTATTAGGTACTTTTTTAGTCCCGCAGCATTAACGTTCATATAATTTTTAGGGTAATATGAAGACAAGATAGCTTTAAATAAGCTGGCACTTATCAGCCTTGTTGCCAAATGCACGGGGTTCTCAGTTATGCGCTGAAGGATCATATGTTCGAACGCGCATCTGGCACGTAGACTTGTTTACAATTCACGTTATAAGAATGGTTTTCTTGATAACTCCAAGATAAGAACAATAGCAAGCCTAAGCAAGGTATAGTCTTCATATGTTTAACTAACCTTTATAAAAAATAATTTTTAAGATTTCTGTTGATATCTGCTTTGAGCTATGTTGAATTTGTATCCCAGGTAATAGGTATAAAGAATTGTAAATGTAGCAAGTTGAGTAGGCTACCTACTAAGAACTAAGGCTAGTAGTGAAAGATTTATCTTCTATGGCTTTATGGCTGAAGAGTGAAGCCTGAATAAATGTCATTAGCTGATAAAAATTTGAGCTTGCAGTCAATGTCTAATTCTGGATAGGTAGTATGTTGATTATGTTATCATATTTACATAAGAAAGTGAATCAAAAAGCTTACCACTATTAGACTATACTATACACCTTCTGGCTTCCACACCACCGCAGTGACAATTGATACACTGAGCTCATCAGAAACTGCCATGCCTCCAACATCGCACATGGATTGAAATCCAATACTACCGTGTTGACAATGCCTCCCTTGATTATTTATATTCACTTGGGTAAACGCGGTATATTCCGACATGGTGGGTAATTCCGACACCTCTCTAGTTTTTCCTTTATACTATAGTTTATATTAAGCTTTGTCTTAGTTCCACGCATTCGTTGATGGTTGAAATAGTGACGTCATACCTTTGTGTGCCAAAATATTGCCAAAACACTAGGTTTGGGCCGTCTGGCGGGAAAATGTTGAGATCCAAAGGGAGACAGTGCATGCCACCCAGTGAGATCATCCCATGGTCAGGAAGGTGCAGCGTGTACGCCGGAGGTTCGTTTTCGGATGTACACCAGTATGCCAGGGAAGAAAGTTGCCAATATGCTTGCTAAAAACGGAAGTGTAACCCTCGCCAATGCTGCATGATCGACACAGGCACACATACTTTACGATTGATGCCTGGCGATCGTCATAAACACACGTGCTTTACGATCTATATAGCCGATGCCCAATGATCAACACTGATGCGCGCTCTTTGCGATCAAAGTGGCCGATGCCTTATGATCGACACAAGCGCACGCGATTTACAATCGTTTTAGCCGATGCCCAATGATCAATACTGATGCGCACTCTTTGCGATAAAAGTGGAAGGTTCCTAATGATCGACACAAGCGCACGTGATTTACGATCGGTTTAGCCAATGCCCAATGATCAACACAGAAGCACGCTCTCTGCGATCAAAGTGGCCAATGCCTAATGATCGACACAAGCGCACACGATTTACGATCATTTTAGCCGATGCTAATGATCAATACTGATGCGCGCTCTTTGCGATCAAAGTGGAAGATGCCCAATGATCAACACAAGCGCGCGCGATTTACGATCGGTTTAGCCGATGCCCAATGATCAATACAGAAGCGCGTTCTCTGCGATCAAAGTGGCCGTTGCCTAATGAACGACACAAGCGCACACAATTTACGATCGGTTTAGCCCATGCCCAATGATCAACACTGATGCGTGCTCTTTGCAATCAAAGTGGCCGATGCCTAATGATCGACACAAGCGCACGCGATTTATGGTCGGTTTAGCTGATGCCCAATGATCAACACTGATGCCGCGCTCTCTGCGATCAAAGTGGCCGATGCTTAATGATTGACACAAGCGAATAACACAAAATATGGTAACACTAACAATATGGTATTAACAACACAACACATTGCAACACAAAATATAACTTCACAACAGCACTGCACTCATCACAACTACAACATATCACTATACAACACATTATAACACACCCTAATATGACATTACATTATAACATAACAACATAATGTAACATCATTACATAACTCAATGCACTGTAACACAACATAACATAAATAACATAGCATGACACATTGTAATGACATGACACAATACATTATAACATAACTAATCATGATATAACACTATACATCATAACATAACATAGAACAACAAAACAAATTATACCACAACATATCCTAATAAATCCCATTATAAGACATCATAACTCAACCCAGCACATTATAGCACATCATAATATAGCATCAAAAATTATAACACAATCAAACATGATACAACACATTGTAACACAACATAACATAACACATGATACTATATCAGATCACATTATAACACAACCTAATATAATAGAATACATCATAACATAAAAAAATTAAAACACAACAGAACACAGGACATCAGAACATAATATAATATAATATATTATGTTGCATTATAATCTGATGTGTTATGTTATGTTGTTATACTGTGCTATGTTATTTATGTTATGTTGTTATACTGTGCAATGTTATAATGTGTTATGTTGTTATACTGTGCTATGCTATGTGTTATGTTATGTTGTTATATTATGTTGTATTACGATGTGTTATGTTATGTTGTTATACTGATGCCAAGTTGTGTCTCGGAGCTTTCAGCATGCCTGTAAGAAGCTTTCCTTTGAGTTGCGAATAGTTTGAGGAGTGTTTTGTATCATAGTGTCTCTGAATGTTGCACTCTTTCAGCTCTGCAATACTATCGTTGCATATTAATCATAATGCTATGTTGCCAACCTATCAGACTCGATAAAAAAGTAGTATGCACTATGCACCCCTCTTTTCCTTGAATTCACGGCATTCAGTGTCCACATTTCTCTTCTTTCCTGGTCCCGACATTATCACCTGAAACGCTTCCAAGTTTGGGTTCACACTGGCAAGCAGACCAGGACGATAATGTTCTCAATCAAAGGGTCTTGGGTGGTTCACGGCAACATTTGTAAATATTTTATCAAATTTTAGAGACACCAGTTGCGCATTTTTACTGTTTTTTAGTTCATGCTTAAACAGAAATAAACGTCACGCTCGATTTTTGTACACATTATGTTGAAATACGAGATATCCTCAGCGGGCCGGATGGAACCTAGCCGAGGGCCGGATCCGGCCCGCGGGCCGTAGTTTGGAGACCTCTGATCTAGAATATTGTATATGTAATATCAATACCATTGTAATCAATACCATCATTTCATTGGTAATTTTAGAAAACAATGGGCAAGGATGTGCATTTTTTCTTAATTCTTTAAAAGTGAGTTTGGCACAAATGTGTGCATAAAGTTAGAGGTTTTTTTAGTAAGGCACAAAGGTAAATGATATCATTTCATTGTCTTGGAAAAAGAAAATTCATTCGCCTATGATTCCAAGACATAATTGTGATGGATGACACTGCCTTGACACATTTCCATGGAAAAAGGTAGAAACTCATTTAGTGCACTTTTAAAATTTGTCTAAATTGCTCATTTGGCCCTGAAATTAATGTGATGTTGTTGGGGGTTAGCCCTGTCTAGAGCCCAATGGCCTCTAGTTACCAGTACCAGGCCAATAGTACCAGTTTGTAAAGCAAAAGAAACTGAACTCAGGAGAACAAATTGAAAAGAACCAAGCAAAAAGTATATTGAAGAAAATCAGTGGCATATAAAAGGTAAATGGTGAAAATTAGTTGTTTAGTAATGTGACAGCCCAGGGCTTTGAGTAATGTGGTGAACCTTGCGTGAGAACAAAATAACCAGTAACCCAAACTGGATTGAACAGAACAGAATGAACAAGAATAATATGTAAAATCAATTAAACTAGGTTAGAATAATGATTAATAAACTAAACTGAAAAAAAAGATCAAAAATAATAACCAAGGTCTTGAGTCAGGGCAGTCTTTAGGCCAGGGTCTGGGAGTGTCTGTAAACAGAGTCCATGAAAACATGCCTTTGGTTATCTTACCAGTAGCCAAAATTGTAGGGAAGAAACAGGTACTTTATAGTGGTTCCAACAGAGTCTCCAGAATGGAAGTAACTGGTCACTGCTGAGGCCCAGCACTGGCTTGGCACTGAGCCCAGCTAGGCTCAAGGTCCACCATGGAAGCCCAAACTTGCAGGTCCCTTTCTCCCAGAAGGGTTCTGAACTGGCCCAGAACTCACTCCAAATTGGCCACTGCAAAACTGCAGGAACAAGAACATGTAAAACCTATCCACTAATAAAACACTTAGAACACTAAAACATTTATTAATCTACCTAATACAAAACTCAAGTACAAAACGTAAAGGGATTTTTTATACAAACATTTAATAATTGAAATTTAGAACTGAGATGCATGGTAAGAGTGTTTGCTTTGACTTGCTTATTACCGAGCCATGATAAGCTTTAATCGCAGGTCAGCAGAAGGTCAGCCATGAAGGTAGGAGCCATGAGATAATTTCCTAAGCAGGTTAGCTTTGTAGCTGAAAAAATATGTTAAAGTTCTCAGTCAGTAAGCCATCAGGCAATTAGAATTGATTGGCTGAAACTGCCAAGTTAGTTAGGTAACTGGCAGAGTCCAAGAATTAATTTAAAAAACACAGACAAAGCAGCAACTATATGGTTTCTTTTACAAAAAACTATGGGCAAAGAAAAGAAATCAATGCAAGTAATTTAAACTGTAAAATAAATTATTCACATGCCACATATGGCTCCTAACAATGTAGAATATTTTTCTTTATTTAAAGGTTATTTATAGTTAAAAAAAATTTTCTTTCTATTTCAAATTTTGGTTATAGACCTATACATATGTTCTGAAATGGAGTTAAATTCTTGACATAGATGGTTGAAACTGGGTGAAGACATTCCTCCCAGTTGTTACTTTGCTAGCAAGAAAGCATAGTCTGCCAAAACTTTCCTAGAATTTTTTTTCAAGCTACCAATTACTGACACCCAGCTTACATTTACTTTGTCCACAAATGGAAAATTGCTAGGCTTTACAAATGAAAAAACTATTGGTCTTTATTGTCTCCATTTGTCTCAGCAAAATTATTCAATTGTTATAAAAAATGTCATTTATTAAAAATGGAAAACAGTTGTATAATACCTACAAATATATTGAATCGGTTGGAAGTGTTGCAAAGCTCTATTATGTATTTGAAATTCTTATGAAATGGCCTGATTGTTGAAAATTATTTTATATTATTCTACATATGTATACATATCCATCACACACAGGTGGATATATTTGAAAGTCAAGCTGCTACTATATAGCCTTTTGATGTTATTAAGGTCTTAAATGAAATGTAATTATATTTTTATTGAAATTGTTATAGATGAAATTATTTTCTGAGAAATCTTGAGTTTTAATTTTGATTTGCATCCAATATGCCCAATGTTTGTACTTCAAAGTTTCAATTTCAAGTTTTAAAACTTACAGTGCTTGATAATGAATTTTTGAAACATTGTGTTCCATTAAAATATCATTTGGTAACCTGCTTCTTGATCTCCAGCTTTGCCAAGAAATTTTGTTTGACTCGTTGAAAAACAAATGAGAAAATTGTCAATGAGAATCATGCTTTGGTATTCAATAAAACTTGCATAAATGAAGAAATTCTGCCAATTATACCAATTATATGTATCTAATCTATTGTTGACTTCAACACATAAGCAGTTTTTGCTGTAGTTTTGAGTCTTACATCAAGAATTTTTTTTCAGCACTCATGGCTGTGGAGGTCCAGTGTGATGAACAGACTCCTCTGGATCTTTTGAGTCACTGCGCCATTGAGGAAATGACAAGCAACCTCAATGTGAACAGTGCTGCTGGTGCCAATGAAGAAAAGTCATCTAAAAATAAGTCTCACTGCTCTATGATCCGACACAGTCGGGATGCAACTGAACCGGTGCTATGCACATCCAATTCTGCTCCAGATACTATTTTCTACCTTGACAACAAAGGAAATCTAATAGAGGGTGTTGTGTCTGATTCATGTCAGATGTCTGAAATAATGACTGTGAAGTATGATGGAGATTCTACCAGCACTATTTTGGGCATTGGGCCCAAGTTTCATGAAAATAATGTTAGACTTTCCATGGAATCTGTTCACTTGGAGGCAGGTAAACAATACGGTAGTTTGTTTCAATTGGGATCCTTCATCCTTCTTTTGATGTATATTCATTTATTGTGTTCATTTTTGCATTGTTGTGTTCAGTCAGTATTTTTTGTTTAACCAAATATATACAAGTTGGCTTCTAGATCTAAATGTTATAACATCATCAGTCTGAAGTATGCTGTTTTTCAGATACCTGCCAAGAACCTTGTGGGTCTCCTTTTTATCCAAAAAATGAAACAGATGCTATGGATTATCAACAAATGGTCCTTGTTCCATCATCTAAGGCAGAAGGCAACACTGACTTGATAACCATATGTGATGGGATGCAAACTGTTCTCATGGAGACAGAAAGTGTGACATGTCCTGATGAAAATCATGATACAGAAAATTGCAATGACACCTTTTGTCATGTGAAGAGCAATACAGACCCCCTGTCTGGAGGTTCTAAGCGCACTAGGAAGCCCACACACAAGGGGGAAGACTACAAGAAGAGCTTCATGAACAGCGTCAGAAACTGCAAAGCTGCCGGAATGTCTAATAAAGTAACTGTGGTTCAAGCGTGTGCAGCTAACAGTGCCCTTGCTGCTTCTGAAGACCCTTTGCCGAAGAAGGAAGGCAGCAGTGATTTTGCAACACACCTTGTAAAAGAAGAGATTCAATCAAAATCTTTGGACTCGGGATTCCCCTGCGGCAGAAGAAAAAGAAAGAAAAAAGATTCATTTGATGCTTCTTCACAGTCAGAGAAGATTTCCAGAAGAAGAGTTGACAAATCTTCATTCAAAAAATCCACTTCATTGAAAAGTAATTATTGAGAGGAAGTCATGCACATTGCTAAATTTTATTCACTAATTTGATTGTGGCATTATATGTCTTGTCATATGTCTTGAGTAATTTATTATTTAAACTCATTACTAGCATACTATATTTTTTGGAGTCTATTTTCTAGAGGTGAGTGTAAATAATTGGCCAAAGACTTAATAAGCTAGCGTTCAAAAATTTAGAACTTGCAATTAGCTCCCAAATTTTCCTCGGTTTACCATATTTCTGTTATTTTTGCTTGATGCTGTTTCCTGCAATGTGCAGATGGACACCGGCGGCCCACATTCCGTTGCCGCAAATGCCCTTTGAGCTTCTCATGGGTCAGTGAACTCAAGTCTCACTTCCTGACACACAGCAATAACGGTTCCACTGGCAACACTGGCAGCTCTAGCAATACCTGCAACTCTGGAAATAGAAAGGTATGTATTCCTGTTATTCCGCACTTGGAAGACCAACAAGTGAGGAAAACAGTTTAACAATTCTCAAGAATTGTGGATTCTATTGTGAATCTTCTTCCACATTAATAAGAATTGAAAATCTCGAGCTCCTGCTCTAATCAGTGGAAGTATTGGGAGTGAACAACACGCAAATGGTTTGGTAACTGATGTAATAGGAATTCCTTAGTGGAAATTTTGATTAAAATGTACTCCCCACCTTTGTGTTTTGAATGGCAAATTATTGAGTCAAACCAATGTCATTCAATGGCAAATTATTGAGTAAATTTAATTTTCTTGTACTCCTCTTGGTGAGTAAAGTTGCATTAATTTGAAGGCAAGCCACATTTGAACTGTTCACTTGAAGAACAAACAAATAACGTGCGGGGTTAAGATCAGCGCTTGCGGCATGTAATATCTTCGTTTATCAACTCATCATATTAATATTTGAGGTTTAAGATAATACCGGTACCGTAAACTGGGGTAACTTTGACCACTTTTCTATTTCAAAATGATGCCATTTTTTTACTAGATAAGTTAAACTTAAATTGAAACATGCAAAATACAGGTCTATACTCTAGCTTTACTCACCATAAATTGCTGGCTCCTGCCTCTCATAGTTTTGATGTAATGTCAAAAAAAGTGATGGTCTTTGTTACCCCAGCTCTTGGGGTTTCTTTGACCGGGTGGTAAAATCAATTTTATTTTTTGGTAAAATAACTCCAAATAACTCCATGCATTGTAGTAGAACTCTTCTAGTTACATATGCAAAAGAAAAATTTTAGGAAAGTGTCATAGTTTGCAAATGGGGGGCGCCACCCCCAAATGGGCAAAATGTGACCATCTAATGGCAGCCATGATGGGGTAACATTGACCGGTTTGGAAATTAAGTTAAAATTACCATATATAAGACTCTGTAGAGTCTGAAACATGAAGAAAAAAACATTAATAGGTGTTTCAAACATAAAATATGTTATATAGGTACCTATGGTAATTTTAACTTAATTTCCAAGCCGGTCAATGTTACCCCGTCATGGCTGCCATTAGGTGGTCAAAGTTACCCCATTGGGGGGCGGCGCCCCCCATTTGCAAACTATGACACTTTTCTAAAATTTGTCTTTTGCACATGTAACTAGAAAAGTTCTACTACAATGCATCAAAACCTGAAGTTATTTTACCAAAAAATAAAAAAATTGGAGGGGGTACTCCGACAGGCTTTAAATAATAGCTCTTTTTTGTGGGTCACATTTTTAATTTTTTAACCTATTAGATATGCAAACTTTTTAAATCTTTCTATTGTGTTATGTAGCCTCAGTATTAGGCCTTTGATGGCCATTGACAAAATTTTTCTATGTCAAATCATTTTTGAGTTTTAGGGGTTTTTGTTAAAAAAACGAAAAGTGGTCAAAGTTACCCCGCCGGTCAAAGTAACCCCATTTTACGGTACTGAGGTTGAAGAAAATTTCCAATACTGCATCAATGTTTTGAAGTATCAGCTCATCTAAACACATCTAAATGTCAAACAAAACATTACTTCCTTTGGGCAAAGTAATAAATAGTAAAATAGTTTAACGTGAAGGTGGTAGAAATTGCTGATTACTTGATGTAGGAGGAGACATAAACGATTACCCTATGCTTATGATAATTTAGCATTTAATATTAGTTGGATTCCTACTTCAAAACAATCTAATCCAAATAGTTTACCTAAAATGAGTCTAACTTACAACCGAATAGAATAAGATCCTAAATTAAAAATTTAAATGCAGATATTACAGAATTCAGTATGAAAATAATTAGAAGTTGTTTTCAGAAATCGTTCATGTGCATGGAGTGTGACGAGACGTTCAGGACTGCCAAGCTGCTGACCTGTCACGAGCAGCGGGAGCACCAGGGACTTCCCCGGCCTGTAGGAGGCTCATGGCAGTGCAAGCTGTGCTCGAGTACCTTCGCCCACGCAGCGTCGTTCAAAGTGCACATGCGCGCGCACAGGGGAGAGAAACCATACCAGTGTGGTGAGTGCGGTGCTGTTTTCGTCCAAAGCGGCCACCTGATGATACATAAGCGCATCCACACGGGCGAGAAACCCTACACCTGCGATATATGCCTGGTGCAGTTCAAGCAGATCTCCCATCTGAAAACTCATGTTAGGACACACACCCTCGACCGTCCCTACAAATGCAGCAAATGTGACTCGGCCTTCGCGCAGAACAGCAGCTTGAAGCGCCATATGCGCTCACACACTGGCGAGAAGCCATACAAGTGTGAGGTGTGTGGCATGACATTCGTGGTGAAGAGCAACTTACAGCGTCACACGTACACCCACACGGGAGAGAAACCATATCCCTGTGACTTGTGCAACGCATCCTTCGGGCAAGTGATTGATCTGAAAAGACACAAGATCAGCCACACGGGCATCAAGCCCTACAAATGCGACTTGTGCGAGGCGCAGTTCAGCCGCAAGAACAACCTCAAATGGCATCGTCTGACGCACGCTGAAGGCGCTACGTTCAAGTGCGACGTTTGTGACGTGCCCTTTGCAACTCCAGGAGACTTGCGTTTCCACAAACGCAGTCATGATCCTCCAAAGCCATACCAGTGCACTCGCTGCCCAGCGTCGTTCCAACAGTTCTGCTCACTAACTAATCATCAGCTCATCCATACAGGGGAAATGCCCCGGTTTAAGAAGCAGTCAAGTAAGAGCAATAACAGTACTAAAGTTAACAATAGCAGCAGTAGCTGCAGTAGTAATAGTAGTGGAAGCAACACATCAAAGAAACCATTTTCGTGCAATAACTGCGATGCAACTTTTTGTGAGAAACGTAACTGGAAGCGTCATGTGATCTCAATGCATACCGACCTCCACACCAAAGATAAGCGACTAGGACGAAAGATGCACTCCTCAACTCTCACCAATGGTGACATTCCCAAGCTCGAAAGTTCTGTTGACAATAAATCCCAGGAAGTTAACGTCAAAATCGAACATGGCTTCTCTCCCGGAGACTCCTCGCCCTACGAGAGTGCAGAGGATCACGTTACTAACGGTCAGCTGTTGTGCGAGATTTTTAACTCAACTGGTCCGTCAGTTTCTGAAGGTCTCCCTATGTTACCAGGTGTCATTACCTTGCAACAACAAGAACAGCAGTCGCAACAGTCCTACCAACAAATGTTGTTTCAGACACCGGATTCAGTGTCGGTAACCACCAACAATGCTCAGTCGTCCGTGGTCTCCTCGGAGAGTGTAGTCGTGAGCAGCGGTGTACCAGAGTCACCACAGTACAGTGTGAGTGGAAGTGGCGCTCTGCTCAACCAGTTAATTCTCACCACCGGCCCCAACGAAAGCTCTAAAGTTGCTAGACCTGCTGGCAATTGCACTAACCATTTAGCTCATATCCTGACGCTTGTAGATGCTGTAAACAATCATTGGCAGGCGTGGTGCTTATGTGATTCTTCACAGCTCTTGCCTCCCACTGCTGGTGTTGATTCTGGCTCCTGTGCTGTCCTGCCGGTCGCCTCCCTTGAATCAGTTTCCTCTCCTATCATTTCTCCGAACTCTTGTAGAAATACGCAAACTAGTTGCTGCCAGTCGGTCATGGCACCTATCAACAACGCCGTTATGTCATCCTCGCACGTACCTAATGTATCTCCTGGATCCATCAATGCTAACAACTCAATTGTCGTGGAAGGCACAAATTCATTCATGGCTTCACCGGGTAGCATATTAGGGACGTCTAATTTAATGGCACAGAACGCCATTATGTTTATTCCGTCAGTGGGGGGTCAGAACGTCGCTGTGATGCCTCAAGGGGAACATCTTAACGTCACACCTGCAGTTGCTGTCCCTAATATCTTGTGTTCGCCAAGCAACCACAACCTACAGCAGCCTGATTCTTCGGACTCCATGAACACCGCAGCTGTGCTACAGCCTGTATGAAGCAAGTCTAATGCATCCATCAATTGACTGCTTTCACTGACGTCTAATGCCAATGTTTCTACTTAATTGAACTCTTGATCGTTTCGATTATTTGATTGGAAACAGAAAGTTATTCACAATTCACTTGATAAAGCTTAAGCTATTTTTGCAGGGAATTCCACAATCCTATGCCGACTGCTGTATCGTTATCTTCTTCATCGCCTTCTTCAAGTCTCGATAGTATCCATATTATTATTATGTCCAGTTTTGTACTGTTTCCGCTTTAAAATTTTCTACTTACGGAGAAGGAAGAACACATCTCTCTCATGCACAAGAGGGCTCTAAACCATTCAGCACAAATGCTGTCAAGGAAAGAGTGTTGTCCATTGTGTGCTGGTTGTCAAGTTGTGGTCATGTTCTTGTCAGGCTGTAAGTTCTTCGCTCGCGTCTGCTCAGTTTGGTGGATGCGTGAGATTCTAATACACACAAAATATAGACTTAGGTTGAATACACTGAGAAAGCTCTTAGCAACAACATTCGGACAGAAGATAAATTTATTATTAGTATACAAACATTCCAGTCTGGAAAATCTTATGCGGGACGTCTAATTGGTATGAATGTGTAGTCAGTTATGGTTAATTCATGAAAGATGGACACAGTGAGATGAACCCTATCTGTACCTGTTTGCTGATGCTCCATGCACTTTGTTAGATAGTATGCTCTGAAATAAGAATTGTTTATTAATAGGGGAGTTCTTGCGAGCGTGTTATGAACGGTATGTGTGGGTGTGTATATACTCAGCATTTTAATAAACTGCTGGGCTGGTGAGAGTGAGCGATAGTTTCGTAAGTTTTTTGTGGATTGCTAGCTAAATTGCCCCGGCATTTGAGGGGCAAGAAGTTATGACAGTCTAAGCGATGTACGAGTATGTTCAGTAACAGAGAAGCCAAAAATTGCTCCCACGTATGTCATGGTATTAGATTGGAATAAGAATTTTATATTGCGCCATAATATGATTTTAAAGCTTTGTGTATTTGTTGAGCGTTATGACTTAGCATTGTGGTGAAGGAATTATAACGTCGTGTTTTGAGTTGAAAAATTCGTACGATTTTGAAGGCTTGGCAGATATCAAGTATATATAGGAGTGTCTGTCGCTCGGAATTGATGCTATCCTGTATATGAAGCATAAGTTAGTGAGAAGTGAATAGTGATAGACTTTCTAGTCATGATGTCTGTGAGAAAAACAGGATATGGGCTGTTGTTCGAAGAGTTGGAGAGGTTCAGTGCCGTTAATGGTTTGCCGAGGCAAGTGTTTGGTCTTTGTAGTGGATGCTGCTTCAATGGCTGTAATTTCGGTATTAGACTTTCAAGATTTTTACCTATTTTCCTCAATGATGGCATTATTCACTGTGAATGTGAACGTCAGTTATATTTACGATTGTGTATTTGCCTCGCGTGGCTATGCTTTTCGAGATATGCACTGAAAATGTTTTTGTTGGGAGGTATTATACACGATTGTGTATTTAATACGCGTGGCTATGCTTTTCGAGATATGCTCTGAAAATGTTTTTGTTGGGAGGATTTTTGGGTGATTTATGAGAATGTCGTTTGGTATCGTGGCTAGTGTGTGGGCGTGTGTTATTTATTTAATGGGAATTTGTGTTTTTTGCGCTTGTGTCTCTTCTCCGTGCTTTGGCAGGTGCTTTATTACCAGTCATTTGATATGCTGGAGTGTTGTTGATTTAGAAGGATGACATCTGAGGAGGTAACTGATGCCTATGAACACTATAAATTAGGTCAATAGTGTAGTTGGTTTGTGTTGACTATTTGAGTAGGTATATCAGTACGGCTATGATGGTGTTTCCACAAACTTTTTCCAATGGGGGTTTCGTTTGTTTTCTAATAAGATTTTAATTATACATCGAGTTCATGGTGTGATCAATGCGTGTTGATGTGAGTGGCGAGCGATAGAATAGTTTTTAGTAATGACATAATTTGGCTGATTTTTTTTATTTCGGGTTCCACCAAAAAATGGATTTATCAAATGTGTTCTGTCTATTTTTTCGGTTAATTGAACGATATTTTTTGCTGTAGTTGGCAGAGGGAAAGCCATTTGGTGAGAGGCATTTTAATATTTTACTAATTAAACGAAATTAATGCAAATTTTAAAAATGTTTAAACTTGAAGCACTAAAATCTTTATTTCGCCTTTTATTGAAAAATATATTTTTTTAAGTCTTTAATATATTATATATAGCCTGCTCTTTATAGCCTGCTTTTGATCCACCAACGCCATTGAAAAATATCGTTTGTCTTTAATGAGAAAAGGAACATGAAAATCCTTTATAAATTCCGTTCTCTGGTCTGCAATCGAACTTTCATTAAAGTATTGTATAAAGATTTCGACTTCTCTCGTTCTGTGGCGAATATCTTTTATGGTAGAAGCGTAAAGGAGTGACTCGTGTATACTCGATTTATTACTTTGAATGTATTGCTTCGTTTAATGTATATATATTCGGGTAATATTCCATGCTAGACCTTAAGCACTTTTCCCTCATTGTTGTAAAACCATACATGCGTTTCTATATGCTCTAATTCGTGTAAAAATGTAAATAATTTTTCTCTGTTTGGCATCAACTTGCTATTCTATATGAAATCGAAGGTTTATCTTAAGTATAGAGTATGCAGTGCAGTATTTAGTGTAGATGGCATCGCAATGTTTTTGCTAAACTGTTATCATAAAAGGCTTGGTGCTTTGCAATCATTATTATTGGCAAAAAATATTAAGATTCTCAAGTTATGTTTTGTTCTCAGACTCATTTATTAAGTTTAAGGCTTCTTCAGCAGCAAACCTCGGTATCTCGGTGCGGTAGGCAGGGTGGCCCAGTGGTAGAGGCAGGGTGGCCCAGTGGTTAAAGTTCAGAGTATACCAGGATTGGCGCAGAGAGGCGCGGGTTCGATCCCAGCTCTGTGCGCCAGTTTCTGGTCAGAATCGGCAAGGAGGCCGGGCGGTTAAGCTGAGCAGAAATGTAGCAGTGAGTTGCGAGTTCGAGACCGCAAAATGCTGTGAATGTTCTGCGATGTTGAGAATCGGCGACAGGACTGCGGCCTACTAAACGCTGAAACCGCTATTATTATTATTATCTATTCTCGAGACCTGAAATTGTTCATCAAGAATGATCGACATTCTCGGACGTGATCGATTACAGAATTACTCGTTAGTTAGGGTTTTTGTTCACATTATGCATTCAATTGAGGACTTGGGCTTTATTTTAGGCAAATTTTGAGCTTACTCGAAGCACGATAGCGAAAGCTGCCGAGGTCCGTGTTGTGTCATTTGTTTAAGATTGATGACCTTATGAATTATTGAAGTAAATAAGCTACGAGTAGAATGTTCACGTTCCCAATTTATCTAGTTGTGTTTAATTGAGTCTTAAGCTAACACTTTCCCACCAGATTTGTTTATAGTGAATCGCCACTCTTCCCTATGTAACTATTTATTTTGGGCAGATGTGTAATAGTTCTATGCTGTTGGTATTTTTTGCGTTCAATGCGATTCAAATCAGTTTTGTTTCTTTCGTATCCTAGATATACTTATAGGATGATTTGAAACCCGACACATCTGCTGGCAGATCATCATATGCTGGGATGAGGTTCCGTGCATAATTCTCAATAGGGTTTGGTGCGAGCGCTTAGCTTGTTTTTTATATCCTGCTTCTGTACATAGAATCATCTTTTTCTTTCTTTCTTATCTATTATTATAGGAGCACTGGAAACTAGTCCATAAAGCCCCTTGCCTAAATAGGATTGAATTGGTACCTAACAGTTTACCAGCTCTGAAAATCTGAAACATGGAGAAACATAGAATCCTCGATTCGTGGTTTGTCCTCCGGTAAAGTTAATGTTATTGTGGTGCAATAGTCCCGTGTCAGCGTTAGTTTAAGTGATGTTTCTTCTGCACCAAAGACTGAGCAATGTAGATCATGCGTCGTGTATGTGATGTGTGTTGTTAATAAATTGTCGTGTAGTATGTCGACTTTTCCTTCAATGCCCTTCAAGTAGATCAAAATAAGAGAAGTATTCCATCGCTTTACCAGGCTCATTCTAAACAACTAAGTGAAGCTCAAGTACAGGCAAAGAAATGCAGGTTTGTCAAGATCTTTGGTTAGTCTTTCATATTTAAAACATCAGCTGTATAGCTTTGGGAAAAAGCTGGTGCTCTTAGCTAAAGTTGCAATAGAAACGTGCTTCGGTTTAGTTTAGTTTCTCGCTGATATCTCGTGATGATCTCTTTTGTTTATTTAAATTCTTGTAATTGAGATTGAAATCCGGTGCTTAAAAAGCTGATCTCTTGGCGTGTGTGAAATTTGATTCTGGCAAATTGTTGTTGGACTTGGCGAATAATTTTTTTTGCGAGAGGCTAAGATCGGCCAGTTTTGGGTTCAAGACCCGCGGCCAACTGTGAAACTTTTGGTCTAAATCGGTGGAATTGGCGGTTAGCAGCAAGATTGAAGCAGGGAGTTGCATGTTCGAGACCCGTAGTAAGTTGTAAAAATTCTGCGATTTGTAGAATCGGCGACTGGCCTGATGGCCGAATGTTAACTCGAATTCAACATTCTTATTCTAATTGAGATTTCTGTTCTCTTTAGGAATACTCAAGATTATGTATCACACCCATCCGGTTGCAGGTAACTCGCATTTACGACGGGATTACTGATAAGCGAAGACTCTTGAGAATTATCAGATTATCTGATAAGAGGCTTCGATGCTACGAACTCTATTCTGCCAAGTCTTCCTAGCTTGCAATGAAGTCTTTTAGTGTGTGTTGCTCTTGCAATTAGGTTCTCCAAACTCGCATAGATCACTGAAGATGAAGTGATTACATAATTATTCTTTATTCTAGACATAGTTTTCCTAAGTGGACTTGGGACGCTTACTACGTACTACTCGAGTCGGCTGTTTGAAACCAGTGAAGTGCGCGGTTAACATCGTGATTCCGGATAAAATCTTGGTTCGAAGAGAAGGTTTGCCGATCTGAACACGATTTCTAAATGAGATAACAAGCCAGGATGACGATTATTAGACGAATCGTAGCACTCAAAAGTTTGTCAAATCTATAAAAAAGGTAACTTTGTGTCTTTTATCAGTTGTTCACCCGAGTTTATTGGTTCTATAGCCTCGTTAGTCGACAAGAAGTGGCAGTCATCATGGTGAAGGAGATGTCATCCAAAAACCGCAATGTTTGCTGTTGTGCAAGCATGACTATTTATTGCTTGATCAGTTTTGTTCTTCTCACAAATGTGATGCATACCGAAGGATTTGCTTTCGAAAAACAGCCTTCAGCCAAGTTTCAGCCACCAGCCACAGTTGAGGAATTGGAATTTGGATTTACCTTGGCATACGAACAAGAAACGTGAGTTGTGTACGTTCTATTATATTCTTCTTAAGCAGGTTTCGTTGAAGACCGGAGAATTCGTTTTATTGACAATAAAGTTCTATTATATGAGTAGGTATGTGCAAATCGTTTTTAACTTATGTTTAATTGTTTTCACAATCTATATTAATTATTTATTAAGGTTTAGTGAAATAAACGTTTTGGAGATTTGCTAGCTCATAGCAGGGATTTTCTAAAATTCATAAATCAGTAATTATTGATTGTAATATTCTTAGTTATATGTAAGCGTATCACATATGTGGTACTTCATTTAAATCACTTGGGATCTCTACATTAGCATTGGCACATCCATAGGAGATAGATCACGTACTCCCACATAATACTTTATTACAGCAGCAGCAGCAGCAGCAATCAGTATGTACAATTTAGATATCGATCAGCAGAAGGAGACTTCCGACTAGGGTGAGAGCGTTAAGTCAACAACCATTAATACCTAAAATAACTCGTCCCTAGTAAGTTCAGTCCGCAATACATATACTAGCGTAATGTCGGAATACCCGTTGTTTTGTCATAACAAATTCCTCACAGCGTATTTGTTGTGATTGGCGCTTATAACAGGAAATATGCTGCTAATAAAACAATCAGTTTCCGTTACTGCCTCTGTAAGCCAGATATTAACAAAATTGGAAATTGCGACCATAACTTTGAACCAGCGTATTCCTGTCCTGAACAAATGCTTTAATCAAGCGTAAAAAACTTAGAAATTGGAAAAGTTAGTCCTTTGAAATTTTGTTACTAAATCAAATTCATTACTATTTATTTACTAGTACTGCTTTTTGAGGGAGTCCATGTAGGCAGAAAAGTCGCAAGCTGCCTAACAGTACCAATCTTCTTACAATTATATATATTCTTCGGAAATTTCATTCCTATTCATGAGCCGTAAAGGTTTTTTCGATCCCCCGGACCTCTATCTTCTAATTCAAAATGGCCACCTCGAAGCCAACACGTAAATTTACCCAAATTTTTTTACCCAATTTAAACGAGAAATTCTTTTTTACCCAATTTCAACGAGAAATTCTTTTTTTTAACCAATGTCAACGAGATCGGTAATGTAATTACATTGTCCCGCAAGGTTTTTGGTTGGGTCGCCACGCAGCTCCGTGAACAGCGAAGGTGCTCTCTACTCCTGCCCCCTCGCTATGTTGTCCTCCGGCTCACGCGTCTGCTCCAAAATCAACATCGCCGGAAGTGACGCCAGTGGTACAACGCAGGATGTTTGTTCCTATGATGCGGATTGGCAGAGACTTGGATCCTCTCTCGCGGTATCCGGAAAGAAAATTTTGGTAGGTGCTGATTAAAAAGTGGTATTTAATCACAGAAAATTCGATTTCTGTATTGAGGTAAGAAAATGTTGTTGAGGACAAATTCAGGCGACTGCTAACCACCCTCATGCACGTTGAGTCTGCGTTTGACTATTGCGGTGTTCATCTCTGCCAAATTACCAAAGTTGGGATTGAGAGTAAATATCGGTTTTATAATCGAATTGTTGTTTATCGCTTTATCTTTATATTATAGTCTAATTAAGCTCTAGTGACTCTGCACCCTACATTATAGTGTGAATGGACATCTCCCTCTTCGCTGCTCACACGGCGCAATATGCACCTTGTTTATTTGTGGCTGCTTACATTGTACTATGCAATTATAATATATTTTTTAAATTCAAACATTAATTACAATGCTATCTTCGGCAGACATGCGCACCTACCTGGAACAACACGTGCACGAAAGTCTATGGAGACAAGTACAGCACCATTGTCGGGAAGTGTTTTTACAGCACAAACGGAGTACAGGGACCATTCTCCTCCATAGTACCCGTCTACGACTGGAAGACGGGTGAGATTTTCTTGTTAAATCTCACTACGAAGAATCTTTTAATAAATAAAAGACATCGAATACCTCAGATGCTTCCGACTTCCATAATGTGTTGAATTTCGTTTTAAAAAATTTTATGCATATAATTTTTTATCAGGACAAATTATAATACTAATAATTTTATTTATTTTTAGTTTATTTTTTATTGATAATTTATCAGGGCAACTTTTTATCAGAAATTAAGACCATTGGCCCACAATACGTGGTTAATCATGTCGTACTTTCTTCAGAAATATTCCTTTGAAATCGTATTTAATATTTTAAAAGTATTGAACCCGGCGAACCGAAGTTATTGTAGGCACAGTGGGAATTAATTATAACATAATTAAATAAAGTTCGATTTCTGTATTGGAATATATAATTCAGTATATATTTAAATTACTTTTCAGGTACCTTGCCAATGTATCACATCAAAGATGGCAGATGTCAAGTTGGCTTTGGCTCTCATTTTCTTCAGGCGGTGAGTGAGCAAAGTTCTTCGGCTGACGTGAAATTTGATGAACCTATTCTTACATATGTTGATATGCAGTATATTTTTTAAAACTGAATGTGTGAAAACACTTCAAACATCTTAGCAGACAGCTAGTCGACTTGAGTGTATGACGATGAATTTCGTCAGAAACTCTTAAGTTCACACAGGAAGCCTCTTTATAATTTTGTGGATTCTTGGAATAACAGCTATTTAGTAAATTTTTATTGCTATCAAACGGAGTGTATAACTTTATGTTTTAGCGTTGCAATTTTGCTATGCTTAATTATATTATCATTGTGAATCCGGTAGTTCATAGCTGTTGATGACGGAATGGGATCGTTGTTTTAATAAACGAAAATGCGACGATAAATAAATTTGTGGCGACGACATTTTTTATAAAAATTATTGATGATTTTTCAACTGAAGGCTATACATCCTGTTCAGATATGTACATGATAGAAAGTAAATCTTTGTTATAAGTCATCTCATTGTTTTCTGCAGAGCAACGAGATGGTTTTGGGGGCTCCTGGGTGCACCTCGTGGATAGGTGAGTGGAATGAGTCATGTGCGATGGGTGAGTGAAATGCGTCATGTGCGATGGGTGAGTGGAATGCGTCATGTGCGATGGGTGAGTGGAATGAGTCATGTGCGATGGGTGAGTGGAATGCGTCATGTGCGATGGGTGAGTGGAATGCGTCATGTGCGATGGGTACATATACAACATATCCACCATATATTGTATGTTATACTTACAGACGATCTACCAATTTTTTTTATACATACATGACACTTCTAAGCTCTGATGATGATACATTATAGCATTCAGTTGATCATTTAAGAGAATTTCGATTTAGGAACGTTTGAATAAATCTATTAAATATTTTATAAACAAAATTGTGTCCTTAGTATCCTTAGTATTTGTTTGGGACATAGCAGTCCCAGGCCACGATGGATCGCCGCCTTTGGTTATAGTTCATCCGCCCTCATTTGGGCCACCTGATGCACGATGCTGTTGCTTGCTTCTCGCCGCTGGTAGTGTTGCATGGGAGGTCGATCTGGGATTGTGCTCAGGAACACGTCTAGCTGTCTCTTGAAGGTCTCCAGGGTGAACTCCCCCTCTCTACAGCCTTGGTCCTGCCACGGAGAGTGATCCTTCTCGCAGGGATTGAAATCTGACTGCGGATCTGTTACGCAGGGGAGGGATCTTGCACAGTCTCCCCCTTCTCTCGTTGTGATATGTCTGAATCTTGAAGGTCTCGCTCTCGAAGTTTGGCACCATTCCGGTTAGCATTTTCCATGTGTACAGAATGACATACCTCTCCCGTCTCCTCTGCAGTGAGTACAGATTTAGTCGCTGTAACCTCCCCCAGTAGTTAAAATTCTCCATCCCTCTGATCCTGGAAGTAAAGGTTCGTTGGACTCCTTCCAGATGCCGTATTGCGCCTAGTGTGAACGGAGTCTAGAGCTGGCAGCAGTATTCAAGGATAGGTATTACAAGGGCTCTGAAGAGTGTGATCATCGAAGTGTGAAGAGTGTGTGAAGAGTGTGAAGAGTGTGTCATTTATATAAATAAGAAATTTGCGATATATTATAAATATATTTCTTATTCCTAAACGTTACTTTGCATTTCAGGTGATGTTTTCCAAGAAATTTCCAAGAAATTTGTAAAATATTATAAATATATTTCCTATTCCTAAACGTTGCTTCGCTTTTCAGGTGATTTTTCCAAGAAATTTCTAGGAAATTTGTAATATAGTATTAATATATTTCTTATTCCTGAACGTTGCTTATCATTTCAGGCGATGTTTTCCAAGAAATTTCCAAGAAATTTGTATTATATTATAAATATATTTCTTATTCCTAAACGTTGCTCGGCATTTCAGGTGATTTTTCTAAGAAATGTGTAATATATTATAAATATATTTTTTATTCCTAAACTTTGCTCCGCATTTCAGGTGATGTTTTCCAAGGACCTCTGAGTCCCGAAGGACCCTACGTGAGGAGAGGAAACAGCAGCTACACCGCAGGACTCCTGGACCCCTCTTCTGAAAACCCGAATGCGTACGACATCCCACACTTAGAGGAACTTTGTCCAAATTATGATGCACTTTTGGAAAGTTCCTCTATGGAACTTTCTATAGAGGAACTTTCCATTTATGCACTTTTGGAAAGTTCCTCCTCTGGAACTTTGTCCAAATTGTGATACAGATTTGCCATAATCTAGCTCATATTGCCCTGTTGCGCCCGGAAAAAAAAGAATGCATCTATGTTGTAGCGAGTGTGTCAATATTTGGTCAATTTTACCATCCTTATTTCTTAGAGTTTGTTATATCATGACTTATTGGTGACAAGGTTCAGTAGGTGACAAGGTTCAGTAGGTGACGAGGTTCAGTAGGTGACGAGGTTCAGTAGGTGACAAGGTTCAGTAGGTGATGAGGTTCAGTAGGTGACAAAGTTCAGTAGGAGACGAGGTTCAGTAGGTGACGAGGTTCAGTAGGTGACGAGGTTCAGTAGGTGACGAGGTTCAGTAGGAGACGAGGTTCAGTAGGTGACGAGGCTCAGTAGGTGACGAGGTTCAGTAGGTGACGAGGTTCAGTAGGTGACGAGGTTCAGTAGGTAAAACACAACATTTTAAATTATGTTGCATGAAAATTTTGTACTTAAATTTTAAGTGAAGAGTTATAAAACACAACATTTTAAATTATGTTGCATGCACATTTTGTACTAAAATTCTAAGTGAGGAGTTATAAAACACAACATTTTAAATTATAATGCATGCAACATTGATTGATACAGGGAGGTATGGCCGCAGCTTCAACCTACTTACTGGAAAAGACCAGCGAAGGCGGTCTCACCACACGGGCATCTCTCTTCACGTCTCAGGTGAATCCCGATGACGTTTTTATTTTAAAATTGCACTATTTAATCAAGTAATTGAATAATGAATACGATTAAGCAATGGTAAATAAATAATTTCATTATTAAGATCCAGCATTTATCTATTCAAACACATAAAAACAAATGTATTATTACAATTAATGAATTTTTAAAACTGGTCACGAGTTTTTCGCTGGCCGAAAACTAACTGGGATTGGCAGTTGATGGCGTGTAAAGACTTCGTGAGGAATGTGATACAACTGTGACTTTTCACAGCTCTCTAACGTGTTACTAATGAATGTGATACAACTGTGACTTTTCACAGCTCTCTAACGTGCTACTAATGAATGTGATGCAACTGTGACCTTGCACAGCTTTCTAACGTGTTACTAATGAATGTGATACAGCAGTGACTTTGCACAGCTTACTAATGTAAGACTTATTACCATCGCCTCTGTATTCAATATTTACTTTCATCATCAAAAGTGGACTTTAATTAGGCTATTAGGGATCCTGATGATGAGTGAAGAAATTAAGGGTGGGGGCGAATATACGTTTATATAGAAGAATAATGTCCTGTTAATACGGGAAAATAATTTTTCAAGTAATTTTTACTAATTTTTGTTACTTTTTTATTATCATTTAACGATTCATACAATTAAAGAAGCACGAACTTTCTGGCAGGAAAACAATTTTCTCTTTGCGTACTGCGGATATAGTCTCGCAGTGTTCGAATAAATCTTAATAATTATTGTGAACTTTTTATTATAATTTAACGATTCATAAAATCTAAGACGCACGATTTTTTGCAGGAAAACAATTTTCTCTTCGCGCACTGCGGATATAGTCTCGCAGTGTTCAAATAAATCTTGATAATTCTTATGAACTTTTTATTATAATTTAACGATTCGCAAAATTAAAGACGCACGATTTTTTTCAGGAAAACAATTTTCTCTTCGCGTACTGCGGATATAGTCTGGCAGTTGGGGACTTCGATGATAACGGCCTAGAGGACGTGGTGGTCGGATGCCCTCAGTACGACAAAGACAAGGGCGCCATCGTTATCTTCTACCAGAAAAAATCAGGCAAAAGTTTTAAAGTGAGATCATTTGGGCTTTTTTTCGCTTCACAACTTATAACTTATATGTATAAGCAATGAAATATATCATAAACACTTCATGGTAAAAATAAAATACTAAAAATGTATCAAATTCTCATTAAAAACAAAAAACTGATTAGTGATTTGACGGATCTATATATTGCCTCAGTAGAACATTCTGTCTGTGATCATGACAAGCTACAGGTTTTCACACCCCAAGGAAACACCAGCACAGAAAAACACTTACACACAATTATGACACTTGGAACGCTGGAGCTGGCCGGCAACAACAAAGTCCTTGGACACCCACCACCTGACATAAGCAGCACAGAAACACAGCTCTCTAGACTGGAGAGAGTACACCTAGCCACTCTAGCCAGGCTTCGCTGCGGCCACCACCCTTCACTACAAACATACGCAAACAGAAAAGGCCAAGCAGACACAGAAACCTGCCCATCCTGCCAGAGAGCTCCCCACACAATCACTCACATTCTCCTGGAATGTCCGCTCTGGCAGGACCTTAGACAACACCACCACATAACCTCGACCCTACAGCTTTGGAGCGACCCCCTGTCGGTGGTGTCGTACTTGCGCGAGGGGGGTCTCTTGTAAAATTGAGACCGGGGAACCACAACAACAACAGGTTTTCATGTAACCCTAATTACCTCATGTGAACATTTATCCACATCATTCACATGTTATTGCTTCGGCACTCGCCAGCATCGGACGGTAATAAGATTAATTACTGGAATCCTCACAACATTCATTCGTGCACTTCAACATGCAACAAATTATTCAACTGCAATGTTTTATTATTATAGATGAAGATGGAGAGTCAACATCGCTTCGGGCTCCAGCCGGAGGCGAGATTCGGCTCCTCGATATCCTGGATCGAAGATGTGGATGGAGATGGATACAGAGGTGACGAGGGATATAACGATATAGAGGTGACGAGGGATATAATGATATAGAGGTGACGAGGGATATAACGATATAGAGGTGACGAGGGATATAACCATATAGAGGTGACGAGGGATATAACGATATAGAGGTGACGAGGGATATAATAATATTGTAACAGAAGGATGTGACTCGCTAAATTTTTCCACCTTCAGTTTTAAATAAAACCTATCACCTTAGATCAGTGGTTCCCAAACTTTTTCAGGCTGGCGCCCTCTTTCGCTCTCTGTTTAATTTCTAGCGCCCCCCACAGACATAAGCCCCTTTCTTGAAATATAGTACGCTGCAATTTTTAAAGAGAAAGGTTAAACACAAATGTGAATTTCAGGAATAGAACCCTATTTAGTGAACCAATATGTTTTTCAGCTGTTTTAACTGTTTGAGCACTAGAAACCTTGAACGTCTCGGGCGAATTTACGGCTGGACTCCATGGCCGGTGTTACGTCTCACGACCAATATCTAAATTCAATTATCAATTAATATCTCCCAAACTAATGAACGCAGTGCTGTCAAACTTCGATCATGTATTCATCAGAACCTAGCGGTGATGTTTAGCTCATAATTTTTTTTCTACTTTCACCTTCATTCGAGAGTTATGCGTGTATTGTGAAACAGGCCAAAATTCGCAGTGATCAAAGAATTTCTTCCAAACTATTGAACATATTTGAACGAAATTTTGAGTATACATTCCCAACTACCAAACGGTGACTTTTTAGCTTATATTTTCTTATTTACCTTCGTTTGCGAATTTTTTTTTCATTTCACCGTCATTCTTGATTTCACACTTCCTTATATTCGGCCCGTATCGCCGGGTAATTTGTCACTTAAATTCGCGGCGATCCAGAAATTTCTTCTAAACTACAGAACAGATTTCAACGAAACTTTGTATATAATTACCTAACCTCACAACGGTGATGTTTAGCTCGTGACGATTTTTTTATTTTGCCTTCGCTCGCGAGGCATACAAATATAGGAGGAACGACCGGCTGTACTACCGGCCGGTTTAACCAAGAGCCGTATACGTATAGCCGTATGACTTGCAAACGAAGGCAAAACGGAAAAATTGTAACGAGCTAAATATCATCCTTGCTGAGGTTATGTATTTAAATACTAAGTTTCATTCAAATCTGTTCAGCGGTTTGGAAAAAATTTCTTGATTACTGCGAATTTAAACACGCATTGCTGTTTAAATCACGAATGAAGGTGAAATGAAAAAAAAACTAGCAAACGAAGGCACAATCGAAAAAATTTTTACGAGTTAAAGCTTACCGCTTGGTAGTTAGGACTGCAAATTAATAATTTCGTTCGAATCTGTTCAGTTATTTGGAAGAAATTCCTTAATCACTGTGAATTTCGGTCCGTATTGCCATATAACTATGGAAAAAACAAACGATGGCAAAATTCAAACAATTTTTAAGAGCTGGACATCATCATTAGGTCCTAATGAATACGTGTACTAAGTTTCATCGAGTTAAGTTCATTAGTTTTAGAGATATTCCTTGATCATTGAATTTAAAAATTGGCCGTGAACCCGCGTCGAGTCCGGCCGTTAATTTGTCCGAGACGTAAACCCAGGAGAGGATAAAAAACAGGTCTGGGTGACAAAACCATCGCTGGGAGTCATGTGCGGCACGTGTTGTGTACAAATCGTCAAACGTTCGAACTTCTGACATCGACTTCGGACTACCGCCCCCTTATCGCCCCCTACCGCCCTCTTCTCCCTTACCGCCCCCCAAAATCTTTCCACCGCCCCTAGGGGGGCGATATCGCCCACTTCGGGAACCACTGCCTTAGATTAAGTGAATGGAGTGAAAAACCGTGGATATCTACATGCAAACAGTTGCCTGTAGAAATGCCAATCCATATGCCGATTACAATCTTTAATTTCCGGTAATGAAATAAGGAAAATTTAGCACATGAATCAAACGTGTGACTATTTCTTGCTGATCACCTGAGGAATTCATGGAATTGAACAAAATATGCAGTAAGTTTACAGAAAAGGAAGATTTTTATAGTTTCTTATAATAATATCATACGATGTTTAACAAATATTATTAATTAACGATATATCACTGATACGCTCATTTGCCCTGCCGAGCCACTTCAGGAGATCCCACATCAGCCCCAAAAGTACAAAGTCTCAGCATTACGTGAACAAAGTGTGTACTGTACAAAGAAGTATGCACATCTCCTGTACAAAGTCTATTTGTACAAAGTCTCAAAAATGTTTTTGGGTGATGTGGTCTCCCCATCTCCTCCCCAGAGCTGGCGGTGGGAGCCCCTGGAGTTGATGACGTCGTGGGGAGCGTGCACATTTTTTGCGGGAGGCTGGGCATTCTGCCAACGGAACCTTGTCAGGTGCGAGATAAATAACGTGTGAATGGGGGGAGTGTGTACAGGGGGAAGAGTTACAGTAACAGAGGGAAGAGTTGCAGTTACAGGGGAAGAGTTACAGTTACAGGGGGAAGAGTTACAGTAACAGGGGGAAGAGTTACAGTAACAGGGGGAAGAGTTACAGTAACAGGGGGAAGAGATACAGTAACAGAGGGAAGAGTTGCAGTTACAGGGGGAAGAGTTGCAGTTACAGGGGAAGAGTTACAGTTACAGGGGAAGAGTTACAGTAACAGGGGGAAGAGTTACAGTAACAGGTGGGAGAGTTACAGTTACAGTAACAAAGGGAAGAGTTACAGTTACAGAGAAAATTTTAAATACGGGGAAAAATATGACGATAACAGAATTAATTTTTGTTAAAAAACTACTTCTATGGATAATAATATTTAATGTCAGAAGTTTGTAAAAGAGTTCTCATTCCACTTTTTCATCGAAAATGCGATAAAGTTAATCGAAAATTGTACGAAGTTAAATATGGGGAAAATATTATATAAGATTGATTTGGATATCATAAACAGTTGTTTGACAAAATAAGGGAAACACCTGACATTTTGATATCGTAATTTTTGAACATGTTATAAACAATGAAAACGTGTCATATATTTTTATGATTTATTGTTGATTTATTGTTTATTATGGCTGTTAATTGATATTTTATCATTGCATAGATATTTTTAGTAACTTTTCATGTCTTTAACCTAACTTATAACCTATAAATGACAAAGCTCTCAGACTTTCAAAGAGGTCAAATTGTTAGTGCCCGGATGATATCTGTAGGTGCTATTGTGGCCAAATATTCCCGAACGCTTGCCGTTTCTAGAGGTAGTACTGTCTTAAAAATGTCTTTTTTTGAAAAGGAATGTAAAACGTCCTTAGCAAAGCCCATATCTGGCTGGAAGTCGAAGTTGTCTAAATGACTGTACAAATGAGTCATTTAATCCCGCCTGCTTCCTCTCAACCGTAAAACATGACGGAGGATCTGTGATGATCTGGGGTGTTATTTCTTGGAAATCTGGCGGACCAATGATTTCTGCTCATGGAAGAATTTACAACTGTGATTATTTGAGAATTTCGAAGGACCAAATTGATCCAATGGTTCAATCACTGTTTCCGGTGGGAAACGCCATCTTTCAAGATGATAATGCCCCAATTCATACAGCTGAATTGTTAAAAATCGGTACGGTTATTTGACCACCACAATCACCAAAACTAAATATTATCGGCATTTATGGTCGATTTTACAGATGCAAGTCAGAAGTCGGTTCCCGCTGCAATCGTCTTAAAAAGAGCTGGATGGAGTTTTAAATGAAGAATGGGTTAACATTTATTTTGAAACAATTCAAACAGTTTGTATGAATACAATACCTTGGTTAATTGAGGTTGGAATTGCTTCAAAAGGTGGACCTACTCCACACTAAAATATATTTTGTGAATTTCTAAGGTGTTTCCCTTATTTTGTGTAACCCCTGTAGCCTGTGTGTCATGTCATTTAATTACACTAGTGCACTTATGACCTTATGACCCTATGATGAGTTTAGGACTTCCTAGTCCCCGGTCACGCTGATGCGCCGCCTTCGTCGTCCTCCGTCTCCGAGTCGTCGCTAGGCAGGTCACCCCGCCCTCGGGTCCCGGATGTAACGTTGGACGTGTTCCGTCTATTTGCCCTCCTTTTGGCCAGCTGATGCAAGATGCTGTTGCTTGTCACTTGCTGAGGGTAGTTTCCCATTACTGGACAGTCCGGGATCTTTCTCAACCAATTTTCCAGTCGTGTCTTGAAAGTTGCAGGGGTGAACTTCCCTCCTCTCAGCGCTTTTGGCAGGGCATTAAAGAACCTCGGTCCTACCACGGACAGTGATCCCTCACGAAGAGCTGTATTAGTATTATTGTGCACATGTATTTGTGCTATTGTGTCGTAGTATTCGTATTATTGTGTCGTTGTATCTGTGTTATTGTGTCGTAGTATTCGTATTATTGTGTCGTAGTACATGTATTTTTGTTTCGGCTGTTTTTATATTACTGTACAGTTGTATTTGTATTATTGTGCAGTTATATTTTTATTATCGTGCACTTGTTTTTTGTATTATTGTACAGTTATATTTGTATTATTGTGCAGCTTTATTTGCATTATTGCGTAGTTGTATTAATTGGATGATTGCACAGTTGTATTAATTTTATTATTGCGAACTTGTATTAATTGTAATATTACCCAGATTTTACGCGCTGAGGAAGGCATGCGGAACTTCGGCTGGGCCATAGCCTCCGGGTCCGGCAATTTGGCAGTGTCCGCATATGGGCAGAGCGTGGCCGTTTTCAAGTGAGTGCAAGTCAAATTTATTATTTTGTCTAATTATGTTACACATAAATTATTTTTAAATGTTATCAAAAAAATATTTACACGTTACTCAATTAATAATTATTTTATTAATTAGAAAATATTGATTAACCATACTTTCAGAGGTAGAAGGATAAATTATTAACAGAGATAAATTATTTTTAAAGGTTATCAAAAAATATTTACACATTACTTAATTAGTAATTATTTATTAATTAGAAAATTATTAATTAACCTTACTTTCAGAGATAGAAGGATCTTGCATTTGAATACTCGTACTTTCTCTAAGAAGTTTCTTAACATTTGAGTTAGTGGAGACTAAATCTAAGGTGAAAACCACGGAACGAAAAGCTATAATATATTTGTGTCGCGTATACTGGGCTTTCAAAGATATTTTTTCTGATTGTTAATGAATTATTTATCGTGTTTCTTATCACCAATAATTTTTTGAAGTTTTTAGTCCTGATTAAGTTCGATTGCCTGCAGTAATATGATATTAATGATTCAATAGATCATACGATGCTATACAAATGCCCGGTGCTTTCACATGGGTAAAAACGACGAAGTAGTTTTTACGAAGTAGTCAAATATTAGTAGTAATTAGAAACGAAGCAGTAATATTAATTTTAATTCTTAAATGAATCACTTAATTAATTACTGATTCAATAAAACCGGCACTCAGAGAAGCGGTTGGGTTATATTGCCCAAATGGTGACGCACTCTGTGCGTATAGCATTAAAACGCCCCTTTTACCTGGCTAAACTGTGCCCACACAAGGATGATATCTGGACAAAATATTCTTATTTTCCTCATGGTTTACCTGCGATATTATTTTCCTTATTGTTTACCTGCGATATTATTCTCCTTATTGTTTACCTGTGATATTATTTTATTTATTATTTACCTGCAATATTATTTTCTTTATTATTTACCTGCAATATTATTTTCCTTATTGTTTACCTGCGATATTATTTTCCTTATTGTTTACCTGCGATATTCTTATACACATCTAGATGTGTATAAGAGACAGCCTTATTGTTTACCTGCGATATTATTTTCCTTATTGTTTACCTGCGATATTATTTTCCTTATTGTTTACCTACGATATTATTTTCCTTATTGTTTACCTGCGATATTATTTTTCTTATTGTTTACCTGCGATATTATTTTCCTTATTGTTTACCTGCGATATCATTTTCCTTGTTTACCTGTGACATCATTGTCCTTATTGTTTACCTGCGATATTATTTTTCGTATTGTTTACCTTCAATATTATTCTCCTTATTGTTTACCTACGATATTATTCTCCTTATTGTCTACCTGCGATATTATTTTTCTTATTGTTTACCTTCAATGTTATTTTCCATATTGTTTACCTGCGATATTATTTTCCTTATTGTCTACCTGCGATATTATTTTCCTTATTGTTTACCTGCGATTTTATTTTCCTTGTTGTCTACCTCACTGATCTAGACGCCTTCCTGTGATCATTGCGTCGGTGGAGGTGCTGCTTCAGGGTCGCCTGCCCTACGAGACGCTGGGACCTGTGAACGTGTCGGTCTGCTTGTCCTACACCTTCAGGAGGTCCTCAGACTTCGACGACTCAGGCAGATGTAGGCTAATGTTTTCGATTTTTTATTAACATTTAAATTAGAGGAAAAATGCAAACCCTGCCAGACTGCATAGTTTTACAACTTTAAAATGGTACCGTGTCCAAATAAAATTGTAGAATAAAATTGAACAAAATTGTAAATAATTTGAAATTCTCAGTCCTAATGCCAATTGCGGTCAATTTTCTGGCTTGTTTCGCTAATAACAACTTGTTACTGGATTAAAATTTATGACTTTGTTTACAATTATTTCGAATTCTTCACAATCTTGGGGTAGGATTGGGTTACTCATACGCTTACATGAAAGAGATTATTTTCAATTCGTACGTACTTCTTAAGCTTTTGTATGGCATCCAATGTTTACAAAAGCCGCAGCGCAATAGGGTGATGAGTTAAGTTCATCGCAATAAAATTTTAATTAAAGGACTGTAATAAAAATAAGAACAGAGATCATTTTTAGCGCATTTTCTCATTAATGGAAAAATGGGCGCTATTGTGCTCGTCATGTCCGTCCGTCCGTCCGTGACCACGTTTTCGTCGACGAAAAAATGCGCTCTCTGTCACTCACTGCAGTGAGATGGTGTACCTTACTTCGTCAATTTGCTTTTTATAAAAAAATTTATTAGAAATATATTTGTGAAGTCACATGAGCCATATTGTTGGCTGAAGTAATTGTTGGAATATAAAGTTTTGAAGTTTTGCCAGCAATGAGTGGTGGCTGCAAGGTACATCATAGCAGCTGCCTTTGATAATAAAAGTTTTATTCACTTCGTCGATATTTTGTTAATTAATTTTTTACCTTCACTAAAAAGGGTTTAACGCGATGCTGCGGCTTGACGATGGCGTTGGAAATCCACGTCTGATTTTCGAAGGCACGAAAGAGAGTACAAAGGAGTTTGCTGTACAAGTGAAGGCAAACAGTCAATTGTGCCGGAACTTCCAAGTCATGCTTCAGGTTTGTGGTTACGAGTAATCTACAGACAAAATTTCGCATCTAAGCATCAGTTTTGTGGCAACGAGTAATGAGTAATGAGACATTTTAATTCACTTACCAGTTTTGTGGCAACCAGGAATCCGGTGTGACTAAATTCGCAATCAAGATTCACATTACTATGACCTGTAAAAGTTTCTGCTAACATGCCAACCATGATTGATGCTCCATATGGTTTCAGTTACGCTGTAGGCGTAGCTCGAAGTTATTAATCATTTAATGCTTGGATATTTAAGAAGTAAAATTAGGTTAATTTTTCATTTAGTAATGGAAGATTAATGAGACGCTACGTATCTATTGCAGACGAGATCACAAAACCCTTATGCTCAGTACAAGCTTACCGCCAACGCCTCGCTTGTGGCCAACCAGCCCCTAGTGGTGAGTGAGTTTGTGGCAGATGATGGAATTTTACCTTGTCAGATATATTGCTGTCAGCGATTTTGTTCGGTCTAAAGTAGATATACAGTAGACAGGATTCTTTACCGAATGGCACAATGACGTCGTTAATTTTTTTCGCGTCTAAAGACCTAATTACTGGATTTAACGTTAGTAGATAAAGATTTGATGCGTACACAATGACTACCGTTAGTGTTCGTACCGAAAGACCTGGTGACTGGAGTTACTGTCAATAGACTCGGGCTTAACCAGTGATAATGGTCTATTTATCTGTATTTGGGTATGCCGAGGTCCAGGTTGTGATAGATGTAGGATGATATGCACAGGTCCCGCTTGTGATGAATATAGGATGATATGCCCAGGTCCTGGTCGTGATGAATATAGGATGATATGCCCAGGTCCCGCTTGTGATGAATATAGGATGATATGCCCAGGTCCCGCTTGTGATGAATATAGGATGATATGCCCAGGTCCCGGTCGTGATGAATATAGGATGATATGCCCAGGTCCCGGCCGTGATGAACATAGGATGATATGCCCAAGTCCCGGTCGTGATGAATATAGGATGATATGCCCAGGTCCCGGCCGTGATGAACATAGGATGATATGCCCAAGTCCCGGTCGTGATGAATATAGGATGATATGCCCAGGTCCCGGTCGTGATGGATATAGGATGATATGCCCAGGTCCCGGTCGTGATGAATATAGGATTGTGAACGATGAACATCGTTCACTGAAATATTCACTGCTCGATTGATACGAACATTTATTCCCATGTGAATTTTTTGGCTAGATTGTCCTGTTGCGAAGCTGCGCTTGTAACATTTGAATCGGACCTATAGCAAGTGGAACTACGTGGGGCGAGGTCAGGTCTGAGCGGCTGTGAGTCAGGTAGTCAGTCGTGTCCCGCCAGCCCTATAGTGAGGTTCTAACCTGAACTCACCTCGCTCCGTTGCTCCACTAGCGATATTGTGCCCTAGCGGCTAGCGCTAGTTACTGTGGCTGTGCTCTATATGCTCCATCAAGCAGTGTAATGTCCATCGTGCTTGTTCTGTCATTTTTTAAACGTATCCCTTTGAAGTGCTTTGCTGAAATAAAACTGAGTTTTATTCGTGTAATCGAAGTTTTAATGAAAGACATCCCAGTGCAATAATGTGTAATTTAGCTTTAGCAAAAAATCCTTGAACTTATTACAAGATAGTTGCCGGCGTTTGGCCGTGGAGCTTCGATCATCCTGACAAGATTAAAGGTAGCGGCACACGTCCGGTGACAGGATGATATGTCCAGGTCCTGATTTTGATGAATATGGGTACGCACACAGTGAAAGCAGGTTTGCCCGCGCGGGCAACCTGCTCCAACCTGCCACAAGAATGAACATAGGATAATAATGTAAGTGTTCACAGTGAAAACCTGTACGAATAGGCTTCTGTATTCTATGGTTTCATGCGCCAGCCTGAGCAGGTAACCAGCACGCTGGCAACCTGCTTTCACTGTGTGCGTACCCTTAAGGATGATATGCCCAGGCCCCTGTCGTGCCCGACTACCGTGTGTCGTTGAGGTCCAGCACGACTCTGGTCCACGACCTGAAGTGCGACGGCAGCACTTGCTTCACGAAAGCCACGCTTGACATACGGGGTCAGAGGTTAGTTTTTCTAAAATAGCAGCTGAAACTAAAGAATAAATCATAAAGGTTTTTATCAATCCGTTATTCATGTTAGGCGTTGAATTTTTGCTTGATTAAAATTTCATCAATCACTAGGAGCCTAATAGTCTTGCCTTCCTAATCGTTTTGGTTAATATTACGTTTTGTTAAAATTAAATGAGTATAAATTTATTTACTTGAAAACTACCATTAATGTATGTGTTAATGGCTTCATTCATATATGAAGCTGCCGTTCGTTTATTAGCAGCTAAATTATCTTTAATATTTCAGTTCCTACACGTATAAAGCGGACAATCCATACGTCGTGGAAGTGACTTTGGCAGTAGAAGGAGATACCGCGTACTTGCCGAAGATCACTGTGAGCTACCGAACTTTCAGTTTTGAGCCCTAGTATTTAATTAAGATCCTGTCTAGTTTTTTTGCGAAAATTTGTTTCCATTTGTCTACATTTTGTCCGATAATTTTTTGTTTCAGTTCTGTGAATAATTTTTACTAGAATTCTACTTAGTATTCTATGCAGTGATAATAAGTATTCTGATATATAGTAACGACCTAACTTGATTCCCCCAGTGTCTGTTTGATGATGTGTTGATTTCCCCAGTGTTTGTTGATGTATTCATTCCCCAGTGTTTGTTCTTGTGTTAATTCCTCCAGTGTTTGTTGATGTGTTCATTCCACCAGTGTTTATTGATTTGTTCATTCGCCCAGTGTTTGTATATGTGTGTTTATTCTCCCAGTGTTTGTTAATGTGTTTTTTCTCCCAGTGTTTGTTAATGTGTTTATTCTCCCAGTGTTTGTTAATGTGTTTTTTCTCCTTGTTAATGTGTTTATTCTCCCAGTGTTTGTTAATGTGTTTTTTCTCCCAGTGTTTGTTAATGTGTTTATCCACCCAGTGGTTGTTAATGTGTTTATTCTCCCAGTGTTTGTTACTGTGTTTATTCTCCCAGTGTTTATTGATGTTATATTTCCTGCAGCGTTAATTGATGTGTTTATTTCCCCAGTGTTTGTTAATGTTTTTTTTCCTAGTGTTTGTTAATGTGTTTATTCTCCCAGTGTTGTTAATGTGTTTATTCTCCCAGTGTTTACTAATGTTTATATTCTCCCTGTATTTATTGATGTTATATTTGCTGCAGCGTTAATTGATGTGTTCGTGCTGTTACAGGTCAACACAAATGGGCTGCTGTCACATAGCAAGGGAACCGATAATAAAGAAATTACAATTGATGACGATGGGACGCTCGTAGTCTGTACTTACCAAGGCTCATTAAACAACGAGACGGTATTCTTTTGTTCCTTTATGACATCTCCAAATCCAAGTTTACTCATTGATTACTGAATACTAAGGCAATAGTTCGTATTTTTATAAAAAATCATTGTTTTAATTTAATTAATGGGACTATCTTCAATACACACTCTTTTTTGGTGATAGATTCCATTATTTTTTATCCCGTCATTGAACTATGATGCGTAAAGTTAATTATGAGCAATACTTTCGACATTTTTATGCCAAAAACTTACTGCGAGAATTTGGACGGTTCTGAATTAAAAAAAATTTATAATATGATGGTTGCATTGTGCAGAAAAACTTTACCCTGGAGTTCTTACCATCAAAAATCCTAAAAGAAACCGCAACTCAACGAGAGCCCAGACTTGACATCACAGCTAACTTCACATCCTTGTCCAACCTGACGACCGACAGTCGTGTGGTTGCTTCCCTTACTTCGACTGTACAAGTCGACGTTGAATCAAAACTCGACGGGTGAGTGCTTCTCTTACCTCGACTGTACAATTCGACGGTAAGTCAAAACTCGACGGGTGAGAGATTCTCTTACCTCGACTGTACAAGTCGACGGTAAGTCAATACTCGACGGGTGAGAGCTTCTCTTACCTCGACTGTACAAGTCGACGTATACAAGTCAGAACTCGACGGGTAAGTGCTTCTCTTACCTCGACTGTACAAGTCGACGTTAAGTCAGAACTCGACGGGTAAGTGCTTCTCTTACCTCGACTGTACAAGTCGACGTTAAATCAAAACTCGACGGGTAAGTGCTTCTCGTACCTAGACTGTACAAGTCGATGTTAAATCAAAACTGGACGGGTTTGTGTCGAGTGAACCTACGAGTAATTAACCAGGCGGATGTTGTGAACAATGTATTTGAGTATTGTAAAGTTTGCGCCCCAAACGTTGGCGGACAAAGCTGCAGTGAAATGACTAGTTACTGAATTTACGAAGAAAGAAAAAGTCAATCTCTAAGAAGTTCGGATGGTTGTTAGACTGCTGACTATTTGAGGAAAAAAATGAACAATAAAATAAATAACGAATATCGATGGTCCCTACATATCTTCGTCCACTCAATGTCTGCGGTAAATAAATATAAGCTTAAACCTACATCACAGGGTAATATATAAATGACTAGAATTGGTTAGATATACAATTATGATTGTGTTTTCTCCTCGCCTGAGGTGTGTACACTCTTTTCATTTAGTTGTTGTTAATTTGTCTTGTATATTCAGTTTTAATAATTAATACGTCGCTTCTGTATTCGATGTAAATTATTAATATCTTAGTTCTCGTCACCCAGACGTGTGGAACCCGCCAATTTCACCGAAAAAAAGAAGGAACCGAGGGAAAACATCATGTACAATTTTACTCTCAAGAACGAAGATTCCTTCCCTTATGACGTCACCATCAAGCTCACCATGAACAACAACACAAGTGAGTTTGGAATTAATGAAACGATAGAGACCATGACATGTTTATAAAAAATATAACTCAGTACTCACAGCAGTGAGTGACAGAGAGCGCATTTTCTCGTCGACGAAAATTTGAGGTCACGGACGGACGGACAGACGGACGGACAGACAGACGGACATGGCGAGCACAATAGTGCATTTTTTCCATAAATGAGAAAATGCGCTAATAATGGCAACTCGCACTTTTTTCTTTCTTCCTGACTCTGCGTAAGTGAATATTATTTCTTATATCGAGTAACAAAAATATTGATACAAATGCCTACTCTTGCTTTCTATGTTAAAAAGGATTTTTTGTACAATATTGCATCTATAATACCACAATTCTTGGCACGTTTGTAAACTCAAAATTCGTATGAAGTTAATTTCTGGAATTTTAAGCAATTTATACGTCCATATTGAACGAAAATCTCTGGTGAGTGTGACGACAAACATTGACGAACCGACACGAAGTGGTTCACGTAGTTTTTTGATCAGTTTTTAAAATGTTGTTGCGTCGGTCTGTTAGATGTTTAACCTGTCCGCTATTTGACCTGTCCGCTGTTTGACCTGTCCGCTGTTTGACCTGTCCGCTGTTTGACCTGTCCGCTGTTTGACCTGTCCGCTGTTTGACCTGTCCGCTGTTTGAACTGTCCGCTGTTTGACCTGTCCGCTGTATGACCTGTCCGCTGTTTGACCTGTCCGCTGTTTGACCTGTCCGCTGTTTGACCTGTCCGCTGTCTGTCTCTTATACACATCTAGATGTGTATAAGAGACAGGTTTGACATGTCCGCTGTTTGACCTGTCCGCTGTTTGACCTGTCTGCTGCCATGACCAACACAAATTCATATTTAGAAAAAGTGTTACACATTTAAGACATATTCGTCTCAGTAAAGTTAGTTGGAGAAGAAACATAGCTCGTTATACAAAATATTCTTTGCCTCTAACGGACATTTTTTATTAGAAGATCTTTGTAAGGCGAACATCATTTCTACAGCAAAATTTATACAGTAAACTAATATGATTTAAACTATTTGATAAGTTTACATAATGATTTTTTAAACAGAGTCCGAATGTTTGGATTCCTTCTCGACGGCTGAAGACTCGCGGTGTCAGCTTGGAGGTGAGATTCTCAACTAGTCTAATTATTTAGCTTATCTATAGCATATTCACTTTAAACATAAATTTTCGATGACATAATTGAACCTAAATTTTCTCTTGTCTTTCTGGATTCAATAAAAACAGTAGAAAAAAATTCTTTTCTATCACCATGTGTTTGTTTCTTGAAATATAAGTCTGCAAAATGCCATGTATGTAACGATGATTTCATGATAATATTATATATTCTCAGACAGTAATGCGGTAATATATTGTCAGACAGTAACATATTCTCAGACAGTAATGACAGTAATATGTTCTCAGACAGTAATGACAGTAATATATTCTCAGACAGTAACACAGGCTCGCTGTTTGTCTGCACATTCCCCGACCTCGGCGTAGGCGCTAAGGCGAGCGTCGCTCTGAACGCATCTATACTCGTGATGGAGGTGACTAATTACTTTTAAATTAATGCATTCATTATGATTTATTCTATTTACACTTATCCCTCTTCAACTCGGGTATTATTTGCGTTACTGAAAGGTTTATTTAAAAAAAAATTGAATTACAAAATTAATTCGGCTGGAGTCCAAAATTACGATGTATGTTTTTTGATTCAGAGATGTTTTTGAGTATATTCGCCTTTTCAAACATTTTTTTGTCAACGTCGCGTATGCAGAATAGTTATCGTTTTGGGATATTACCTGGAATTTCTTCTATTACCTGGAGTTTCTTTTATTACCTGAAATTTCTTCTATTACCTGGAGTTTTTTCTATTACCTGGAGTTTTTATTTAACGAAGCAATTAATGCATTCATTATAATTTATTCTATTTAACGAAGCAATTAATGCATTCATTATGATTTATTATATTTAACGAAGCAATTAATGCATTCATTATAATTTATTCTATTTAACGAAGCAATTAATGCATTCATTATGATTTATTCTATTTAACAATCTCTCTTCAATTCACATGTTATTTTCGTAACTTTAAGGATTTTTTGAAAGAAATCAGAAGTATATAATTAAATTGGCCGTCGTCCAAAATTATGATTTATGTTTTTGATTCAGGGGTTGTTTTTGGGTATATTCACCTTATCAAACATATTTATTTTTGTCAAAGTTTGTGTGTATGTTTGTGTGTACGTATGCTTGTAGACTGGCATTGCAAAGGTATAGGAGCAGTTGAGGCGCGTATAGTTATCGTATAGTAGAATAGTTAGTAGTTATCGTAGAATAGTTATCGTATTGGGATATTACCTTAGATTTCTTCTATTACCTGGAATTTCTTCTATTACCTGGATTTTCTTCTATTACCTGGAATTTCTTCTATTACCTGGAATTTCATCTATTACCTTAAATTACTTCTATTACCTGGAATTTCTTCTATAACCTGGAATTTCTTCTATTACCTGAAATTTCTTCTATTACCTTGAATTTCTTCTATTACCTGGAATTTCTTCTATTACCTCGAATTTCTTCTATTACCTGGAACTTCTTCTATTACCTGAAATTTCTTCTGTTACCTGGAATTTCTTCTATTACCCGGAATTTCTTCTATTACCTGGAACTTCTTCTATTACTTGAAATTTCTTCTATTACCTGGAATTTCTTCTATTACCTGGAATTTCTTCTATTACCTGGAATTTCTTCTGTTACCCGGAATTTTTTCTATTACCTGGAATTTCATCTATTACCTTGAATTTCTTCTATTACCTGGAATTTCTTCTGTTACCTGGAATTTCTTATATTACCCGGAATTTCTTTTATTACCTGGAATTTCTTCTGTTACCTGGAATTTCATCTATTACATGGAATTTCTTCTATTACCTGGAATTTCTTCTGTTACCTGGAATTTTTTATATTACCTGGAATTTCTTCTATTACCTGGAATTTCTTCTCTTACCTGGAAATTCTTCTTATACCTGGAATTTCTTCTATTACCTGGAATTTCTTCCGTTACCTGGAATTTCATCTATTACATGGAATTTCTTCTATTACCTGGAATTTCTTCTATTACCTGGAATTTCTTCCGTTACCTGGAATTTCATCTATTACATGGAATTTCTTCTATTACCTGGAATTTCTTCTATTACCTGGAATTTCTTCTGTTACCTGGAATTTCATCTATTACATGGAATTTCTTCTATTACCTGGAATTTCTTCTGTTACCTGGAATTTCTTCTATTACCCGGAATTTCTTCTATTACCTGGAATGTCTTCTATTACCTTGAATTTCATCTATTACCTGGAATTTCTTCTTTTACCTGGAATTTCTTCCATTACCCGGAATTTCTTCTATTACCTGGAATTTCTTCGTTTACCCGGAATTTCTTCTATTACCTGGAATTTCTTCTATTACCTGGAATTTCTTCTATTACCAAATTTTCTTCTATAACCTAGAATTTCTTCTATTACCTGGAATTTCTTCTCGGAAAATAGGAGAGGATTCTATAACTGGGAGGAAAGGTTCGGATTATGTATTAAATTTTGCATCTCAAATTGTCATGTATACCTACGTAAATTTGATTATGAACACTCCAAAATTTTCTTCATATTTGGGAGCGAGAGTCAAGTTCTACTCGTATGTTGAACAGGTCTTTGAACAGGTCTTCTTTAATTATTCGTATGTTGAACAGGTCTTCTTTAATTAATCGTATGTTGAAAAAGGTCTTCTTCAATTAATCGTATGTAGAACAGGTCTTCTTTAATTAATCGTATGTTGAACAGGTCTTCTTTAATTAATCGTATGTCGAACAGGTCTTATTCAATTAATCGTATGTCGAACAGGTCTTCTTTAACTAATCGTATGTTGGACAGGTCTTCTTTAATTAATCGTATGTTGAACAGGTCTTCTTTAATTAATAGTATGCTGAACAGGCCTTCTTTAATTAATCGTTTATATTATATTATATTATACTATATTATATTGTATTAAGTTATATTATATGATATTATGCTTCTACATACTAACTGAGAGTGCTGTAGCGTGACGATAACAGTGACTCCGGGTGATATAACATCTTATATTTTCTTTCTTAGAGTGGGATTGTTTTAATTCTAACTCCTGACTTCTGGCTTCTAACTGGCTTGTTTTTATACAATTATAGCAAGATAACTTAGTAAATTCATTACATGATTAATACATTACTCGTTACAATTATTGGTAATATTTAAATATTATTATTATTTCATTGCTACGTTAAACTTGACAAATCACTTCACTGCATTACACTGCACCACACCTGCCTACACTTCACTACACTTCACCACACTTCACTACACTTCAATACACCTCACTATACTGCACTACGATGTATTGAGACCTCGTATTTAAAATGTCGGTGTGCACTGTAGCATATGGAGACGTGGTTGATCACACTTCAATACACCTCCTAACACTTCAATACACTTCACTATACTGCACTACGATGTATTAAGTATTTAAAATACTGCACTACCTCGTATTTAAAATGTTGTTGTGTACTGTAGGGTATGAAGACATGGTTGATCGGGATCATCGCTGCGATGTCTGCGCTGGTGATTATGATGGTCGGAGGGTTAGCTTTTTTCTTGGTCTGCAAGAGCTGTCAGGTTAGTCCCTAGCTATAAATTTGCTAGAAATTCTGTTTACTTACCTGAAAAATAATTTTATTTCTGATATTGAGTCCGCGTTTATAATATTAATCCTTTTCATTTTGTAAATAATGTCAGATACGAGTGGTGAATAATTATTTTCTGACAAGCCCGCTTAATATTTATTGGATTTTTCGCATTCAAATGCTAAATTACGACTGGTGGAGATAAAGGCTTGGACACGTGTCATTTCCTGCACACTACGCATTATGTTATTCCAAACCGAAATGGCATTACATAATATACAGGGTATATATAATATATATATAATGATAATAAATGATATGTATAATATATATATCATTTTCTTGTGAAGTTGTAGTGATATATTAATATCCATCACCCATGTAGTGTCACCCAATATTATGCGTAAAATTCAGTATAAGATTTTGTCCAGCGTGTCATACAATATTGCACACAGATTTTTGTACAATATGACTGGCAATGTGTTGTACACCATTGTACGTGATGTACAATGCCGTAGATGCATTCTTAGGGCCGTAGATTCAAAACTCGCTTTAGTACACGTATACCTGCCTAAGTACACATAGCGGCCAATTCATTGTTAATGATTGACGGCTTTAGCATGAACTAAGTATGAACTTCCAACTATTTTTAATATTACGGCTTCACTGGTTCGTCGAATGTATCGTATTTTCCTACAAAGAAGAAAGATGAGGCAGACGGCGCAGCTTCGGGAGAGAATAAAGAGCTGAGGAACACGAGATGCAGGAAGACGAACGCCAAGATGACGAACCGCAACCTTCGAAACCATTAAAGCCTCAGAGCAACGGGCCTTGCAGTCCATAATCATGGACAGCTTCCTTGAAGTCTACAATCCAGGGCCTATACTTTAAAAAAATTTAAGAGATCGTAAGTTCAGCAGCCAATCGTTGACGGCCTTTCAAGCAAAATCCACCAATCATAGACGAGAAAATAGAGCGTAAGTACTTACGTTCGCTTAGCGAGTTTTGAAAGTATGGCTTCTGGACAGCTTGGGGTCTTGAGGTCTTTGAATGCCGTGGCTCTTAATCCTAGGGCTTTAGCTCATGTGGACTTGAAGTCTTGGCTACAAGTGCCTGAGATCGCGAGGACTTTTGAGACTTTGACCTTGATGGATTTATTTTGGAATTGGACTCAAGATTACAGGCCTTAAAAGTCAAAGACTTCGGGCCCTTCAATTTAGGCTTTTGGTAATCAAAACTTCAGTTTATCAGCTTTTGGGAATTGTTTTTGTTGTCTTTCAAGTCCGGCTATTGCTGAAATTTCTCGTGATCTAAAATTGATTTCTGATAAGCTTATTTGCAGTCGTGTTCCTGATTTGATCTATTATATACAAATCTCTACTTTATTTCTAACGAGCTGTCCAAAAAGAGCCGTAAATGTGTTCCTAGTCATTATTAAATGAGTCGCATCGTAAGCTTAGGATTCATTATTGTCCAAGACCAAATTTTACTATTAATTTCATAAACTTAATTTCCTAAAGTAATTGTTTCTATAGAAAGAAAACACTTCAAAATGGTACGATCACAGTTTATTGAACAAATCATAGCTTTCAATTTCAGTTTAGTTTTAACGAATTGAACCCGCATTGAATATCGATAAAGCACAATGAAAACTATAACTAAATATCATTGACTTATCATCCCACATAAAAGTTTTACGTTTTTATATAAATATAAAAATAGTTATGCGAAGTTACGGCATGATTTGAAATTATGATTTAATTTCGTTCTTGTTCCTGTTAATACATTTTTAACAGACAAAAGCCCGTGTGTTTCATTAATCAATATCATTGACCTGAGCAATCTAGACTGGCGGATTGACAATCGCGACCAATCGCGATTCGCGACCGAATCGCATTGGATGCCATTCGGTCCATAAATGCGCGGGGAACATTTTTTAGAATAAAGCACAAGAAAATTTCCCGGAAAAAATGTTATTTCCCTAAAATTTCCTATCAACGATTTCATTATATTTGTTTATCACACACGTATATAGCTGCTTCCCAAGGCTTATCAGAAATTTGGATTTAGTCAACCAAGAGACCAAGTGAGATAACCGAGTGTTATCTCAGAGATAATCTATCTGCTGAAATTCTCAGTGCTGATCCGGGGAGTTGATGTTGTGCAACTTAATAGTTCATAATCTGGGGAATTCCTGTAAACTTGGAAAAATTTATGGGTTATGTTTTCCAAATTGTGACATACTTCCAGCACGTAGCACAGATAGGGTAACATGGGGCAGCGAGCCCACTGCGGGTCACGGGCCCATAGCGGGTTTACCACTAAGTATGGCAGATGTTGGTCCGTGTTCTCTACCGCCGGTCGACAGTTTCACTGGGATGAAGTGTACGGATTTACGTTTTGCTAAGTGTTTGCGTTATTAAGTTATTTGTGAATAACTGTTTTAGCCCAGATAAATTTTTTTTGCTGCTAAACAAAACTGTTTTTGATTACTGTAGATGAAGCTTTTGAAATTACTGTGAATTATATTTTGAAAGTAATATTAATAGGGATAATTTTGAGATCAAGTTTAGACTATTAGCTTTTAAAATAAAATGTTGACACGATATAAATTGAAATGATACCTAGTGGTGCAACGGGCCCACGCGTGTCACGGGGCAAAGCGCCCATGGTGAAGTCGTGTGTTATATATCATTAGATTTGTCTCAATGACCTTTTCAAAACTATGACTAGCTTTTGAATTACAAATTACACTTCATATTGCATGATTTTTTTATTTGCTGCCTCAAGGCAGCAGGTTTAGTTTCTTGTTATGCGTATTTATGACCCCTTATCGAGTTATTGACTCTTGCCTTGCCAAAAGTTGATTTCAGTCAACACCAATGAGCCAAAAGTTAATGAGTTTTTATGGTGTTGGCTGAAATCACGATTAGATACGAATTCTTTGCACATAATATCTGGATTATGGACGAAACTGGAACGAAGTTCTTTTCTGATCAACTATATATAATTTTTCTAGTCAAGGATACATTTTTTCATGTCAAGGACGAATTTTTTATCGCGAGGATATATTTTTCAAGTCAAGGATATATATTTTTATGTCAATGAAATATTTTTCTTCATGTCAGTGCAGATAGATTTTTTAAGCCAAGAGTATATTTTTTCAAGTTAAGGATAAGATTTTTTAAGTTGTTAATAAATGAATGAATGTCATATTTATATTAATTTTTTTATTTTTAACTTTAAAGTGTTGTTTATCATTTTTAAACGAAAAATATGCAATTGTGGTAAAGGGACTAAGGGTGGGCGCCTTGCCCCAAGCCCATGGGCCCATTGCCCCAGGGGTGGGGCAATGGGCCCATTTTGACATTTTTTACAAAATAGTGTTTCATTAAACATTGAATAACTCTATAGGCGTCCAATTTATATCATACATTCCTCATTAGTTGTACCTTTAAACAAAACAACGAACCACCTCGTATCAATTAAAACTTCATCAAAAATTTGGTTTAAAAAAAGGGGGGGGGGGCGCGCTGCCCCATGTTGCCCTACGCATTTTTGTGGTTCAGGATGATTCACAAAAGGAAAATATACAACGATATTTTGACAAAGTCTCACCCATTTTTCTAACATCCTTAAGTGTTAAGGAATTAAATTTACGGATAGTTGATTAATAGATTTAAGGTTTTAATAAGGCCTACGGCCATATTTAAGGCTCTTCGATGTTCAATGGCTTAAGCATGTTGAATTAAGCATTTAATTTTGGTAGTCATTTAAATTTATAGTGATTTGCTGCTTGAAATTATTTACAAATCACTTGTGGCGCGGGAAGTGTTTAGGAATTAAATTCACGGACAGCTGTTCATTTATAGATTATTTGCATAATTTTATGCAGAATCTTTTTTACGATCTCCACTTTGGCAAAAACCTCAACTTTAAATGCGTTAAATATCAGTTAACAGCATCTATATCAGTGTTTATATACACTGATTATATACATTTATATACACTGTTTATATACACGCCGTTTATACACTTTATGTCACTGTAAGGACTCTTGAAATTATCGTTTAGCGTTTTAATTCCCCTTTGACGTGACCTCGTTTAGATGCGCTCTATATTTCGTCATTATATGGGAATCCCACCACAGAGGTGCGTGTAGGTATTATGTCTAGTGATTCTTGTGATAGTCATGTATACATATATCCAGTGGTTTATATATAGGTGACTATGAATATCAATACTTGTATTATTCTGTTACTTATTTTCGCCAAGTATGCAATATATTCTGATTCGTTAGTGTCTGTAATTTGTTTATTTATGCATTTTCAGAAAGGCTCCGAAACGTGAGGCCGGAGTTAGAAGTGCTAAGGAAATGCACGGTTTATTCATTTGTATTCGCGTATCCGTCATTTCTTTATTATTATTATAGTTATTTATTAAAAGTTTGGGGAAACCGAAAGTTGGTTTGCTTATTTATCGAATAGTCCCCAACACCATATCTACCTTCCAACCACAACTTCACCTGGAGAATTAAGTATTCCAGGGCACAACTGAATACAGCAGAAACTATCTTCGGCCTCGTATCGTTAAGATTCGCCAGTCTTTAGAGTTCCTTCACTTGTGCTAGACGTCGCATCTGCCGTCACTTGTGGTAGACGTCGCATCTGCCGTCACTTGTGCTAGACGTCGCATCTGCCGTCACTTGTGCTTGCATCAGATGCAGCTGTACCCCGCATCAGATGCAGCTGTACCCCGCATCAGATGCCTATAGGCATTTATAATTTAGCCATTTAATTCATGCATGGTTTTACCATCTTTGATTTTACATCAAGTTTACCTATTTGTGTAGGTTTTTTTTCGTAGCCAGGCATATAACCTGGCCATGAAAACTTATTCTTAAAGAGATCAAGGGATCACATCAAAAATTCAAATTCGATTTTTAATTCCGTGTGTACATATTTACTTTAAAAATTTTTAAAGATTTTTTTATTCTTTATAAACATTTGTGAAATGATAGTGTTTCACTTTATATGTGTGAGGTAGTCTTAAACTGTCCTTCTTAATTATTATTTATTATTATTTGTTTTGTTTATTTACATATTTTCATTCATTTACTAACTGGTACATGATCACGGGATTTTAATTTTGCACGGATTATCGATCACGAGCTAACCTGCTATTAATTAATGAATACAATCATGTTGATTATTATGAAAGCCATGAAATGAACATTCTCAATATTCATAACTCTTTATTTAAACTTTTACGAGTAGTTGAACCGCATTGCTTGCTGCTGTCATCAAAATTAATTAAGTAATGAATTAATAAATCAAAATTAATTGTCATCATTAAACTGATGTCACCCTATCCTTCATTCCAGTCTTGGCACATCAGTACGATTCTCTAGCAAAAGACGTAGCTTTCTTATCATCATTGTTATCGTCGTTTGTTCCTTATCGTCCTTGTTATCGTCGTTTGTTCCTTATCGTCATTGTTTTCGTCGTTTGTTCCTTATCGTCATTGTTTTCGTCGTTTGTTCCTTATCGTCATTGTTTTCGTCGTTTGTTCCTTATCGTTATTGTTATCGTCGTTTGTTCCTTATCGTCATTGTTATCGTCGTTTGTTCCTTATCGTCATTGTTATCGTCGTTTTTCCTTATCGTCATTGTTATCAACGAGCGATGCCCCCACGATAAGATATCTATCATTAATAAGACCACGCGTTATTCGTTATTTATATACAGATTCGTTATTTTTGAATTTTGTAAATTCTTGCCGGTTAAGACACTTTAAACGAAATGCAATATTTCACATTCATTGTTAAAACGTCATGGTAAAATTTACGCTAGCTTTTAATTGATATATATGACGTGTTTGAGCTTCTTTATACTAGGTATGGTAGAAGAATAGGTAGTTAGATGGTGGTTGTGGCTGAAAAATTTACCAACATACTTGATAACGTATTCATATTGCTGCAAGTCTAATTAAATGTGACATTAATACAACAATGGGGCAGAGAATATGCAAATGGAGTTTGGGAATAGAAAATTGCAAGTGCGTGTTTTTCTTATTTGATGCTGGAATCAGTTGAAAATTAAAGCAAGTAATTACAGTGATGCTATAGTATGATTATAAAAGTATTTTGTATGTGTTACCGCGAGAGAAGAAAGTATTTGTACTTTTGAGGAGGACCTTCATACCGTATCTTGAGGCTGGCAATTCTCTATTCGTGTCTGAAAATCTTACTTCTCATTATAGTTGAACAACAGATTTTTTTAATTAACTAAATCATTTATAAGAAAAACAAACTTATTATTTCTCTTTCGACAAGATGGCTGAAACTGAGGATGAGAACTCGACTCCTGTTACCAAGTGAGTGCGTGGAAAGAAACATATTTCAAGAGTTTTTGTTATATTTTGAGTTTTAAATTTTAACTTTTGAATTTTGATTTGTCTCTTGAAATTTGTCGGTTGCTTTCGACGTTAAAATATTAAGTTGTGTGCTTCTTGAACAGCTAGCTTTGTATCGCCTGGCCCATTAACAAGTCAAATTGTTGTTGCTGTCCATGGTTATGAAGATGTCGTGAGGGATTATGTTGATTGTGGGTCTAGATAATTTATAAGTTTGTCGTGTCTCAAATAGTTAATTATATTTTAGAGGAGTCAAAATCTTTCATCGAAAGTTTCCGTCCGTGGTCTTTCTTTCTCAGCTTGTCTAAATGTACCATATGTTATATATGGGATGTCGGAGACTGGGTTGTTGTCTTTATAGCTTTTTAAAATCTAGTGGTATGGATTCGTCGTATCCTGGTATTGAAATAAGCGATTCTTTGTAATGTTTGTCCCCTATGTTCCTTTTTCTTGGGTCGCGGTCATCGTCATGGGTCTTGGTAGTTAAAGCTGAAGGATCGTTTTGTGGGTTTTCGTCGTCGATCTGCAGTTCCGCAGGTTCAGCAAGGACGGTCTTTTGTCATCGTCATCAATTAATTCAGTTTTTAGGTTGAATTCATTATAGTCTGTGTATGTTTCGTTGTGGTTGTAGAAATAATTGAATTTTTTTCGAGTTATGGTCAGGAAAGGTATAGCGTCGATATCATAATTGTCTTTCAGTAATTTGGTTAGCTATTTAGGCTTCCAATAATATTGCTGTCAGTTTGATTTGTGTGTGGTGTTGGTGAGAGCGAGGCTGTGTTGTGGGACGTTGATTTGTTGTTACATATTTTGTTATTTCAGCGAATCTTTGGTGTGTCGTCTGCGTTTCTTTGCCTAGTGTTTTTTTATGATTTATTGTTTCCTGTATGGGGAGTTAGCGGCAAATTTCCATTGATTTTGATGCCAGTTGTGGTATACTGTGCGTGTGTTGATGCACTGAGTGTACGTGTGGTCGTGGGATGCGCATTCAGAGCAGGAACGTGTAGTGGCGGTGCATAAAGGAAGTGGGGTGGTCTCTGAATTTGCAGCACTTATAGCAGTTAAGGATATGAGTTAAGTTTTCATGTTCGCACAGTCTGGGTCGATTATATTGTTGATTACGGAGAAGCCGTCTTTAGGGGTGCGTGGTGAAGTTGCCGTGTTCGTCGTTATGATTTTGTTATCGTGAGAATAGTTTTCGATCTTCATTGCGTCTTGAATATGGGTCAAGTTTTGAGTCTTGTTATTTCGTCTTTAATTTCTGTCGGGGTCTTCCTGACTATACAGTGGGGGGAAATAAATATTCGTACACTTGAAAAATCGTATTTTAATGTATGTAAGTACACAAACTTAACAGGAAAAGTGATTTAAATTATGTATAGAGACGCATAGTATTCAAAAATACTATCAAAAGAAATTAAATCTCAATGCAACAAAAATAATTTAAATCACTTTTCCTGTTAAGTTTGTGTACTTACATACATTAAAATACGATTTTTCAAGTGTACGAATATTTATTTCCCCCCACTGTATGTCTTTTTCAGGTACCTGAAAGAAAATGATGCATTTTGAGCGTAAGTTAGGTGGAATAATTGGTTGTGAGTTAATTTTGATGAATAATTCAGTAGCTTTTTTGATGTCAATTTGTCAAGTGCGCAGGCGTTGTCTGTTACTACCCAATATGGACAACAAGTCAAACCCTATTAAAGCATTGCAAACAATTTAACACTTAACAGTTTGAGTCTTTTGAGAATCACTCACATGGCTTCTCTGATTGCCTCCTAGAATGGAGTTTAAGGAGTACTCAGGACCGGAGTAGGAGTCTCTCCAGAAGTACCTACCCGTGTACCAGCAGCTGGTGGAGGTGGTACCAAGCAGTACCCTCATGCCAGCCACCTACAAGAAGTACCATGATCAGTACCAGAGATTCCAGTCGCGACCTACCGACGTTTGGATCGCATCATATCCTAAAGCAGGTTCCTCATCTACCGCATATTTAGGACGCTGTCTTGAATACCTTAATAACATCAGGATTCTCATGTTGTTTACTAGAATACCTAAAATGCCAAGATGCGACTGCATTATATTAAATAGAGCCATGCATTTATTGTAAACAAATAAGTACAATGAAATTGATATTCTATGCTAAATGTCGTTGTGCAATGAAGCCTGCATACAAAATCAAATTTCTAAACCTTGATGACCATGGAGCGTTTGGTCAATACTTAACAGATCAAGTGCTGCGAAGCCAATTTTATGGCATTAAGTAGAGATTTCCTGGTTTACTATAAACGTGCACTTTTAACCACATAACTGCGCATCACGTTTTTAGCGCATTTTCTCATTCATGGAAAAATGCACTATTATGCTCGCCATGTCCGTCCGTCTGTCCGTCTGTCTGTCCGTCCGTGACTTGGCGTTTTCGTCGACGAGAAAATGCGCTCTCTAGCTGTTACTCACTGCAGTGAGTACTGAGTTATATTTTTTAATATATTTTATTTCGATTGTAATTCATCATTATTACTAGGTACGACATGGACACAGGAGATGGTGTGGTGCTTGCTCTTCACTCTGCAGTCGCCTCGTCTTACAGAACTCCTGCCTGCCCGCTCACCGTTCTTCGAGTAGGTCCCTCTAGGTGCCTATAATAACATGGTTAACGTATTTTATAACATGGTATTATATTCCGGGTTTCAAAAAGGTTAAGAGATCGTAAGTTCATCAGCCAATCATTGACGATCTTTCAAGCAAAATCCACCAATCACAGACAAGAAAATAGAGCGTAAGTACTTACGTTAACTTAGCGAATTTAGAAAGTATGGCCCCTGCCTAGCGACGACTCGGAGACGGAGGACGACGAAGGCGAAGCATCAGCTTGACCGTGGACTACGGAGTCCTAAACTCATCACAAGATCACAAGATATATGTATTTTTAATACTTCACTTATGAATTAATGCCTGTAATCTGCATGGGAGAAATGAAATTTTTTTCGCATGTAATAACAATCCTAAAATATAATTTCTTATGTGAAATAATTTTATTTCACTAATGAAATTTGTACATTTGAACTTCTAATTTCTGTACGTATGAACTTCTTTTGAACGGACATGAGACTGTGGTATCATTAATTGAAACCATTTAAACGCAATTGAATCAATTTTTTTATCATCAATTGAATTGAAATTGAAACCATTTAAATGATATTCTAATTGTTATATTTCCAATAAGGTGGGACTCGCTCTTCCCGGACTGGCACTCCATGGAGCACCTGCCTGATGGTGACGTCAACAAGAAGGGCGTCATTAAATTAATTAAATTAATTTTTAATTTAATAAATTTAAATTAAAAATTATTAATTAATATTAATAATTTTTAACGACGACGACGTCATTAAATTAATTAATTAAATTAATTAATTAAATTAACATTCCCACGCAACATTAAGACTCACGTCCACTGGGCCCTGCTACCGCCCTCTGTACACGCCTCGAATGCCAAGGTAACTTGTTTTATTTTGTTGAAAAAAGTTTGTTTGACAAAAGTTATCACTTGATCATGATCATGCTTCTTGACAAAAGCTCGCACTCATGATCATGGTTTTATGACAAAAGTTCCAACTCATGATCATGGTTTTATGATAAAGGTTCTAACTCGTTATTATGGTTTTACGATAAAAGATCTAACTCATGATCATGGTTTTATGATAAAAGTTCTAACTCATGATCATGGTTTTTGAGAAAAGTTCTAACTCATGATCATGGTTTTACGAGAAAAATTCTAACTCGTCATCATGGTTTTATGACAAAGTTTTCACTCACGATCATGGTTTTTATGAGAAAAGTTCTAACTCGTGATCATGCTTTTATGATAAAAGTTCTAACTCATGATCATGGTTTGTGATAAAAGTTCTCACTCGTGGTCATGGTTTTATGACTTATGTTTTCACTTATGATCATAATTTAATGATAAAATTTCTCACTCATGATCATTCTTTCATGACAAAAGTTTACATGCACTAATGAAAAAGGCTTTCATGTCCTCTTGTCAGAAAAACCCATTCTCCCTTGCCAAAGAGTCATTTAAATGCTCTAATGAAAAAATACCAATGCCCCAAAATCCAAAGTACCGATCTGTTACCACAACAGATATTGTACGTATGTTGTGACTCCCGTGATCTTTTTCCTTCTCCCATGACAGATCGTGTACGTATTTTGTGACTTCCGTGACTTTTACTCTTCTTCCACGACAGATCGTGTACGTATGTTGTGAACTCCCGTGACTTTTGCTCTTCTCCCACGACAGATCGTGTACGTGTGTCGTGACCCCCGTGACTTTTGCTCTTCTCCCACGACAGATCGTGTACGTGTGTCGTGACCCCCGTGATCTTTTGCTCTTCTCCCACGAAAGATCGTGTACGTGTGTCGTGACCCCCGTGATCTTTTGCTCTTCTCCCACGACAGATCGTGTACATGTGTCGTGACCCCCGTGACCTCTGTGTCTCGTATTACTACCACCATATAAAACTCGAGGGCTACACCGGCGACTTCAACACCTTCGTCAAGATATTCCTTGCCGACGCACGTAAGTTTCTGCTCTATTATTTTCGTTGTTACTTTGACTTATCCCACACCGGGGAACTTATTATGTGAGTATATTTTTCTTTAATTTTATTGTCAAGATTCCGAATAATATCTTAAATGAAATGAACTTATTTGCCGGTTTGTTTTTGTATCTGACATCGCTTGTCACACGAAGGACATTTCAATGATATTTTTCATTTATTGTGTGCATATTTATTCCATCCTGCTATCCAAATAATGCAAGTTCAATAAGAACATTTCGAATTTTCTCCAAATCATTTGTAACTACAAAGTAAAACGTGCAAGATATAATCCTCTGATTGCTTTAATCCCCATAGAGTGAGCTACTTGGTTTATGTCACATAAAGAGGAATTTGGGGTCCAGTGGGCCATGGGATAGAGTGGAAATTGGGGTCCAGTGGGCCATGGGATAGAGTGGGATATTGGGGTCCAGTGGGCCATGGGATACAGTGGGAAATTGGGTTCCAGTGGGCCATGAGATAGAGTGGGTAATTGGGGTCCAGTGGGCCATGGGATAGAGTGGGATATTGGGTTCCAGTGGGCCATGAGATACAGTGGGATATTGGGGTCCAGTGGGCCATGGGATACAGTGGGAAATTGGGTTCCAGTGGGCCATGAGATACAGTGGAAAATTGGGTTCCAGTGGGCCATGAGATACAGTGAAAAATTGGGGTCTAGTGGGCCGTGGGATACAGTGGGAAATTGGGTTCCAGTGCGCCATGAGATACAGCGGGAAATTGGGGTCCAGTGGGCCATGAGATACTGTGGGAAATTGGGGTCCAGTGGGCCATGAGATACAGTGGGAAATTGGGGTCCAGTGGGCCATGAGATACAGTGGGAAATTGGGGTCCAGTGGGCCATGAGATACAGTGGGAAATTGGGCTCCAGTGGGCCATGAGATAGAGTGGGTAATTGGGGTCCACAGTGGGCCATGGGATACAGTGGGAAATTGGGTTCCAGTGGGCCATGAGATACAGTGGGAAATTGGGGTCCAGTGGGCCATGGGATGGTGTGGGAAATTGGGGTCCAGTGGGCCATGGGATACAGTGGGAAATTGGGTTCCAGTGGGCCATGGGATACAGTGGGAAATTGGGTTCCAGTGGTCCATGGGATGCAGTGGGAAATTGGGTTCCAGTGGGCCATGGGATACAGTGGAAAGTGTCATTTTTTTTAAATGAAACACCTCTCAGTGCTGCGCAGTAAATGACTTGCTTCTGTGACATCACTACCATTTAATATACAAAAAAATTGATGCACACAAAATAATTAATTAATGTAATATTAATACAATTAATTAATATAATTAATATACAAAATAATTGATATACAAAATAAATAGTATAGCACTTTCCCCTCAGTTTTTTTTATATTCAGTGCCCTGGGGTCCGTTCTGGGGCAACGTGCTGAGCTAATAAAATATTACAGTTCTACAACTTCCTCTCCACCAATTAGTTCAGTAATAGGAATTGCCATTTGTATGTTTAAATTGATTTTTTTTGTGTTTAATTCTTTACTAGGGTACGTTGTTGCTACGCAATCACAAAGCTCATACACTCAGAAAATTCAGTTAAACTTTGACCAAATAGCGATCCACTTTTTGCCATTAATTGTGCGGGTCATCCGAACCACATTTAGCCAGGCAAAAAGGCGCATCAGTGTTACCTGTTGAAAATGTGTCACTATTTAGACAGTATTTTACCCATTGATTTCTTCAGTGATATAGGATCCAAACGTTTGTCTCGGTTGTGTGATTTAGTGTTATGTTGGTATGGTTCCTATGCCAACCTATACATCTTTTTCGGTTCTCTAGAAAGCCTGTGGCTAGACTTACTCGAAAATATATATCTTTAATAAATGAGTTCGCTTCTGTTAATGTTGCACTGATTTTCGGCTTCTTGTCTCCTGCCGTGTACCTATCCTGATTTTTTTAAAACTGGTTGTTCAACTTTTATCTTCCTTCTTCACACATCCACAACTCTAATACTGCCTTATTCTGCCAACTTCTGACCTCTGGTAATTTAATAAAGTCGTTTTAATTTTTGAATCTTTATGAATTTCTGAAGCTGTAGTGAAATTTATGGCGACTCTGCTGTGACTCTCCACAGGAAATGATGATTGAGTTTTTAACTTGTAAAATTTCCTTTCCTTCAAACTTCAGTTGATTTTTTTCTAATAAATCCATAGCCCACCTTTTTTCACTATCGGTGAATTTGTAAAATATAGCAGTATATAAAGTTGGCCAAATGCTACTATAATAATTGAAAAAAAACACAATCTTTCGTCTAGTAAAAGAAATGTCAATTTTCCATTGTATTTAGCAGTGGAACGCAATATTGAGTGGATAGGGTAAATTTAACAAGTTGCAAATAAAATATTCTGTTTGCTTATATATAAAATTATTTAATATAATTTTTCAATTCATTTTATATATTATTTCATCTTATTTCATATTTTACCATGTATTTTATTTTCTTTTATTTCAATATATTATTCATTATTACTTTACTTCATCATTTTTGATTGTAAATAACCCCACGCTCTAGGACTTGCCCGGGACTCTGCTCCGACTTGCTGAGTTTCTGGGGCCATACTTTCAAAACTCGCTAAGTGACCGTAAGTACTTACGCTCTATTTTCTTGTCTATGATTGGTGGATTTTGCTTGAAAGGCCATCAATGATTGGCTGATGAACTTACGATCTCTTAACTTTTTGATCTTAACTTTTTTTCTAAAAATAAACTTGACTACGATCTCTTACCTTTTTTAATCTTAACTTTTTTATAAAAATAAACTTAACTACGATCTCTTAACTTTTTTTGAAAGTATGTGCCCTGGGCATCAAGCGAGGAGGGTCAGAGGGCGCCATAGGGCTTCAGAGCTGGCGGAGCTGACTGAGCACCTCTCCTGAGTGCACGATTATTTTTGAACATGTATCGGAAAAATGTATAAAATGTGTACAGATTGGAGCGGACATAAATCTAACTTACAATGCGATTGTTTTATCTCCTTCAGCAGCATGAGCACCAACCCGGCCACCAACAACGAGGTGCTCGCTGCGGGAGCCATCAACCCAACCATGGCAGGACAGGTCAAGTTTATGAGACAAGGCAAGGTAAGATGTTCTTAGAAGGCTTTGAAAACTTAAATTAGTAATTACGTTATTAATGAATAAAGAAGTTAGAAGTTAGGTAGGATATTACATGATGTTGCTCTATAGACTAAATCCATTTCAATATCGATGATGTAACAGTTCAACCTAGAACCTGGACATTGGACAGCCTTCTCTGCAGGCTTTTTGAGGAGAGTAATTTAGACATGGTTTGGGATCAGTTCCTTCTCGTTTAGCCTCAGCGTGAGAAAAATAGTCAATACTTCTGAAGTAATGAAGGTCAGGAGACACCATATCTTAGAGAAAAAGCCGATAGAATTTTCAAGTAAAATTTTATAGAATTTTTGCGGTAGAATTCCGTAGATAGATTCATTCATGTTGACCATCTGGATGCCTAGAATCTATTTTTCGGTGACCCTTGAATGGAGCTACACCTGGTAACGTAGCCCACGAATTTTCTGGAATTCATGAATGATCTATAGCTAGAGGTTTGAATACTATTCTGAGCGATGTGTAAATCGGCGGCGGGTTAGATTTGTCATATTCAACACAAATATTGCTATATAATTGAGAAACCAATAATATATTTCCTTAGGTACGGTATCTTGTGAGCTTGGTTTCCTCTTGATTTGATTGCTCCTTTGCCGAATCAAAATGGCAATTTGGGTACCTATAGTTTTTCTTGCCTCAAAATTTCTATGATAATTTTGTCTGGCCAGAAATGAGTTATGCAACTCTTTTTGGAACGCGTGGCTAAAAAATGTACCATTTAATTTACATTTAAGAAAATAATACTATTAATATTTTCCTGTCAGTGAATTGAAAGAATGGGCAAATCATCGAATTTATATTATTTAATTTCACTTTTTAATTATGAAAACAAATTTTACCATCCGTCGACATTTTATTCACAACAATCCGTGTTATTTTTTACATAAATATTGCTGACTCGAATTCACGTTGAATAAATTTTGAAGTAAACTCGATGAAAATTCAACTTGAGTATGAATTGCTTTCATTTTTACCGGTTGCAAATTTAAATAATATAAGAAATGCAGTTTTAAATTTTTAACAAACATAAATTTGTATTTCTAACAAGTGTATATTTACATTTTAAGGAAATGCGGATTTACATACTAAAATAAATTGATTGATTGATTGATTTTTATTTACAAAGGAGCTCTAGTTACAATTCAAAAGAAAAAAAGAAAAACATTTAGAAAATACTAGAGACATCCAAGTGAATGCCCATAAGCAGATAAGCTTCGCAGGCAACAGAGGTGATTTAAACCCTGTTCCAATGATAAGGCAAAGAAGTTGAGAGCAACGGAAAGTTTCTAAATTAAACACATACAAGGAAAAAAGCCTCAAGAAAACTAATAACGGGATGTCACTAAAATTAAGCGTAATAATGAAATGTCAATATAACAATGATTAAAGACGGGTAAAAACTTGATATATTGAGTCAAAAATATTCAGAATCTGCACGGCAAACGAAGTCAAATTAATACTGGTTAAGAATAAATTTATGGAATTTCATTTTAAAAAGTAATTTGGAACAATCTTTTTTAAAATTTTCATGCAATTCTTTAAAATAGTTGACGCAGTTAAAAACAGTACCGCTTTTTTTCTATTTCTAGACGATCAGTTGGCAAGTTAAATCTTACGCCCCTGGTATTATGGGAATGTTGAGGGACGAGAGAGGCGAAGGCAGACTCAAAAAGACGATCATCATGGAAAAGGGCCCAATGCATGAATTTTAAAAGCTCAAATTTATACATATCGTCAAGTTTCAAGATTTTAGACTGCTTATATAATACGCTAGTGCGAGTCAGAGGAATATTATTGACATCATACTTAACCCTAAGCATGGAACGCTATGTTTTATTAGCTAGCGTAATGACCCTCTTCTTTGTATTAAAAGGTACACCCCCCAGATTACCAAAGTGTTTGATAGTTTGGAAACAGACAATGCGTAGAAAAGCGTTTTTAACGAAGTAAAAGGTAGGACGCTCGATAATGCACGCAAAACTCCGTGGGCTTTACTCAGCCCCTGCATGACAGACGTAGTTGATGTGCTTATTGAAGGAAATCTTGTTGTCGAGGATTAAACCAAGATATCTAAATTTGTAGACCCATTGTAAAATTGTGCCATTAAAGGTTATATCACGTAGGACGGAAACGGGTCTAGGAGTAAGAAGCATCAACTTAATTTTGTCAGCGTGAGCTACTAGCTTGTTATCTAAAAGCCATCTGGACAAATGCACAGTCAGTTCCGATAAGTTATCGCACACTACGTCGAAGGAACTTCTCGAGACATAAAACACTGCGTCTTCGGCAAAAAGTTTGCAGTTCACATTAAGAGATGAAGCAATGTCATTAATAAAAATAGTAAAGAAAAGATGCCCCAGTACAGAGGCTTGTGGCACGCCTATATTGATTGGTTTTATGGGTGAATTGAACTCGTTTAACGCGAACTGTTCTCTATTAGAGAGGTAAGACTGAATAAGTGAGAGGAAGGTCCCTCTAATACCATAACGGTGTAGCTTCCCTAAAAGAATTCGGGGATTCACACAATCAAAAGCCTTCTGTAGGTCCAGAAAAAGAGCGACACAGTAATCTTTTGAATGATACGTCCTAAGAAGGTCTTGAACTAGATAAAATATAGCCATGGTTGTGTTGCTACCCTTACGGAAACCAAACTGGTTATCAGATATAATTGAAAGTTTATCGAAAAAAGAATTTTTTAAAAAAATCTTATTAAGATAAGACAGGGTTGATATAGGACGGTAATTAGAGACTTTGTAAGGGTCACCCGATTTAAAAATAGCTAAAACTCGAGCTCGTTCCAATGAATTAGGATACACTCCTGTGGACATACAGAGGTTAAAAATATGCGCTAAGACTGGCGCTACAGTGTCAGCTACAAGATACAATATTCTTGGCTGAAATTCATCGACCTGAAGTTTTTTGCCCTTGCACAGTCGTAAAATTTGCTTTATCTCAAATTCAGAAGTAGGAAAAAGGAAGCAGGAGGCCTCACAGGAGGGAATTTCATTAATCAAATTATCGTTCACTGGACCTGAATTTTTTGTGATATCGTTAGCAACAGAGATGAAATAATTGTTAAATTCAGTTGCTGCATCGGTACCAGAAATTATCTCATTATTTTTTAACAATTCAATTCTTTTTTTTACCAACATTTTTTACAAGCAAGTTGTTGGCAATTTTCCAAAGAACCTTTGAGTCATTCGACGCCTGCTCGATATTGGCTGCGTAGAATTGCTTCTTGACCGTCTTGATTAACGCATTTAGGACATTTCGATAAGTGGCATATGATCGACGAAGAATTACACCAGAGCGGGAGAGCTTCAGAAGCTTATGTTTCTTCTTGATAGCAGACTTAATTTCAGCTGTCACCCAAGGAGGCTTATGTTTTTTTATTGATACAAACTTTAAGGGAAATGATTCATAATGTATGTATTGTGCTCCAGGTTGACGACCACGCCAGTCACTTGAGCGCCCAACAACTCCAGCAGTTCAAGAAGTGGACGGAGGAGGCGTTGAAAGATTCAGACTTCCCATACTATCGCAATTACGAGTAACGTTTACTGAATAATTCTATTTTAACCATTTAATGTTAATGAGCAACCTTGTAGGCCGTATTGTCGTGTGTGGGTTGTGAGTAACTTTGCGACGTTTTCTCTTACTCATACAGCATTTGTAGGGTTCGTTGCTACTGTAAAGGTATATTTAAATTAATTGTTGATAAGGTAAAAGTATATTTGAATTCATGACTTATTATCAGCATGATAGAAAATGTAACTAAATTGCTATAAATATTATTTATTTAATTACTGCTATAATAAAGGTATATTTGAATTCATGACTTATTACTAGCATAACAGAAAATGTAACTAAAGATCTAAAAATATTATTTATATAATTACTGTGATAATAAAAGTATATTTGAATTCATGATTTATTAATAACTTGACACAAAATGTGACTCAGGGCTCATCTATTATGGTTGTTGATATTTCTTATAATGGAAACTATCAGCAAGTTTATCTTCGTTTCGAAATCTATCCATGTATTAATATAGAGATAGCAATGTGAAAAGGCAGAACTCGACACAGATTTGTAACCTTTGACACAAATTCTGGCTGTTTCTAAATGCAAATTTGGTACTTATTCACTCAGTGGGAAAATTTCGTACTAATTTATAACAATAGGAGCATTTCTATAATTAACAAAAATATCGAATGATTCTTTGTCTCAGAATTGCCGCTCTTATTCATTTTTTGCATTAATATGCTAACCCTGCTATTATTATATTATATAGTCTTATTATTACGTTATAAATCATTAAAATATAACGTATTACATTATAACGTGATGCCCTTAATATGTTATGCATAGTATTATTTAGTGTCATTATTACGTTATAAATCATTATGATATAACTTATAACATTATAACGCGCTGCCCTGAATCGTTTATGCGCTGATATCATATAGTGTTACTATTGCGTTATAAATCATTACAATACAACGTATTAAATTATAACGTGCTGCCCTTAATATGTTCTACGCTGATATCAGTTCAGCTGCACCACATTTCAGTCTCTGTAGTACGGGAAGCCGGAGTCTTTGAGACAAGTCTGCGTCCACACTTGGAACCTTTTGAGCTGGTCTACGGACAACACGTTCTTGTGATCCCCTACCTGTTAAAACCATCAATTATTCATCATTATCGAAGATTTGATTATGAGGGAATTGCTTAAATGAAAACTCATGCACGACAGAATGTTACAAATAGGATCAATGAAGCGTGTCTTTTTCTTTTAATACCTATACATTATAAAATGTTACGACTGTAAACAATAAGGTTGGGTTTTCCTGTGAAACACAATTCGTAGTGGTCAATAATGAGGTGTTGCAGTAGCAACTGCTTGCACCTCTCAGAAATGTGTTAAACAATGGTCAATGCATCACTACGATGAAAATAGCGTGATATACACTATTTTACGAAAAGTTTGATGAGGATACACTAACTATATAGTAAGGATATTCTCATCGTCGTTGTCAGCAAAATGTGGATGCAGTGTAAGCTTCAGAGTACCGCTCTGCGAGATCGCAATACTGATTGTTTTCCGGTAAAGTAGGGAGGTGGAATAGCGATTAGAGACTTTGAAATTCGAAATGGTTGATCCAATTTTTTAATTAAGAGATAAAAAATAATGTTTACATATGGTTAAATGTCATGTCCTGAAGTTATTTACATGTTTTCTGTAACGAGATTTTTTCGCGTTATGTGTTTTTATTTTCCGCAGTTCAATTTTAAAGTAAAAGGGAATAATTTTGACCCTCATGTACTCATTAGTCGCGATCAATATTTCTAGAAAGCCTTTAGCAAAATTGTCCTCATTAATCAATGATACGATACCGAATAAACAATTGATCTAACGCACCAGAAGTGTACATAAAATTCCGGTTACCAATAAATATAAAATTATAACAAATAACAACGCTTCTATACAGGGAAGCGTTGACCTATCCAACAGTACCAAAACCATCTCTGTACGTTGATTTATGCGTTCACTACAGATTCCGCAAGGGAGGGAGGCGGAGGAGTTCTTTCACATTTAACATAGGAAATAATTCCCGAATTGCACTATATATAGCTAGTCTACAGACACTCAGCTCCAGTAACCTTGCAGCAGTCGTACGGGGTGGTTCCCGCACCGTCGCTCTCACCATCCTTGACAGAAATTGAGCTTCAGTATCGTCTAGTCGCATTCCTTACAGACTTGAATGCCGATTTCGAGGAGCCCGTGACTTTGTCGGGCTCTACTGAGCATTCACACTTATTGTCACTGGAAACCTATCTCCTCCTAGAGTTTTGAAGCTACATCAATGAGACATATACCGTTCGATTCGAAAATAAAAGATCTACGAACGTAACTAGGGCTTTTTCAAGTTCATTGAAATTCGGATTTTATTTTGCAAAAAGGGGGGAGGGCGGAGGTAAATCGAAAAATTTCGGAAAAAATGCTCCCACACCCACAAAAATGAGAAATTAAAAAAAAGCCGAAGTTTCGTTTTTAGATTTGGTCTTCACGCATCGAATGATATGTGTCTCGATGTTGTAGCTTGAAAATCATAGTGTTGCGGGAGAGCTTACAACATATATATGCTACCCGTCAATATTGTGTACGTGATAGTGAAAATGAGAAACTTCAATTACTAAAGCTACATAGCTTTATTGAAAACTTACAAAAAACCTAAACCTCAGCTGGCCTAGAGTATCATACATTAGTCCCTATATACAAGACATGCTAAAAAGTGTACGACAAAAAAAGACCTAACTCAAAAAATACATAGATGCTAGGATGACGCACTGCGAAATAATTACACGACAAGCAAAAATTGGTTTGTACGTCAACTCGCGGCAAGCGGGAACTCCCGACTACACGAACTATAGGGTTCCTCCTCCAGTGAAGTTTATTCGTTTCAGGTTTTCCATTACAGTGGGAATTCCAAGGAACTTTACTCAAGTTCTCTGAACCTCGAGCCAGAAGGTAAATCCGGTGCCCACGTCCACCTGGAACATCCATCAAATACACACAAAATAGGTTTAATATAATAGTCAAACTAAGCTGTTCCACAAAATTACAATCGATCAGGGGATGTTTGCCAGTATTTATCCTGTGCATCGCCACATGTTAGAAATGTGCAAATAAACAGTGTAGAACTTTAACCCAAGGTAATCGTTAGGTCGTGTACCATATATTCACAAGATGCATAGGATTACCCGCCACTTAAAGAGATCATGAATGTCACCTCTGCTGTATTCTATTAACAATAGGAACAATTTTCGGTATTGAATCTTAATAAAATTACGGAATAATTGCCAAAGATTCACGCGACACGAGGTTGCAGTCACCACCCCACGCTGATCATTAAAAAGAGACAGGGCGAATGCAACGCATCCTACTCGTTGCCAGCGTGAACCTGGACAAACAAAAGACAGACGTATAGCGCAGCTACAATAGGACTGATTAACTTTCTACAGTATCCCCTTTTTGACCGTTTTCTAAGAATTTCACGTTTTCTGTCAATTTTTCGAAAAATTCACACGAAAAAAACAGAATTATGTTTTACATACGTGTACCAAATTTCGAATCGATCCGTCTAATGATATCCGAGATATTTTTTTACCCCAGACGCTCCCCTTAATTAAATTAATCGAGAGATGCCGTAATATAATATAATATTATATAAATTGTAATAATTGTAATAAAATATCAATTGATCAACGTATAGCTACGAGGAAGCAACTGTTATTTTGTCAACTAAGAGATTCTCAACTCTTCTTATAGACAGCAAAACGCGACAAATTTTTATGTTTCTGGAGAACTTATTGAAGTAAACGAAGTAACTTAGTGTGAAGAATTTTGGAATTTGGTTATTGAGATGATGGCAGTGAGAATTATTCATGAGGATAAAGATTTTAAATATATTAAATTGATAATGTCACATTCAGAAAAGAACAAAAATGTCTCGTTTCTTGAGATTTATTAAGCTCATAGAAAACAACTGAGAAACCGGCTGAAATTTTTCTGCGGGATGCCTCTACACGCACCCATATTTTGCAAACCAAATATGCAGGAAATTTTCTATATGCTTTCAACACCCTCTACTCTACTCCACATTATTCAACATTAACCATACGCACCGCATGCATGTCTTCGTATTTCAACACAAGGATGTTGTCGCTTTTTCTTCTATTCCAGAAGCTCAACACGTTGCTCCAGTACGGGCCGAATTCATCTACAATAAAAGGTTGTTATTCCATCGTAAAACATTTTCAGTTACTCGTTGTACGTTAAATACTTCTCACGTCCTGTCACCAGTCTGCTAGTTAGTTATTATTTTCTCTACATGGTTCGAGTAAATCATATTAGTACGATTACATTATAGGAAATATTTGTCATAAAAATTACGTTGACGCATTTTAATAATAATGTGCACTCTCACCTTTGCAAATAATTTTAGTGCTTAATCAAATGTACCACTTTTTTACAACACTTCTCTTTAACTTCACTTCTTGTTTGTCTGTCTGTCTGCTACAAATCTTGTAATCAAAATTTAACACACTTCTACTTATCCTATCGATCTGAAATTTTGCACACTTGTTTAAAGTTGGAGACAATGCATGAATCAAATGTCAAAATAAATGATTTTTAAAATTTTTTTTTCAATATTAAAAAATTGAAAAAATAATTTTGTCAGCTACAAATCTTATAACTGATATTTGACACACTTTTACCTGTCTAATTGATCTGAAATTTTGCACACTTGTGTGAAGTCAGAGGCAATGCATGAATCAATTAACAGAATAAATAATTTTGAAAAAAATCATATATTAAAAAAATTTATATATATTAAAAAAATTGAAAAATAACTTTTTTTAATTTTCGAAAATTAGATGAGAAATTCATTGTACATCTGTAAGATTGGAGATACTGGATTCTTTGGAAGTGTTGTCTTTAAAAAGTAATTTTTAAACGTATATTATTTATTTATTTGTTGCCGATTGATAATTATAACAATTCAAAAATGATCTGTTCTAAGACACTAAGCAATGATGCTCGCGTGCGGTAGTTTTCTTATATTCGCAGCAAAACATAACCTGATTATAGTTTGACTTTATGGCCTAATGATGTGTTTAGGACGTCGTAGTCCCCGGTCATGCTGATGCGCCGCCTTCGTCGTCCTCCGTCTCCGAGTCTTCGTCGGATGTAACGTTGGACGTGTTCCGTCTATTTGCCCTCCTTTGGGCCACCTGATGCAAGATGCTGTTGCTTGTCACTTGCTGATGGTAGTTTGTTATGCT